TATTCTTAGCATGGGGTTTGGGAAAACCCCCCATCCCGAAGGGTGATTCCGGGTAGGGGCCCTATCCCACGGCCATGGATTATACTAGCAGCATTCTAGAGAGCTAGACAAGCCCCTTCATCCCTCTACGTACCAGCGAGGATACCAGCTAATAAGTATATATCCGGCCCTGTTATCCGCCAGTACTCGACATCCAAGATACTCGCTCCCGGGCTGAGGGCTGGGTGGGTGACAGCAATATCCCAAGTCATTGACAAGTTCTGTTCCTATCAAGAAGTCAAAACTGTGGCTGTTAGTGGTCCATCACAGCTAATGTTGTGGTACCTCTGGACAAGACTTGGGATCATGAAAGCTTGAGCGCCTGGTTGGCGAACCTTTCACAGGAGTACCGGTGAAACCGCAACATTCTTCTCCGCGCCTGTAATCGGTATCTACGCCCAGAAATAGCTAAAATGGTCCCACCGAAGTATGGAATGTTTCTTTGGATCAAGCTAGATTGGAGAGCACATCCTCGCTTGTGTAGATTGTCAGCATCTGGGGAAGAGACTGACTTGCAGCTCCACCAGGTTGAGTATCGCATTGCAGCCAAGGGATTAGAGTGTGGGGTCCTTGTCACAAAAGGGCCACTATTTTCCTTCAACAAGCGTCATATTGGCGAGTTACACTTCTGAGTAACCTTTTCTGCTGCACCAGATGTGGATTTGACCGAGGGTGTGAGGTTGTTTGCGAATACTCTGAGGGCGGAGTTCTCTATTTGTCTTGTTTGATATCTCTGTTAAAGGGTCAGAGTCTGTCAAAGCTAAGAGGTTATCTGCAACGATCCAATACTGTTAAATCTTGCGCCTGATAAGTATTCCTGGGATGCAATCTCTTACACCCATATAACGGCCTTAGCACTGTACACACTTACTGTATAAACGATAGATAGCCATCAGCACAGCATTGTAGAAAATGAAATTCCAATCTGTATCTAGCCCAGCAAACAAAATAAATAAATAAATGAAAATGAAATGGAAAGGAAAACGAAAGAGGGAAAGAAATGAAGGAAATTAAAAGACAATAGGACGAAGCGAGACAAAATGGGACGAATTGACATAAAGTGATGTAATGTAATGTAATGTAATGCAATGCAATGCAGTAAAATAAAAACAAATTAAAAAAGAAAATAATAATAATAATAATAATAGTAATAATAATAATAGCCCCAGCGATAGACAAAAGACCAGGGATTATTGCGCTATGACGCTTGATTTGAAACAACAGTCCAGTTTGCATTAGAAGTCCCGAGAGCGAAACCAACGGTGGTGATCCTTTTTTTCTTTCTTTTCTTTTCTTTTCTTTTTTTTTTTTTTTTTTCCCCTATTTCAATTCATCTATCAATGTACAAACTTAGAGCATGAGCCACGACTCACATCCCCAGAGATAATTCATCGGGATCTTCCCAGACCCCGGCTTTTTTTTCCTCCCCGTGGTTAAGCTCTTTGTATTGCCGCCAGAATAAGATTTTCAACCGTGGACCCTTCTTTCTTTTAGTCTTTAGTTCTTCATATACTTAATGTTTCCTTAGATACAACGAATTATGGGTATAATAAATACACAATGTTCCAATTGGTTGGTTAAAGGTCATCTAACTGACCCGCAAAGAGAGAGCGAGAGAGAGAGAAAGAGAGATGGGAGGAAAGGATGGTCAGGCATAATGCCGAGACGAGTATTGGGAACTCTGGAGGTTGTACCTGGCGAAGGCAGGTCTTCAGGAAGGGGAGATCACAACTAAGCTAGAGGCCAAAGATAACATCCTAGTCTTTCGGCGATAGTTGCCAGGGCCATGATTTGAGAGGATATTATTATGTTGGTACTAAACCACTTCCAGGAAGAGAGCGAGAAAAAGAAAAGAATCGAAAGGAGCGAAAGGCCTAACCGCCAAGCGGAGAAGGGTGAGAACCAACTCTAACCTTTTCCTATAGGAAGATCATCTGTTGCTAATGTAGATCCTAGACCTTCCATAAGTTACTGACCAGAAGATGCAGTTCCTGATAGGCTGCACCTCAGGAGATTACCATGCGACAGCAATTTCTTTGGGCTATGCTAGACATGCTTGGCGTAGAGTCACTCATCCTCTCTTCTCAACCTTCGTCTCTGCCCGGCAACGGCAAGTTCCCCGGTTGTGTTGGGCAAAACTCAAAATCATGGATACAGGGTTCTCATCAATCAATCAATCAATCCATCCATCTGGGGACCAAAGTCCCGTCAAGGCTGGGGAAAACATTTAACTTTCGCGACATACGTTACACCCGCGGGAGCGGAAGTTCCCGACAGTCATGTAGATGAACGTAAATTGAAAAAGAATATATTATTGTCTATGGAGCGGACTCATTTATCATGTGTCCATGTCGGTCAAGTCGCTTTATTCCGATTTCAGGTACTGCGCCCAACCCATTAGGGGTCGAGTCCACGTAAAATATCTTGTACGTAATTGTTCGGTGATTTTGAGGAGATTTATTTGAAATATATTATAATATATTTTATACCGGCAAGCAGATCTTCAGATACGCACCTACGGTGGATACGATCATTAAAGCCGTCAAGAAGGAGGGTCTGTTGGTTAATCATCGCGGTTCCTCGGCGAAAATCTCCCGAGACTGGACCTGGAGGCAGAAACGATCCGGATGTCGAATTTCAAACTAATCTTACTCCGTAAAATTCAACTTCATTCATGTTATTATTTAGTTAGTATGATAATATGAATACGGAGTACTTCGGGTAGTATGATTTGGGAGTGCAATCAAGGCATGTTTGACCAAATCATAGGGCCTGGAAATCAAAAAGTTGATACAATGACTCTTCAAAGGCATTAAATTAAGCATCACGTTAATCTAAAATCACCAGACAGTCCTAGGCGGGGGAATCTGTCCTCAGATCAGTGGAACTAATTATGGTTGTCCGAACGAAGTGCGTGTGTTATCAACAGTCGGGCCAAGACCCTTTTCGAAAAAGACACAAAAAAAAAAGGAGAAAAGCCTTTCGTCGGCATTCTATGGGAAACTTAGAAACAGCTTATTGGTAATTTTTTGCGTTTTTCTTTTCTTTTTATTTATTTATTTCTCCCTTGGGTGGAGCCGCCGTGCCACCCAAGGGTGGAGGAATCCACGACGACTCGGGCAAGAGTTAGGGCTAGAGCGTAAAGCAGGCAAAGGCTATGGTACGGTAAGATCTTAGTTGCATTGAAAAGGACATGGCTCATCCCGGTCTGCACTGTAGGTAATTCTGTGTTTTTGTCATTTTCCAGAAGCTGGGGGCCAAGCGAGGCGGAGCAGTGCTTTAGGATTAACTCAGACCTCCTAATGACGGAACCGGCCCGCAACTTGCGCAATTCCTCCCAGTTCATGCGTGAACAGCAAAGATAACGACAGCCTCCAGACTCGCGTTTCGTACGGAGTACTCTTATGACCAAACCAATTTACCGGCGATCAGACTTCCGAGAACTGGTAGCGAGTTCAAATTTCTTGGTGTCTCGTGCGAGTAAACCCGCATTCCGCGCAGCCGCACCGGTTTGTCTTGGAGACAACCACATACATGTGTATCACTCAATTTGGTGTCAGTTTCAATTACCGGGTATCTGACTTTGCTACGGCCAGGAATCGGCGGAGTAATACAACCTCAAGAATTAAAACTCCGAAGTAGACGCAGGGACACCGAATGATTAAACGGGGCTCAGGGGCGCTAAGCCACCTACCACTACATGTGTGTGATTAGCTGTATGTATCTAGTACAGGAATCAATTTCTCTAATGGCATACATAGGTAGGAGAGGATCGCTGCTCCATCTCCCACGTGTAGGCAGTTCAAACTCCAAGCCTGCCGAGATAGGGTTTGTACCTGAAACTAAAACGAACTTCACTTTAAGCCAACACGCGCAGCGCAACACTCGCCGGATTTACATGGGCCCTGTGGATCCCACCACCCCAAGACTATCCAACAGAATCGAACGCGATTCACCGCTTTGTTCCGGCGGGGAGTAATGCTGCTCAGGGGATCAGCAAAGGCTAACATTCCAGCCCATAATCTTCCTGGTTGGGACTGGACCCCAACATTTTTTTTTTCAAGGTCAATCTTAACTCCATGGTAGCCTTTCCGTACGAGGTGCGTCTGGACAACGGTACCTGACGTCTTCCGTGCAAGACATGCGCCGACTATCGATTGATGTACGTATTACGGACCCACCACCCTGTGGAGGTCCAGGTATGGGGTTAGGAACATAAACTCTCCATAAGCGAGCATCATCTCTAACTCCGGGGGACATCTGGTGATGAGGGATCAAACGGTCCTCACGGGACCCAAAAAAGCTAATGTCAGCAAATTCAATTGGTACCAAATGAGCCTCTAGAAAAAAGAAAAGAAAAGAAAATAAAATAAGAACTGATGAACCAACGGTCACGGGAAATACGTTTTAAGTCATATCTATGGCGGAGCGGGTTGCTCGACCGACTAAGGAAAATAATAACAAATATAAACCACCAAACACAGAGCCTACGGGACATAGTGCCTCGGGTAACAATGAGCATGTTCAAGTTGAATGAGTTGGGTCAGGGAGGAACGGTACTCGAAGTGCGACAGGCTTGTTCGCCGTTCTCCGTAATGAATACTGCAGATGCATGCTGGAAAAAAAAGAACAAGAAACACAAAAACAAAAAGCGGATTTCCAGGATTAAAACTTAAAAATGCAAAATTAATACTAAAAGAATAGAGATAATACTACGGGCACTACGGACAAGGTGTGGTGGGTCGATGGCGCCTCAAACCTTGTGCACTCCTGTCGCCGATACCTTGTGTATTCAGCCTCTAGGATGGCATTTCAGCAGGAGCAATATGTGAGTGGGAAAATTCCTTTCGCCATCTAATTGGCTATTTTACTAGCCTGATACAAAGCAAGCCTTGAGTCTGATGTTTTAGAGGATTGGTAACGTTTCTTTACTGCATCACTATGTACTTCCAGGGACCACCGCAACTTACCACTTTTGATTGTAGGCACTGTCTTCGATTCGTCCATGATGCGTTGAAGACAGTGGAGCTAGACTGGTATTTTACTTCAATTTACCTCTCTGTTTCGTACCGATGCACACCGACTTGTGGAAATCAATCTGGATCCGAGCAAAACTCTTGAGCAGTCTGTTTCCCCTATCCCTGTGGAAACCCGCCAGGTCGAGCAATACGACGATTCTGCGGCTCTCCCTTTTCCCAATTTTGCTTTTTTTAGACATTGTGGATGCCTACCACCTCTTCGTGGGAGCTTGCACCATTTCACCAGACCCTAGCATGGTCGAATGTTGTTTTCAACCCTACCCTGCACAAGCTCCCCCAAAGAGCACTCCAGCAACCACTGCAAAGAAGGTATGGATCAACAACAAGTGCTTTCAACACACCATTCCTAGTCGCAGCTAGTGGGATAAGTCATCAAGATAGAGAGCTATCCTAACTAAGGGAATCTTGACGCCTGGCGAGACCTATATAACTGGCCCCTTGCCCAGATTTATTCGATCCCTTACCTCCACATTATTCTATATCTCAAATATTGACTACCTATCTCATTGGCAAAAAAGCTACTGTGGCTATGGATTGCTCGACAAAAAATACCTCTGATAGGCTACTTGAGCTTGCCGATCTCGTCGCCCACCTCCCGCGATTTCTTTTGAACTTGATTGATCTGATAAACTGGCTGAGAGGCCTCCCTCCTTATGGTGGTACGACCTCTGAATTGCTTCGAGCGAATACATACTGATAATGGACTGGTCTTCACTTCAGGTTGAAGAATTTTCCGACGAATGGCCACGCACGTCTGCCTGATACTGCACCGAAAAACATTGAAACTCAAGTGTGTCTGCTTGGGGGAGGGAGGATGGGGGGCTCACTCGATACCGTTACACGTCTTGTCTGTTTTAAGAATAGATGTCTGCCAGCCCTGACTGGCTCGTAACTAGCGAAGGCACGGGTTGCGGGTTCAGCTTCGAGGTCGACACAGCTTTATGATGTTTTTCGAAACGGTGGCACGGGATAGTGGTGGTCCCGCTCCTTATGTCGGGGTATACTGTGTTAGAGACGGCTACGTGACTGGGAGGAGATATCCATGTCCATGTGCAGGCCGTTGATGGATATCTCACTGCATTTGCATTTTCGGGGAGTGTATATGCTCAATGATTGTTTTTGTGCTTTGCTTTCATGTATCACGTAGTTTTGACGGACTCTAAAAATCTCACTTGCTCTTCTTGCATCCAGCGATTTGAGGTCATTTCTGTTTCGTCGTTTTTGGCTAAGCCTTGCATTTAACTCTTTGCTTCTGTGTGCGGTTTGCCCATATGGAATATATGTAGATGCCTAAAGGCTCTTTGTCTGCAAGCATATGATTCTAGACCAGTATAAAAGGTCTTCCTTTGTTCGTAAATTTAATAGGAATTCAAGAATCTTATCTCTTAGTAAGGAACTCATGTTCTTCATTATTTCACAATATATAATGTTGACGCTGCCTAGTTAGGCCTAGTGTTGTTATTCTTCCTAAGCGATTTCTTTCCCACAGTCATGCTGATAGATTCAAGCAACATAATCATCTAATCAAGGAATTCAACCTACGGGATCTTTTTGTCATATAATATGGGGTATAGGGTGCTAGGCGGCTCCACGCCGGTTCGAGTAGACGGTCAGAATGGATATTGGTTTCGGACATGTTTTGTATGCAGTTCATGTTTAACCCCGTCGAATAGTATTATTACTCATTACGAGAATTTCAGGATAACTAATAGACCCAGCAATGGATTTGGTAAAAGGACTTCCACCCACTATTTCTAACTGGAAATTCGTATCTGATACAGTAGACGGTCACCATGACGACGGGACTATATATATCATAAGCTTTTTCTGACATTCTTTTACCAATAGAGACATCAAGCACCATTATATACATAGTCAGAGCCATGTAGATAGTGCACACATAACAACAAACTACACTTTTATGAGCTAAATTGAGCTTAATATAAAACTATCGCAACCACTGTCTCACTTCTTAAACATACGATCCAAAAGCTTATCTGGAACATCGTTGACTGTGATGACTCTTTATAGTTGCTCAAATTAATATTCGGTTCCGATTTTCAACTAAAAGCTCATTGACTATGTTAATAACGTTGAGTCTGGAAAAAATATAGAAGCTTGTATTATCAGACCTAACCCATTGGACATGTCCAGGAAAATAGTTGTTTTCATTTACCTCTAGTTTCACATGGTGATCATCCCTACTGCACCTCGAAATTATGCTTATATTCGTATGATCGTGGGCCGGCTAACTAGGCCTCTGCCGACGAGATTAATTCAAGCGGTCTAGAGCCTAGATTTTGCCATGATGATTACTAAGTTGCTATAATGGGCATTCAATGACTATATCTGTTTCCTAGAAAGGTTTGGAGAGATGCCTCATTGATAATATCCCATAATGACGTGAGATGATGGGCATTTTATAACTCGCATTGGTGCCCTGTCCCTGCCTCTAGTTTCATTTTGGTAAGACATGTCACCAGAGTAAAATCACTATCGCCATCTCTTACTATTTAAAGCAACATCTCAAAGCATAGTAGAAATGCAGCTTCCGTCGGCTAAACCTACCCTTCTTTATCTTGATATCGGGAGCCTGGCCCGTGGGGAGGTTATCCGGTGAGAGTGACCGTAGCGAAAAGAAGGAATTATTAGCTTACAAGTGCTTGCTTAGACTGTTCTTCAAAAACGCAGGAGTCGAGTTCGATGATGTCGGATATCAGTATGACGATACTTGGTCAACAACCAGCGCAGAACTCAAGGAAAAGGCATTATCGGTGACTGGTCAGGTGCCTGTCCTTGTCTATGAAGGAAAAGTTCTGACACTGGTAATACTGTGGCCTATAAAATCAAATTTGTGCTCACTATTTGACAGCATCTGCCAATTCTAACATATCTAGCTAGAGAGCTCGGGGAATACGACGGAAATGCAAACCTGGAGAAGTATCTTCTAGATGCAGTGGGTGACGTGTATAATGACTGGTGAGTACACGGTGAATATCATTACATGCTGTGCAAGAATCCATGTTTCAACTAATGTTTATGTGAGCTCCAATGGGTGAACAGCCTTGGCAATATCACAGACAGGTTTAGGAACGAGTTTGTTCCCAAATATTACAACATCCTAGCTACATCCTATGCTAAGCAAGAGGGCCCTTATCTCCTGGGTGAAAGGATTACTTACCCGGATTTTGTCATCTACCAGTCTATCGACAACGACCCGCAGATTGGAACATTACCGGTAAATTCCCCCCCTACTTCATTTTATGTGTACTCGTCACTTACTTCTTGAGAATTCTCAGGCTATTCTACCGGAGCTTCTCGCCAGGTTCAAAACGGCGTTCGAAGCTCGGCCCAGAGTCGCTCCTTATCTTGACAGCCGCTGTCGTTGAAAACTATGACCTTCGACTAGTATGGCTGTCCGCTATTTCTTGCACTCTCATCAAAAACGTATTTACTCTTTCAATTGGGTTTCTGTAGCCCTTCTATATCTGATATAATACATCTGTGTCCTCGAGTTCCTATCTTGAGTAGACCGCCTTGACCCTTTACCTGTGCAGTACTATCACATAAGTGCATCTCTGTGGGTTGCCTTGATCCTTGTATTATTCATGAACTGATCAAGGTGGGACAGGAGGCTCCCAAGACCTATTTCCATCAGTTATTCCTGAATTCAGGCAAATTATAAACATTCTCTGGCAGCTTCACCCCCCGAGGAGCTGTCAAGATTCCAAACTCAGATGTGTATCCACTGGGCGAGCTACTCTGTCCGTAGAAGCCCACAATAACCTCATCCTCGGCTGGCTCGAGAGTGAAGACGGGATTGTCGTCGTGACTATCGTCACTGTCACTGCCATTTTCTATGTGGTTGAGATGGCCCCACTCATCTCCATTGCTCAAGGTCATGCAGATACCTGCCAAGCAGCTCCATCCGCCGTCATCCTTGCAAATCTTGATTTTGGTGATGGTCTCCTCGGCAGGGATTTCATGGCTTTCTGATCTGTGTCCACCAAACCGATGAGGATGGCTGGGGCCGCAATTTGCCTGCTGCCCATCGGCATAGTAGACGATTGCTCCATCCATGATACATCCCACCCGAAGGTCGATACTCGTCGCACGATGCAGCTGGCCATCTTGGCCGCGGCGATGAAGGAGCATAGCCCACTGGATCAAGTCTCGGTCATCATTGTTTGAATCTAGATCCTTTGACCGAACAGATTGTTTGCGAAGAGCCACATTACTGCCCGGGATGATGATGTAGGGCTTTCCCTTGAGCCTCACCCACAAGTCGTTCACGATGGCCACCTTACCATTCATGCCAATGGCAGTGACTCTTAGCGGATGATTCTGGTCAAACCTTTCACGAATATTGTCGTACGAAAGCCTTGTGCAACCACCTTTCTCATCTTCATCACCTATAAAATCATGGTTTAGGGGATCGTTTGCCCCATTCTCAATTTTCACTTGCGCCAGGCCTGCTGTACAAGACACCTTGAGGCCCTCCGGATATTCCCCTTCCATATTCATGATACCTGGGCTATCCAAGCCGAAATCAACCTCAACTCTGACTTTGGCAAGCCGAAAGTCATTTGACACGAGCTCATCGCCAGGGAGTGCAAAATGCGGCAGCAATTTGAACTTGAGCGCATCTTGCAGATCCCACTTAGCATCGTTCTCTGCCGCGCTATTGGTCTCATGCGATATGAAGTTCATCGCCCAAGTTTTGCTGTACCCTCTTGCCATGATCCCTGTAGTATGTCCGGCACCTAAGGCATGGCCCACCTCGTGCAGAAAGGCACCTTGGCCGACAAAACACGCGCCACGCATAGTGTCGCATTCACCATTGTCATTGCCGACGGTATCACCCGTGGGCATCATATCTATCAGACAGGCAGGGACCTCCTCGAGGAAACGCGGCCAAGAGTAGGTAAGATGACTGCCAAAGATGCCCAAGGAGATGCCATCAGGTTTATGACAACCCAACGCTGCATGGCCCATGATCATCGATTGCTCGGTGGAGTAATGAGCATCCAAAATCAAACCGGCCACCACTGGACGGCAGCTTGACTCGAAGGGGGGCCCTGATTTAGCGAGGGCGGCCTCAAAATATCTGTGCAGGGCATCCCGATCTCGACCTCGAGGATTCTGCTGGGCAACATCAGCATCCCTGAGCTCTGCGATAGTCTTATCCGACCGGATAATATGGACTTTAGCGACAGTTCCCATATGACTATTGGTGCCAGGTGTCGCTTGATGCTCCGTCTGCATGGTTGTGTTGGGGGACCACTCTTCCTCCAGGCGAAATGACCGCCTTCCCAATCCCTTTTGACGGAAGTCCTCTGCTGTGAGAGCTTGCCACATATACGCCGACATTCGTAGCTTAGAAATGGCCGCATTGAGGGTACTGTGGGCAGTTGAGATGCCCCCGTATTTGGCTGGTGGGCAATCGATGAGCAGTGGCGAATCCTTTGCGACAAGCACCGCGAGATGGAGCGGAGGCAGCTGTAGCAGGGGAATATAATTCACTGTAATCTGCAGTGAAGCTGAGATTCCACCGGCGTGATGTAGCTTGAAGATAAGTGTGTTGGTCCCTGGTGCGAGCATGACGAGCGCCTTCCATTGGCCTTTGTTCAACGGCCAGTGATTGACTGTCTGCGCCCGGCTGAGCATGTTGGATGACGAGACAGACACGAAATTGGTATCTGCCGCATAGTCAAACTCTTGGCACTCGCCATGGACCGCAACACAAGTTTGGTGCACTAGGTCGCCTTCATCGAGGTTAATGATTTTGAATGGCCTCTTTTCGATGGATACGGGCTTGATGCGACGTCTTGCGGACGCTGGGTCAGGGCTTAATGAGCGTTTCGTCATGATTGCTACCTTGTGAAGAACAGCTTCTAGAGTGTATACCAAAAGACTGAAGAATGAGCAACTCAGGTCAATACGGAGATCGATGGAAGATATAGGGCTTGGTATTTAGGTATCTTTTAGGCAACCGGCGACGGCTGCCTGCAAATTTTGGCAACCTACGCGGCAGGCTTATTCAGCAGCCCCTAACCATATCCGCGCCATCATCACTTTGACCTTTTTGCATATTTAATGCAGACACTGCTTAATGCGAATAATAGCATTGCAAGGGACGAGGTGTATGAGCCTGATGAAACGATCTATTTATGCTTGACTTGCATCGTATAGTGGAGGAAGCGAAGGATGAAACCATATATAAAAATTTACTCCGTCCACGCGGCACAGTATGTATGTCTCTCATTCATTCCCTTTATCATAAGTCCATATGAGGCCCACAACAATCATATATCTGTACTTAAGCCATAGCCACTGGTTTCAGTAATTTCCAGCCGTAATGCTCTTTCAAGTCAAATCGTCCGCTTTGGGATGTCAATGATGGTTACTGCGGGCGATTCCTTCCGATCCGAACCATCATCCCGTACTCGACTTTCCTGGTGGAGATGAAAATATTCTTTGTAACAAGACCGTGCAGGTAACTTGCGTCAGTTGGTCTTATCTACTGACATAGGCTCTAGAGCTAATACAAAACATGACATCGCGACCCTGCCTTCAACTTCAAGGCTCAACTCACAGGGTCCTCAATGACCGGCCATGATAATACCTATCCTTTGATCACTGGAATCGCAAGATAGCTCTCATACTCCCCACCAGTATACACGGTGTGCTGCCCTTCATTATCATCTACTGGAGCTGTCAATCTCATGGATTCTGCTTCCGTGAGTGACATATCATGACCGGAGATTCGCAGGGTCAAGCCTTCACCGGCCTCAAAGACCACACCCAGGGGCCATATTGGGATCAGAAGGGGAACGATCTCTCCAGGAGAAATCGCTTCGCGCCTCCGGTGATTATACACTGGCACCTCATCTTCGCAGGCTCGGGGCTGTAGGCTCACGTGGTGCGAGGCTCGGAGCATACCCTGCTGCCCTAAATGCTTTGCGACATTGACATTAGGGACCTTCGGCCCTGGTACAGGCATCGGCGACCAGTTAAGTGACTCGAGAAGCTCTCCGGACGCAGAGATCTTGCGGATCTGCACCACAACATCAAAGTCATCCTTCACATCGCAAGACATGTAAAGCTTCACAAAGGGACGTCCGCATAGTTCGGTGTATTTATCGAAGATAAGAGTGAAATCCTAAGATATGACGGATAGTCAATCACAATGGGAACAGGATAGTAGTGATTCCAAGGAAACATACCGAGGAGGCTATCAATGAATGTCCTTCGTGAGTAATGCTGGCAGAGTTAACAGGCTTGGCTGTGCTAAAGGATTGAGTAGCAGCGTCCAGGTAATAGCGACGGATGTGTTGCCCTGCCGGAGGCCACTGCTCTTCAGGGCGCTCGACAATTGTTTTCGCAATACTACCATCGTATCCCAATAGGGTCAGGCGCACACGGGGCGTTTCCGTCTCCCACCCGTTTTGGATACCTTTGGCATAGTAATCGTAGAAGCGCTGCAGGTCATCTGTGGCTTCTGGTCTGTATAGGTCATGCCATTCTTGCGTTGAGTGCACGCGTAGCCATTTCCGAGATGTCTGTGCTGCTTCAAATGCTCTGAAGGAACCGTCGCAGTGTAGACCGGTCGAGTAGGAGGCTGTCAGATACATTGGAACGTCTTTGATACCCTCTGGTTTGATTCGCTTTCCCTCCCAGTATTCGTCACACAATGGGCGAGATTTTAACATGGCACCAATATTCTCTGCCTTCCCAAGTCCTAGTACAAGTTAAATCCCACTTCGTATCTGGCCTTTCATGCAGGCCTTTCGAGGGTCAGATGATAGTCAATATAACGCACCTGCCAATCCATGGAGGACCAATTCACCAAATGCAGGCCTTGGGATTCCTCCACGACATATCTGATGAGCATAGAGATCCGTCAACCCTTCCCATGGGGCGATTGCTTTCAGATTTGGGTGCTGGAAGCGGGACGCAAAGTTGAGCTGTGAAATAGCCAACCAAGAGTTTCCCCTTTTGAGCTGTTAGATGATTTCCAGTGTGATAAATCATGAGACCTACGCCATAACTACTGATCCATTGCACCATGGCTGCTGGGCTATCCAGCTGATCGTATCATAGATATCAACTGCTTCCTAATCAACCCATAAGACACTGCATTCATCATCATGGGAACATCTTATGCCTACCTGTTCGCCCCAAAACATGAGGTTGCCCTCCGAATTCCCAGCCCCCCTGGCATCGACATCAACAACAGCATAGCCCCGAGAACACCATTCCGCCGGGTTGGGACCCTTAGCACAGTCAGCTATTATTACTAATTTTAATGAGCGAGACCCGACGATAACTCACTTCAAAGGTCTCATATCCGCTAAGATTCTGGTACGGAATGCCGATTCGCCATGGCCCCATATTATCGTAGCTGAGAGTACTGGTCCCGACCTTCCCATATGGGCTCCAGGGTATGATAGTGGGAACCTTCTCACTCTCATTAGCGGGACGAAAAATATCTGCATACAGCTTTACGCCATCACGCATGGGAATTGCTTGGTCTTCTTCCCAAGTCACATCCACAGGGAATGCCTGATATCCAGGTTCCTTAACATGGCCCCTCGGAAGTCGGGTAACCCGGCCTGGATGGAAACCCTTGTAGTTGAATCCGGGATGACGGTCTGGTGGTGCCAGTGCCGTGTAGACGGTGTCTGGAAACTGAGCTTGCAGCTTTTCTTCCACTAACATAATGGCGGTGATCTTATGAAGATTGGCTTGCCAGACAGCAAATGAACAGTGGGGTATAGGGAACTAGGAAGGACTATATGTCTACACTGAGCTATCAAATTATCGGTATATATATACCTCCGGAACTAAACTGGCCGAAGCTGATCTACATTCCGCATGCCTGGACCCCACAAGATTGTGGGGTTAGCGTGGGTTATTAAGCGGAATCGGAAGTATTTCTAGCATCCGGAAAGAAGTATACATGAAGTCCAGGCCCAGTCTTCGCGATGCTCCGCACTTACTGCGAACTTACTCCGTGATTACATGGTCTATATATGACCAGAACGATCCTCGGCTGTGGCTTCCCCTCTTTGGTAACATTATTCTTATCATATGTCTTCTTCCTAGTCAGCAGCTGCGAATCATGAGCGAGACAAACGCAAATACCGGTCTATTTGCCGATGAAAACGCCATTTTCCGAGTCCGCCGAGATCTAGAGTTCCCTGTGCCCGGGGATGAAGAACTCCTGATTGAGACACAGTTCTCGGGTGCAAATCCGGCTGATGTCAAACATGCTACTCAACTAGGCATTTACCCGGCTGTGCTGGGTTACGACTTCTGCGGGAAAGTGCTCCAGGCACCGCCCCAGTCGTCCTTTCGCCCCGGTGACACTATTGCCGGATATACTCCTACCGGTCTCAACAGACCGGCTGGATATGGGACCCATCAGCAATACTTGGTCTGCCCGGAAGAAATGGCTTTTCATGTTCCTGCAAACCTTCCACTGCATCATGCGGCATGTCTTGGCGTCGTGTCCATGACAGCTGCTGATACGCTCTATAACATTTTCAAGTTTCCTCTGCCAGACACTGGAGACACAGGGAAGACAGTAAAACCAGTGCTTATCTGGGGCGCATCAAGCAGTGTTGGGCTCTGCACAGTACAGCTCGCCCGGGCCAGCGGTATTCATCCGATCTTCGTCACTGCATCCCCACAAAGACACCAACTTCTCTTGGACCTCGGAGCAACACAGTGCTTTGATTACAAATCCCCCGATGTGGCTTCGCAAATCAAGTCAGCGCTAAAGAGTGGACAATGGGATTCTATAGACTATGGTTTTGACACGGTGGGAAGTTACGCAGGAGCTGGCTCAGCAAAACTTATGGCTGAGTGTGTTTCAGGAGAGGCCAGCCTTGTCTCTGTTGTTGTCCAGCGTGATCCTCGGTTTAAGATGCCCTTTGCTACACCGAATAGGGATGCTACTATTCGGGTTCATGGGGCTCCTCGTCCTATTACGATTCCAGCTAGACCTTCTGACTATGTGCGTGCATGGAAGGCTCTACAATGGGCGGTTGCGAATTACGGTGCGGGATTCCAGTTCCCATCTGTAGATGTGATCAATGGGATAGCGGAAACTGCGCTGGAACAAGTGCAAGCCCTGGGTGATGGTACACGAGGATTTGGGAAGCTGGCGCTTGAGCATCCATTGTTGTAGTGATATACACGTGGGACATTCCATCTATGAAATAGATATTGTATATGCCTCACGGTATCTATCGCGGCCAGTTACTGTTCGTACAGATGTTACAGGAGGGGTTGTGTTATCATCTTACTCCCGTAGTTCAATATTCACAACAAACCTCTTAATACCCAGATAATTCTTCACTGCATTCATTAGAGACCCGTGCAGCTAGATACAGCTTGTACTGATCACCGTTGTAGACTTGGACGCACCATGAAATGGTGTACCAGTGACCCAGATGCATCACATCCCATTCATGATAAGAGAAACCCGAAGTGTAATAGATACAATCTCCTAGCAACGATCCATACTTCCCGCAGATACCTCAGATACCACAGGTGAACGTAAACAACCATGTTCGTCAATACCACGAGACTCAGGTTCAGTCCGAGGACTAAGGTACTGAATCACCATCCAGTCCATTGGGCTTTTGCTCTGTATGAGGGCAGGCTTACTCAACTGGGCTCAGGTTGTGGGATACACCCGTCGGTGGCGACTGTTCGTTCAATACAGTTTTATCCTTGGATAGTCTCCCCTTTCGCAACATCCAGAGAATGATCACCGTAGCAGAAAGCGACGCAAAACTCCCAACAACACTCCCAACCAATACACCGACCAGGATCGGAGAGGGCTCCGAAGAGGACTCCGATGTGTTTGTAGCCGTTGATCGAGACGACTGGGATGTTGCAGGTTTTGTAGGTTTGAAGTCCAAACGTGTAATCATTTCAGGATCCTCAATCCATGATATTGACACGACAAACACTGCTGTTTTACCGAACCCTGCGATGTTTGTGTGCGTGAAGAAGGTTTCTATCGTAGCGGTTTCACTCAGAGTGAAATTGGTACATTCGAACGCGGAAACGCCTATCTCAGGCCAGTTCCAGGGCAAGCAATATGGAGAATCATCCTTGGTGCAGAACATTGCAAAGAAATCGTCTGTCGAAGACAGCAAAGACGGGGTTTTGGATATCTCGTGGCGGCCGTAACAAGTACTAAAGAATCCGTTGCATGGCCCAGCAGGGCCCTTGGAACAGCAGCCCATCATTCCGGGATAGCCGGCATGCGATGAATGGAATCGGCAGATGTAGTTGTCGTCACAACCGTATGTCCCTTAATGAGAAGTCATTGTCAGTATAAAATATGCGAGAGGATGAGTCCAGCTCAGCTCTCCTACTCACCGCTATCGCCCCAGTAACCGCAGTCACTTGCAGGTCCAAACCAAGTTTTGTATCGACGAGCAAAGTCATGGTTGATTGGCTTTGTCGGCATCGGAGACGGTGGTGGCAGGTCAATGCTGCTAGGTCCTGTCGCTCGAGGGGTGAAGAGGGTCATTGTTTGTACCCCAGCGACAATGACAAGCGCATGATGCCTCTGAGTCGTATACATCCTGCGCATGTTGCGATCAAGCACTGTTGACGGTGCACTAGGAGCCCAGTTTCTGAATTCAACTGCTCACGGTTACAACTGGGCGGATATGGCGCGTACTGAACTACTACATCCAGTCGATACGCAGAATAGGTTATGATGACACGAAAGCCATTCTCACGAGCTGGATAAGAAGATCTCTTGTTATTCCCGTAAAATAACTCAACAGCTTGCGGCTTGTGGAGCTTAGTATTTGGCTTATTCGGCTGTCGCACAACTAGCCGATTAGCCCCGCGTAATACCGCTTCCTCTACAGCTCCAATCTCGGACATCTCAGTTCGATTTTCAACGCGGAGAGACATCGGAGCATATTTTACTTGCTGAAGGTGTCCGCCGCATTCATAGAGCACATGATACGTTGCTATAGCCTTGGGCTCGCTCGTGATGTGCTGTCCCGTACAATGTTAAAGACTAGTGAAGGCTTAACTCTCTTACATTATGACATCCTCCACTATCATTTTTTCTGGAGGCAAACCTAGCTTTCAGAGCGTCTATATAGTAGGTGAGAGAATCAACTGACTAGCCCACAGGGCTCTAAGACCATGCACGGAGTTCGTACTCAAATGTAACTTCATCAGTAAGGGACAACGTCTAGTCCAGCGATACCACCTATCCATTCATACCCATCCTTACGTCCCTGAAGCTGATCAATCAAACCTTCTATAATACAAGATATTTCACTGCGCTTAATGATTCGACATGTTGGCCCTTGCTCAGTGAGAAACAGCTTTTGTCGCGAATGTCTATCAGTACAAGAGGTCTAGTTCAAGTGTCAACTTATTTAACCCACGTTGGATATCGAGATTCAATCAAAGGCTACAATACATGCGTTGCCAAGTTCGTACAAAGGACCAGTGCGAACAGCCCTATCATGCATCTTCTATCCACTCGTGAAGTCCCGCTTTCAGTATCTCTGTGGTCTTGTGTTGGAACGATGGGAACCATAGTTTACATGCCCATGATCACCGTGTCGCATAACAACCTACGTGAAGAAGGGCTCTCAGGGGTTGGCTACAAAGAGATGTAAGTTCGAACATATTACAGCACCGATATAAAATAGAACATCACAATCGTGACATTAAGTACCTGCAGACGCGACAATGGCCTTCATTAAGATCATCACCCATGTATCCAAGAGCACTCAACATGAAATTCTTCCTACAGGGCTGATGCACAAGGTCTCTATTTTGGTGGCTATGGCCCTAGCACTCATCAAGCCATGTAGTAATCAGCCTTAACTCCGACATAACGGCTGCATTCTCGTGTACATGGGATCTAGAATTGAGAGATCTATGTGATGGGACACACTGGTGTATCAATTACCACTCTCAGTGAGCGGCACTCCACGAGCAGGAATCTCGATCGTCTGATTGACAGCAAGGCGGTAGGGCGATTGCAGGTCGTTTGTGGCAATGATATACTGCTTTGGCACATTGTACTTGGTGCTTATCGTATCCAGGTCCTCCCCTTTCTGTACTATATGAGATCCACCGTCCCATAGTTTGCCAGGGTCCAGGCTACCATCAGTAACGAGTTTATATAGCGGACCACCAGGACACTCGGTATTGTAACCATCTCGGTGACCCTTAATCTCGTCACCAGCCCCAGCCCTACGAAGATACGCAATCGAATCTTGCAGCCCGGTAATTTGGGCATCACTAGGCTCCGTAATGCCAGACTTTCCTAAAAAGGCGAGAACAGCGTAATGATCCGAGTTCAACTGCACGTTTCCATTGGCACCACTGCGATGACCCTTGCCTCGGCCATCGAAGACGTAGCCGTGCTCGCACACTGCAAGATTGTAGGCAATGTCAAAGTAATCTTCAGGTGATTCGTCCATGTGCTCGTTTTGCACAGATCTCATGAAGTCGTCACACTCCGAATGCTGCTTTCCACTGAACTCGGGTCCCAGATAGTGTACTTTTACGCCCTTGGCATCTGTCATCGGTTTATAGGCTTCTTCGGGCGCCCGTGCCTTCCACTCTTCACGGGACACAAAGTTCATCGCCAAGACGCTTGGGACCATCATGAGGTACGAGAGCACAGCGAGGACAGTCAAGGGAGAGCGGCCCGCCCTGCGAGTATCAATATGGGAAGCCATGTTGAAGGTATGGCGGTATGAGCGGAGAAAACCAGTGACATTGACAGGCCACTTTTGCATGGGAAGAGTCGCTAGTATTTATAGCATTTCGGATGTCCACGATACCCATTAATTCCTCGTATAGGTCCTTGCTTCCCAGTTAGGCCCTTGGCGTTTCGTGTCTATACGGGAAGATTGTGTCAGCCAAGGCAAGTAGTTGGGCAGATTGTGCCGTGGAAAGTGGATAGCCCTCGTATCATTGTAGATCTCAGAGCCCACTTCTCGGATTGGCACGTGGAGACCATCTAACGACTCGTGTTATCACTAAACAATACAACCAACTCCACCTCAGCTGAGGCTTTTGCAAATACTTTAGTAGTCTTCGTTCCATTGGCTCAACCCTCACGTGGTAAGAGTAACAAATAGAATCCGGCACGAACTTTGGTGTGTGATCACAATCTTAGCTATCTTGTCAACTTATGTAAGGCCTCAGTTCTGTCCGAAGCATTCCCAGTTCTGTTGCCCTGGCTAGGAGCGCAGACTAACATCGTCACGGCTGCACGAGCTTCGATTAGATTGACGTTTCTTGTGAGGCGGATGCAGTGGGGATTTGTGCTTGATAAATGAAAACACAGACCAAGTCTCTGTCAAGCGTAGGAGCGTCAGCCGAACAAAAACACCACCAGACATAAAGCCAAGGATATCGATATAACTAACCTATTGGTCTAAGGGAAAAGGTTTCAGGCGCCAGTAATGATCTTTCTTAAATGGGCGCTATTCTAGAATGTTTCCTGTTCCGTATAACCTCATCATGTGACCTCCAACGTAGTACGGACTATGTCTGGTTCCAGCATCAATGTCGGTACTGCAAAGGACATGAAAAAGAGGAGAAACAAACAGTTGAGGTAAGACAAGTAATCGTTGTCTCGATCGCAAGTCTACGTAAAATTCCTAGCATAAAGAGGATCATCTAGCTCGGTTGTTTTTGGGATTTATCCTTCGCAAATATAAATTCCCAAACACATCATACATAAGAAAAAATTCATGACAGCGCCCTTCGATATGAGAGTGAGTGGCCATTCGTGAAGTATAGCTGAATTAGCCTCCTATCTAGGATCACTTCTTTTATTAATTCATCTTTATGTCCAGCCATCAACCCGAACGTCGACGTCTTCGCTCGAACAATGTAAGCGATGACTAGGATCAATTCGCAAGCTGTTGGACTTGGTTTCAACTTCATAATCATTTGCAACACAGAAGATCCAGCAAGGATATGCTCTATACAGTGTTTGAAGGAGAAAAGAAGATTATAGCGTATGGCAGCCCATACATTCAACAAGTCGCTAGACAAAGCAATGATCCAAATATATTATACAAAGATGAAGGTATATAACTAAGCAAGTATTGAGTTTCATACATCCTAGAAAGTACAAATCAACGCCTTTTGCCGAACTCCGCCTGACCGTACTTATTGACATACACAAATTCGCTAGCATGGCACCAATATCCCCTATGGTGAGGGGTTGTGATATCGAATCCACCATGAGGGCGCCAGATCTTTTCCATCTCTTCGCGAAACTTGGTCTTGGGCTGACCATCACGGATACGTAGCTTCTCAAAGAAAACATAAGCGGCGTAGAAGACAGCGTTCGTGTTGCCCGAGTTGGCACCGGACATATCCAGAAACCGGGTCAAAGAGTTGCCTTGGAACTTCACACCTTGTTCTGGCGGGTAGGTCTTCACAATCTCCCTGAGAAAGCCGGCTTTAGTAACGTTCGCATCCCGCAAATAGGCATGGATCTTCTTTCGGACCACGTCGCATGAATCATAGACCTCTACCTTGCCTTCCTCCTCTCCAGGAAGGTGAACCCCGCTGACATCGTATTTCTTCTGGGTATCCAATTTCGCCTGCTTGCTAACTGGCTTCTTCTTGGGTTCCGTAATGCCCTGCAGCTCCCGCTTGACAAAGAACCGGTGAGCGTAGAGATACGTGTTGGACTCGCTCCCTTTCATTTTGCCACTCAATTTAAGGAATGCATTATAGCTCCGTGACGAAACACCGATCGCATCTTGGAATTCGCCAATTTTCATCTCCTTCGACTCGATGAAGTTTTTGATTTTGCGGCGAACTTGGTTGCAGTCCCATTTTAAGACATAAAGACGCGGATCTTCATCGTCTATCTCCTCTATCTCCTCGGGCTCTGACGCGTCGGCTTTCCTCTGTCCCTGCTGTAGAGACCGTGGGCTGAGTAGATTTACCAGGCGACAGAATGATTGGGTTCGCGTTTTCATCGCCAGGCCTCACGTCAGGAATGTGGGATGTGCTGCTTGGTGGTTGGGACATAGGCACGAGGCCATTCGGATCTGCGGCATCCAGAGGGGCCCGGGCCGAAGCTTTTTTGGCGACACGAGGCATGGTTTTAGAAGACACTGAGCTAACCTTAGGCAAGGGAATAGACTATGGATCGAGGATGTGTAATCTACGGGCTAAACATGTTCGAGAGAGGCTTTGAAGTTGTGGAATAAGGGGTTGTGTGACTGGTCCATTTAGGGAAATCCTGTAAACAAACGCTTGTATGCACAGACCACATAAATCATATCCGCGTCATGGTTCGATGTCCCACCCGATACTCTACTTCCCACATTGCTTGAAACACAACAGTGAGCATTCTCTAGCATTGGCTCTTAATCTACATGTTGTCTGTATATTCAGCCCACAGTGAAGGCTGTCTCATAAGTATAGCTGTACTGTATGGTTAGACCACTGCTGTTGCTGTTATCACTGCAGCTGCCCGGGAAGCCCAGCTCTCGGAATCAAGATCTCCAAACGAGAGTTGCCACTGAGGAAACGTGGGGAGGAGTTGACATCATAGTGGAATCCTCAAAATGTCAACCGTGACCGTTAGCCGGGCTTTTCTTTCGCGACGACACCGACTCCTTCCCATATCCAAAGACCAATATCTTAACCGGAATGACTTGAGAGTAGGGTCCACGCCTGAAACAACTGTCGGAGAGAACTCCCGAAGATTTATGATTACAGATGCTATTGTAATCCTCATATAGAAGGACAAAGTAAAACGTGGCAGTTTAATAAACACTCCACCACACATCACGCCAATCAGTCTGGATCACTTTGACAGCGATTGCACGCGCTAAACCAGCAGCATAGCAGCAAATAGTAAACATGATAAGGCCCCAGTACTCTCCCCCGCACCGAGATAGGATCTCTCCTGCAATAGGAACTCCAGTAAGTGTTCTAAACAAATGGGTCAACAAACGCCATATCAACAAGAGATGCAGGGGGAAACTCACCCGAAACTGACAATAGTGTATGACATCGCGTAATACCGACCATAATGCTCTGTTTTGCAAAGCTGTCCAACACAGACCGGAGTCAAACTGATGTTACTTCCGCTGGCAAAACCAAATAGACAGCAATATACGACTATCATCGGGACGTTGCCGTTACCAGGTAGCCATAGACATGCATTGAAGATGAGGCAAAGGGCTACTGTGACGATGAGGGTATTAAACCGACCCAACCTATCCGCCAAGAATCCTGGCAAGCATCGCCCGAAAAATGAACCTGCGTTGAAGATGGCAAGGAGCTGATATGAGAACTCAGTCGAGATCCCTTCGGCGAAGCCGTAGGAAATTATATACGTGAGCGGAACGAATAACCCCCACTCGATGAAAAAGATAGACATTGTTGTGAGGAAAAACCTGATTTCGAGAAAAATACCAAAGTCCGGAAGGATGTGCTCTCGAGAAAAGGGATTTTTGGGCAGGCGTGAGGATGTCAGTAGACACGAGCAGGTCAAGGTCAGCAATGACCCGGGTTGCCCACGCAAAGCCAACTTTGTCAAAGACATTCTGAAGGGCCAGAGGCATGATGACGCCCCCTATGGAACCACCGCTGGCAGCAATACCAGTGGCAATACCCCTCTTCTCATAAAAGAAGTGACTCACGGCGGAGATGGCAGGGGTGAAGGTGAGAGATGTTCCGACTCCCCCAGCAACCCCAATGGAAAGCATGAAATGCCAATACTCCGTACAGAATCCAACCCCAATCATCATCGCCATGAGGAAGATCGATCCGAGTATGAGGAGAGGTCGGGGTCCCCGAGCATCAAAGATCGGTCCGATTTGAGCACCACAGAAGAAGGGCAGGAATGTATAGACACTGCAAATCCAGCCCGTGCTCCCAGATCCATATCCTTTTAGTTGATGGTTGTCTAAATATGCTTCGAAGACACCCATCGAATTGAGCAACCTGAGATTAGCGACCAAGCCTAGAAAGGTTCCTGTTACATATAGCCAGCTTTTTAGTCCTCCATCAGGGTAGATGATGTTATCCGCGTTGAGAGTAGCACGGTTTCTAGTCGGCAATGCGGATATTACATCCTGCTGGATTCGGTCAGAAGCATCTGTGTTGAATTCGTAGCTCTCTGTGAGCGACGAGGAATAGGAACGGTGTTGCTCAGTATATTTTGGATTGCCTTCAATGCGGTGAGTACTCTCCACTGGAATCACTGATCGACCAGGGAAATATGCAATTGGTGCGTGACTAGAAGGAAGAGAAGCTGAACCACCAAAAGGGATATGATATTTATGATTGCATTTCAAGGGCTGGGGGTGTATGGCGCGTTTTAAAGCATGTTCAAGGCACCGTAGTCTTATATGTAACACCCATTAGAGCTCTTAGCTTAGAAATAATAGAGCCTCTTAATATCGAGACCACAGTCTGCTAATATATAAGTCCGATCTCCGATCTCAACGCCCTCCACGGGGCAGTAGCCCTAGCATCCTGCCTCCTTGATCGACCAAATGATCTAGACTCAGCCGCCTACCGAACCGCCTTTGATGACACCATCAGAAGAATGGAGTCGCTGCAGGACCGCAGCCCAGTTTGTGTGAAAGCGCTACCCATCCTCCGCCATATACAGTTAGCATTCTACTATGTTATCTTTCATACCTAAGCTGACTCTTCCATAGAACATAGCTATTCGCAGACCATACTCAGCAGCCAGGGCGGGAAGATGGCTTTGACAGCACATTCGAGAGCTGGATTGATGCCGTACAGTGGTTCAACCCAGAGTCAATTAATTGGGTGTGTTGATTTGCTTTTACGTTCATCTGGCTACTCCCCCATCGATGCCTTTCTCAAATCGTTTATCTATCTTTGCTTCTACGCTGATAACCTCAAGCTAACATATTTGTTTCTCGTAGGACTTTGGGAATAATGAGTTAGGCACGGACGCTGGGTAATGGGACTACTATCTTCGTATATGTTGTGCATATATGCGGACTCTAGCGACAGAAACATACTTGTTAATTGTAAGTATAATTTAGGTAAGTAAAGATACATTTACCATGAACATACTCCCCATCAAATATAGCCGCAAATAAGATATTCCGAGTGTTTATGGTGCGAGGATGATGATCAAACGCAAAAGTGATAAACGCACTTTGCTCTTCGCGCTGCAATATTATATCCAGACGAACGTTGATACCGGTGCCACCCTACCAAGCTTTAACCCGTTGAAGTCTGCGCGTAACGATTTTGCAACAGAGCTAACTGGTTTGAGGTAGAACAATATACCATCTTTAGGCAGAGCATTTATCAGGAACTGCATCCTTCGCCTGGCCCAGCCACTTATCGTAGGAGTCACTCGCAGCATGATCATCAAGCATTGCGGTCCAGGTACCCTGTATATCATGTCGAGCAAGCTTCAGGTCGGCCGCACAGGACGGATTAGTCGGTGCTTTGACGGACTGCGCGTAACCCAAGTCCAAGAAACCACTGCTGGTAGATGCACTGCCAGTAGTGTCACCCTGCGACCAATGCAGACAGTCCTGGCAATGGAAGATCAATGAGAAACCCGTTGAGTTGGCAGTAGAGGAGATCGGCTTTACGGTCGCATTGCCGCCGTACACGCCGGGCATCGCGTATTCCGAGGTGAAGCGCAGGGAGGTCCGCACGGCGTCGCCATCTGGGTACGCAACGAATAAAAGGGCGTCTATCATCGAGCCGCCTAGTGTAATACCGCACCAGCCCTTTGCTGCGGACTCCTCGGTAGCTGTGCAGCGCTGTTCTGGTTAGCTTGTGCTGCAGCATATCACATATAAGTCAAGGGATGCTATGCTCACTAGGTATCCGATGAAGTCAGTAGCGTCTGATTTGAGCGCATTGTTTGGCAATGAGACTCCGAAGGTTAGCCCACCAGCCTTTGAGCTTGATGGCACGTTCCATGTATCGAAGGTGATTCCTGTGCCTGGGTCACTATAAACCACTGCTTCAGGAGCTTGTGCCTGGCAGCCAGGTAGTACTGGTCCAATAATGTCAGATAGTTTCTCAGATGATCGAACAGAGGCCTAGCATACATGTAGTAACAGCCACGAAGGTGGTTAGAATGGTGTTTCTCAATGTCATGTTGAGGACACGGGTGTTATGTGATTCGATAGAAAATTGCAGTCTGAAGCGGCCAGTTAAAGGTATTCATAGCTGCTTAAGTCGAACTAAAAACAATGACGTTGATTTCGAAGATGGGCAACATTCCTGACGCGTCGACATTCCAATCATGAGCTGTTTATTAGTTATCAGCTGCACTGTACGGGTGCCGTCCTGAAGCAAGGGATAGCCTGTCTACAAGATATAATGATCAATACGGAAATTGAGAAGGCTGGTAGTCGTCGTATGTTGGTCATCTTTGTGAGGGATAGAGTGAACAAGAGAACTTATAAAAAACAGACAAGCTAGTCAAGGTGCTGGTAGGGTCGGATTATTTCACTCATATCTATAAGGTATAATTAAGTATAAGTCTAGAAGTTTGACTGAGATAATCATACTGCTGGCTAATTGACGAGACTCTCTAACTTATACGGTAAAATGTGAGGAGTAATGACAGCTGTCGTCCTAACTAACCCAATACCTACAAATATATATTGCACCAACGCTTCCGAAAAGCTACGATTTCTGTGAAAATTATCGTACTTTAATAATAACTTAAAGTATGCTATATCGTATGCGTCCAGCATAAGATGGCTATCGAGATTGAATCTTTTAAATAGTAATAATTTTGATTAATCTTATCTACAATGTCTGGGGGATTATAAATCAAGTATACTTATTCTTGTACCAATCTAGAGTTTGTCAATTTAATACATAGATTAAATACAAATATCTATTTGATCTGTAATTTCATGAATCCCACCGGAGTCGAGGGGGGGCCGACGGCATCAACAAATTCGTTTATGACCAACACCCGAACGGAAATACAGGACCTGCGTCTTGTACCCCCGAGACCGGCTTTTTGCTTATAAATGTTCGCTCGAGGTGGAGTGATTATAAAACATCATCTTCTACACTGCTGCTCTATGCCCTCAAGACGTGTCCTGCCTACAGAAACTACTGCGCTCGAAATATTGTGCATTTAGGGTTATATTGATCCTCAACCATGTGTGATGTCCACGTCGGCTTTTAAGCCATACAGGGCAAATATGAATATTGGCTTTATTAGCTTGTTTTTTGTATTGAAGCAGTAAGCTTTACTTCAAATTAGTAGATAAATTCTTCTCAGAGGAAATAGTCAATCGTAATCCTCTCTACAAACTATTAGATTGCTATTATATTCCCTGATGGTTTCTGCTCAATTACAACGTTCTTAATGTTGGACTATAGGTCAACCACATGTTTTATCTAGTTATAAATTATAGTGTGCATCAAATCGTCCTTTTCCGGTCTTGATGTATTTTAGAATCCATAGGATTCACCATCTCTTGGTTTTGATTCAACTACGACTGGGTATGCTGAGAAAGCTCACACTAAGAGCCTGCAGACGGGATGTGAGAAGAACATGAACCAGGTGTCACATGCGTTGGAATTTATAACGAACATACATAATGTTTGTAAAAGAAACATAGTCTATCGCAGAGTTCAACTTCTATAATAATACATGGATGTAATTGTATTATGCCGCTCCTGATAATAAACCACCAATATCACTTCCATCCAGTTCACCTTCCTTTAAAGTGGTCTTAGGCCATATTACCCTGGTTTCTATTCCCTGTCCTAAGCGATGGCTAGAGCCAGCGCCATGGCTGCACCCCCCACAGCCAAGAAGCCGTGGCCAGTGGGTAGACCCATGGCAGCATTGTCCGTCTGCGACGCACTGGCGCTCGCACTGGCGCTCGTCGATGTCGCATTGGCAGATCCACTGACACTCGCCTTAACAGGAGCAGAGGCCGAAGCAGTGGGTGTAACAGAGGCAGCCGTTGCTGTGACGGTGACTGCCACGGAGGTAACAGGGTATTGATCAGTAGTGACAGATGTTCCAATGGTCGATGTTCCCCTTGTTGTTGTCCATGTTTGATAGCAAGTAGCGCTCTTATCGCCCATATCGCAACGTATGAACTCCTCACTGGAAAGACTTAGATTGTTTTTCCACCTGGTTTCAGTATACAATTGGACTTACCCTTCATATTCCAACCACAAGGTTTTAGAGCCAGAAACCAACGTCATATCGCAGTTCAGGGAGGTGTCGTCGGTGGCAGTGCTCGCGCTGGCGGTAATCGTAGCGGTAGCGCTTGCGGGACAGTTGGGTACGAATGACGTCGTGGAACCATTCTGTATTTTTGTTTCGTTAGCATATTACCATTCAGGACATAGCTTTACATGTGAAGGGTTGCCAGGAATCGTACAATGCCAACGATTTTAAAGTTGATGTCTGCAAGGTCACCCATCGAACCGTCATCGCTATCAGCTGGCACGGCCAGTGTGACAACACTGTCAGCAGCGACGGTCGTGGCTGCGACCAAGAGGGCAAGGGAAGAAAGTGTAAAGTGCATTTTGAATATAAGAAAGATGTTGTCTGTTGACTTATAAAGACAATTTAATGGGTGGGACACGATGGTTGGTTTGAGAACTCCGAAGGAAAACTGGGTATATATATACACAAGTTGCTCGGCAAGATTCCGCTCGGGAATATTGGTTCAGCATTAACCACCGTGGCTGAGCTGTCAAAAGTGGTGTAGTCATTAAATGACTATCTCCACTAGGATTGAGTGGTCTGTCATCAACCGAGCCACGTTAATGCCTGTTGTTGAGGCTCTTTTTCGCCCCCAAAAACAATCAAGTATCTTTAATCACACTAAAGCAACATGTAAACGAAGTAACCAATAGGATTGCCACGTTAGAATGAATAGAAATGGCTAAGCCATCGGGTAAACCCGCACTCAGCCTTGCCAGGGAATAATATTAGCAATCGTTGGTACCTGAGCTTATTCCACGATTCGGACGTTGCCGACGTTTCCACCGCCCCCAACTTACTAAAATCGACTATACTCCGTCGTAAGTGACCTGGAACTGCTAGAATCACACTAAAGGCTACACTAACTCTGATAGGAATGTCGACAGGAACATCATGATTGGCTCGAGAGCATGTGTCACTACGGTTGGTACAGGGACGGCTGTGCCACTAGGGCTGGAGATCACGAGGACATGGCTATTCGAGAATAATCCTTCCACTATGCCTTACATGAAAAGGATCAAGAATAAGATACAATATTGTGTACACTTTCATCTATCATTCGACGCTAGCAGATCAATAATTGGCTGGTTGCGCAATCCTTTAGCGAGATCCAACGCGGTCTTTCCCTCCTCATCAAGTATCATCACATCTGCCCCATTTTCCAGCAGTAAGCGAACAACTTCCTCTGCTTCACAAACTACAGCCATGTGCAATGCCGTGGCACCTCTCATTCGCATGAAGGAAGCATACGGGGTCATTTGGTTATTTAAATCTTCGCCCGACCGAACAGCAGCTTCAACCAGCATCTGGCAAATCTCATAAATGCTTTGGTATGTATCCCGATTATACCGATAGCCGAACAAAGCCGCGTGCAGTGCCGTCATCCCATTTCGCCCTTTTATGGAGACCTTCGCACCATAGCGCAGGAGTAACTTTACCCCCTGTACCGACCCGCCACCAGCAAACTGATGCAGTGGCAGTCTCTCAAGAGGTCTAGGTGCTCCGCCAACAAACTCCGGAATGGTAACATGTGTGCTATTGATATCCCCGCCTGCATTTCGATACGCGTGGAAAATCCGCTCTACCGTCTCCCAGCTCAGCTTTGGTGAGCAGGCAGCACACCCCAACGCAGATCGTTCCACGGCATCATGAGGTAAAGGATTTGCACCACGATCCAGAAGCATCGTGACTATCTCCTCGTTGCCATTTGCCGTAGCGAGTGTCAATGCCGATTGACCGTGTATATCCCACCCGGAAGGATCAGCCCCGTTTTCAAGTAGAATGCGGACAGAGTCAACATCTCCTTTTGAAATTGCACGGTGCAGGACCAAGACATCATCGGCGGGGGCGAATATATCTCCGGTTGCACCGACTTTGGCCCGAACAATATCGACGACTTTGCGGACAACAGTTGCACAACAGAATCCAGCAGCTAGGCTGAGGATCGTCAAACCAGTTCCCATGAGCCATTCGGTGACATTGGCGCCGTGGGCGATCAGCCAGAGGGCCATTTCCTCCCGGCCAAATTGCATGGCTCTGGCGAGAGGGCTGTATCCGTCATGGCACCTGTCAATATCCATCCCCTTTGACACGAGTACCTCGACTAGATCAATATTTCCACCCTGGGCAGCTAGGTGCAGGAGACTCGATCGAGGGGTTCCGCACCGCGATAGTACATCTTGAGATTGCGATTGGAGATAATTGAGTATGACTTTTGAATGCCATCGCGGTACACATTCAGTCCAATGGAGAGATGGCACTTCAACCTCTGAGGCAGTCGAAATAGTGTGAAAATCATCCAAGTCAGAATCAGGATTTTCCTCCGGCTCCAGGGGTAGAGGTTCATGAACCACTTTGTTGTACAGACATGGCGTCAGTAGTCGTGCGACGCCCGTCTGGGTCTGAATCAACGCGGCGAGACTAGCATCCGGGAGAAAGCTGGCTACATGCAGTATGAGCTCCCGGGGGAGTAGACAGAGCATCATACAACGCTTCTTAGCATATCCTGCGTGAAGATGAAAGGGCAACTGAAGAGGTCCGAAGACCGGAGTCTAGTTTCTTAGTGCGTGTTAGCCTTAAAAAGGATGAACTTATTCACCCGGCATGTCTTTCGGGACTAGCTATCCAAGAGTAACACCCTCATTCTCATTATCTCGCTTTACGCAGCCGTAGCCTTGGTCAAGGTCCCTGAGGCTCGCCGCTCAAGGATATTTTTTTTTTGTCAAAGACCCGCGGCAATTGAGCGAACAATGTACATTGTGCCTCAGGCGCTAAAGGTCATCTGATCGCATCACCGCCTTGGTTTCGGCACAAAGGAAAGTCCGATGCCGAAAGAGAAAACCTTGGAGCAGATGCTGCCTGAGATGGAATTGCTGCCTTAGGTTGTGGCGCACATAATTTCTCTCTCTATTGAAGCTATCCGGAGAGCTGTTACTCTCCTGTCCCTGTGACTCCATGGAAGTCCAACATCTATTCACGGGAATACATGCAGCGCCTGGGTGTCATGACTTGTATTCAAGGGTTTTTATTTAATACTGTAGTAAAGATCTGGTGAGATAGGATCAGAATGTTATTCTTGAGATACACTGAATGGACTTGAACTCGAATATAATGGCTATCCGACAAGCAGATATCCAGCACCAATCGTGCCAAGAAGAGTCCACAGTGAGACTCTAGCTTCATGTCCTGTTCCAGATTCCGCAGTGGTTGTGTCACTCTTACCGCCAGATTCTGATTTGGTTGGTACAGCCTTGTTTGTGGCCGCAGCTGTGATGGGGCGTGGACTGTCATGGATTGTCCATGTGAAGGTGTTACCGCTCACTGGCGTCGAAACCACACCACCAGTATTGTATAGTGTTTCCGTCCCATTCGCGGGCAGCTTTCCTGGGCCATGGAACTCCGTCAGGTTGCTAAAGCCTAGATCCGCTGTGCAAGTGTCATTATCAAGATATGTCCCGCACTTGTCCCAGTCACTGTTCTCCAGGAGAGCCTTATACACGGCATCTGCATCCAGCAGGGCGGGTATTGTATTTGGGCATACGTCCCATATCCTTAATCAGAAAGGTTAGCAATGCGAGCTTTAGGCAACGGCTCAACGTGTTCCCCGCACGTACGATGAAATATAAGAGCTTTGGCCACAACACAGGCATGTGGCCCCATAGAGCATGGTCTGCTCGTAAGGCCAATCCGGCTTCATATTGTCGTAACACTCATGCATCGCATTTTCCGCCACTTTCTGTACCTTAGCCACTCTGCCCAGATTACAGGAGCAGCCACCCGGGGCATTATCAGGAGGCGGGAAGAAAGGGACTGATTCGATATCCGTGTTCACGCAGGAGTCAAGCAAGTCGTAGGCAGTCTTTTGATATTCGCAAGAATATACCTGGCAACCAGCATATGTTAGGAAATGGATTGCATTGTTTGTTGTGAAAACGACAGTTTGCGTACCTGATTCCAACAACTAGTTGCGGTACATTCAATGTAGTCAGTGTTCTTTAAACACTCGCAGGCATTGATGCAGTCTATTCCCAAGTCGGGACACTTCGATTGCACGCATGCAGGGTTCCCATTGCAGGATTCCGTACATCCTTTACTTCCGCCAGCACAGTTGTTATTGACACAACTGGCAAAATCCTGGTCGGCATCTTGGTAACATGATTCGAATCCCGATGAGTCAACGCAATCCGACGACTGGAAATACCCCACTTGCTTGGCAACGGTTGTGGTCACAACGGAGGCTAACGAAATCCTGAGAACGGTTAATGGCTTCATGGTGAGGATGTGTTGAGGCGTACAGGTGCGTTGTACGATCTACCTCGGGGGTTTGGCGACTAATAAATCCCATTTTATGAAGCTGCATAAAAGCAGGATCGGATATAGCCGCAAGGCTCTCCCAGGGTTCACTGAGGGACTCTGCATTAGCCCTTGGAACTAATCTGAGCCCAAGCCACCCGAGTGCCTTGGCATTCATTCCCGGACCAATCTGGGGATAGCCGTCCTGTGAGTTCTCCAGATCAGGATAGGCCCCACCCAGCTGGAGGCAGTTATTCTGGTCAGAGAGGCCTAGCGTTACATCGGAACAAGGGATGTTGCTGGAATTATGGGTGGTGGAGCCTAACGCACATTGTCCCACTTCAGTGTTCATCCCGCGACGGATACGAGATTTGTCTGTCTCATTTACCAACATTGGCCTAACTAGAAGTCAATGGTACCTCAGGCTGGCCTATCACCGCTGCCTCCTTTCTTTCCGTGTACGCCTCGCCTCCCCAATCGATCATCAAATTCGCCTTGCTTCTAAATAATAAGCCAATCGGGTCATCGGAGGATCTTGTCCACATCTAGTATTTATCGATTGAGAGAGACCCTTCTTGGCACTTCATATCTGTGCCAATATTGGGCGTCCCCATCGACCCGATGTTTCGCAGGAGGCGCCGCAATGCGGAGCTCCATCTCCTCTAGAGCTTTGTGCAATGTCAGTCTGGAGTAAATGCCATTGATCCCTCCCTCCGCTTCCACAAAGGTGTATATTTTACAGCACCGGTTTTAGCAGGGTTATGTGGCATGGATACCTCAGTTCAAACTGGGTGTCATCGTTGCAAAATCGACGCTCGCAGCAAACTAATATTATCATATTCCGTGTACCTAAGGGTAGTCCTTACTTCGGTCGGGCAGTCACTTGGTGTCCGTGCTATTGATTGCTCCGGGAGGCAATCCAACTTGTCAATATCGCCTACGTCTTACCACATGATGGCCTCCATACGCCCGGCACGGTATCACGAAGGCACGTACCCTTCTATCATCTTAGTCGTGTCTTTCCTCCATAGGTCTTTGCTATTGTAGAATAGATCGATCACAAGCAAAACGAAGAGTTGAAGCAACAGACCTTCTTCGGAAAATACTGGGATGACTTACAACCTTTCTGGCGGCGACTAATACGAACAAAGACAATAAGAGAATAATCTTCAACCTCATGGGACAAGTCGAGTTTGCTATTCTGGTCAGCTTCCTCCTGGTGTAAATTGATTAGCACCTACGATACCGGACAGATAACTATGTTCATACTGAGACTGGCGCTAATTGCAGAACGGATTAAGGTTCACAACCGAAAAGTCAACTTAGCTCAACTACTCTGTCAATATTAACTACGTACTGATTCAGTAAATTACAGTGCATAGCCCACCAAAGACAATCAATATCATGTTCAGACTCACCAAGCAGTGAATGTGCGAATAACATCAGAACAGCCAGAGCAGCCCTTTCTAACATTCAAACCTGTACTGATTGAAATCAACATTGTGTATTTACTGCGAATTAGCGGAGATATTTAGTTTGGAGTAAACTCGTTGATAGAGTTGTTGGCAGTTGACAAAAAGCCCCTTGGATAACCTTTCAAAACACGTGTGGAGCCGTTCCCTAAAAAAAATTCCCGCCGATGCGCGTTTTTTGCGTTATTGTCGGGTAGCGGCAACAACATTTTAGTAAAGCTCGGAACCGTCCTGATGTTGAATATTCCCATTCCTAAGCTTTTCCAAGTCTATCTGTATGTAAAATGAATAGATTAGGAGGTCGGATGCTTTCATCGTGGCAGCCAGTCCGGGCGTTCCGGCCGAACTTTCATTGCCACAAGCTCCTTTCGAGTTTCCCTCCCGCGCAAGCCGGCCATTCCAGTCAGGACAAGAACATTGTCGAACCCCAAAATGGATACTGTCGCTCAGCAACTGCCTCAGCCACAGCGAGCAAACAGTCGTTATCAGCGTGGCAATTAAACTTCTGGAAATGCCGTCATACATGGAAACGCGCAGGGATCAACACGCTACGCTGCCTAGTCGGCTGTACGCTAGGTGATTTCTCCGCCCTGTGGATGCTCCAGACGTTCTACCCAGGGCTCGGGATGGGTACTATCATGGCCGCGTCTAGTAAGTTCTTTTTCCCCAACCCATTGTAAGAGAGGAGAAACCATGTCCCCAGCTGCTAACACAACGCAGTGGCCTCCGGAATAAGCACGTCGATTATTCTTGAAACGGTCCTCCTCCGGCGTGGAGCGGACCAGCTCTCCTGGCCGATGGCACTTCGTACTGCGATGGGGATGAGTATGGTATCGATGCTTGCAATGGAAGCGGCAGAGAATGTTGTCGACTACCACCTTACTGGTGGTGTTGTGGCTCTGGACGACCCGAGTTTCTGGATGGCAGCTGCTGTCTCGATGACGGCTGGCTATCTGGCTCCGTTGCCGTATAATTACCTACGGCTGAAGAAATATGGGAAGGCCTGTCATTGAGCATCCGATAGGGTCCCGGAGTGATAGAAGTGCGATATATATATCATGTATAGCTGCTATCGATGAATCCATCATGTATAACTATGCAAATACGGCGGTAAATATCTCCTATAAAAATTGTTGTAATTGTTACATTGCCGGTGTTGATCAAGAAAGGCAGCTATGTGCAGAAAAGACTCCATATCGGAGGTTTTCTCCGACCAGAAAAGCCACAAAAGTAAGATTGCTAATTGTACTAGGGGTGACATTTTTTCGGATACTTTACCGAAATGTTAGTGTTTCTGAAATTTATGTAGCTTTCTATCTTCTGAATTTGAAATTTAAGTATGGCCTATTTAGAGTTGATATCGGGTCGGGTTCGGGTCCAAAATCCACAACCCGCCCCGAAAATCGCTAGGTTAGGCCGGGTTTTGGGCGAGGTTGTGCGGGGAACCCGATCAACTCTAGTGATAGCCTGAGCCTGAATCTATACTAGTAATAGAGAATGTATGTTTTTTTTATTATTTCCCCCGGATCGAGTAAGTGTCATTCAAGGCAGGAGTTACATTACTGCACTTACTATTTTACTCTCTAAACTTTAATTCGATTAAGGATTTTTTACTTAGCTAAAATATAAGGCCAGGAAATTCTGGCTAATGTTTAGGGTAAATCTTGGCTAAGGCTTTTGTACTGTCCTTCAGAAGTATTTCGATAAAGTTAGAGAAGTGGAGTGCGGATTTACCGGAAGGAAGCTATGTAGGTCCGACGAGGGCATTCTGAATCGTCGATTCAGAATTATTATGACCTTTTAGTCTTGTGGAATATGGAGCCCTAGCGATCTCTCTTACAGTGGAAGGCCACTTTCGAAATATAGGTATTGTGGTTGAAAACTTGGATTGATAGGAGGGATTATATGACAAATCGAGTAATTAGCGACGTATGTATTACTAGGAAAGACGCCAAGGTTGCTGGTTTAAAAATTCGAGAATCCTACTCTACATCATGCGTATAAAGGAACGATACTCCGCAGTGGCCTCTTCTCTATATTTGGGCTATTCACTCCAGCTTTAAAGCTTATAGATACCCGCCTGGCACTCAGCTTCAAGGGAACCAAGGATAAAGAACTCCAATAAATTGAACCAGCACTTTTGCAGAAGCTACAATAAATATACTAAGAATCTGATGTTTAAGACTGAGTTTGCGATCCCTGCTAATCTCTGTGTTACGGAAAGGGTTCGCCAGATTTTTATACACCTGTGTCTTGGTAGATTAATAATAAATACATCAGTTTACTAGTGTACCATTTTCTAGACAAACATTATTCTAGTGGCGACTCGAAAGGAACAATCTCTCAATTACCAAACGTCTCCACTTTCCTTTCCTATCGTGCCAATCCAGGGAACATATTGCGGGTTACGCAGGAGTTAAGTGGGACAATATAAATGACTATATTTCTTACAAGCTTATCAGGACCAGTATCCTGCTCAAGGAAAGTGTTTGGTAAAAACTAACATAGGATAATCTTGTTGTAAGCTTCTCAGCGGCATCTTATGCCTCAAGGAGGTGGTATTATCCCTCTCAACACCTGGATCAAATATCTCTCCATATCACCTCTGTTGACACGGAGTTGGGGCATTCCCGTACCCGTTTCCCGCTCCTGCTGAGCGAACTCCGTTGGGGTTCAAACGATGAGGTTTTCGGACATACTAAACGGATAGTGCTTATTTACCTGTATTGCTGTTCAAGCTGGTACTTGAAATGCAAAGCCCTAGACATTCTGGACAACTCTTGGCATAGTTAAGGAATTTCCTAATTGTAGTCTCCTATCATACAAGACACTAACACCACTTACCGATAATCATATAATATCATTAACTCGGCATCTACTATCTGGCTGCCCAAATTGAAGTAATGACAAATGAACAACCCCTCATGAGGCCACATCACACTATAAGACTTATTTTGCATGATTATTACCACCTTGAAAACTTCTGCTCAACGTACATTTATATTCAATTTCCATCCAAGATGTTTGGATCTCCATCCATTGCTAACCAGGTCGGAATAATTATTGGGACATAGCTGCTGTTGTTCTCCTTTCACTATTTTACTACAAATCGACAGGTGAACAGCCAAGGCTTACGAGACCATTGAAACCCTGTACTCGTGTCAGTGATCATCTTCAATGGACTTTAGATAACCGAAGCCATATGCCATATGACTATAACCTACATTTCCTGTACAGCAAACTGTCTGGGCTGAGCAAGTTCCAACCACAGAGATAGGATTGCCTTGAAAAGATAGCTCGTTAGTTTTCTAAGGCGCAAAGGAGAATATTCAGACATACAAACTGTTCCAACTCTAGTGTCCGTGTTTTGAGGAACTATTCCGAGCAAGCCAAGTAGACTGGCAATTGGGCCGTCAGAAGGTGAACCGAGCGATTGGCAGCATTGAAGGGATGCCGGGGCGGTGCATTGTGAGGCTGGCTCCGCCAAAGTCGTAACACCCAGTACGCAAAGGGTGGTCAAAATAGTAGAAACCTTCATATTGAAGAGAAAAAAATGATATCAACAATAATCAATAGTCAAGGGCCCTTAGTTATTATGGCGTTGTGGGAGAATGTTCATCAAGATTGTTCGCTGGTATGTCCTGTACTCGTGGTATTTATATCTCTCATAGACCCTCACTTCCACATCCACCCCTAACCAAATTCGGTTTGGTAGCCAAATACAAAAAGGACGCAGCCACTTGTAAGTTCCGGTCGCGTGGTATGGTTATAGTGGAGCTTCTGAGATAGCTGAACTGTGGATCATTGAATCCGGCAGTAGAGCTTGAGGAAAGGATCAACATAAAAAGTAATCCTTTAGGTGCTAGCCGTTCCATAACCGGCTACCGTCATGCTATGCGTTCTGCCTTGGGTGTCCGGCTTTGATAAGGTGCGTCTAATAAAGGTTGAAACCCAATTCTTACCAAGAGGGATAGTAGAATCACAAATTAGCAAATAGGTTGACGAACATCAGTAATAGTCATGTCTTGAACAGCGATTACCAATAGAGATACTTTATTAAATCTTGGGTTAGGTGGGTCTCTTCGGCAGATTGAATTTTTATCACTGCAAACCAGCGCGAACTATTGAACTCAGTCCTGGAAGCGAAATGTCGGTCATGCAGATATGATACATCCGAAGTGTGCTTCCACCTTTTGGATAAAACCAAGTCTCCTTATAAGCTTTTATACGCTCCTAGTCTCAACACATTATGCAGTTGGATTTGTTACCCCTTATAAAGTTCGAATATCTTCAGTAGTTTCTTAGGAAAGTTTCTTACTCTATTTTCTTTTGCCTCCCAGATCCAAGAGTTGTTAAATTCATGAGTTGTTTGTGTTTAAAAACTTAAAATGGCTTGCCCGCTGGATAAAATAATATGGCGTTGCTAGAGGGAGAAGACAATGATGGCAGGAACAAGGACATTGAACTATCTGTCGTTATTATTTGCATGTGAAGAGCACATGTTTCTTATATCTTCTTCATATTGACTTCACAGCATTGATACTATTGTGTAGAGTAAAGGTGATGGAAGAGGAAGCATTACAACCCCGGAATGTCTTAAATACCTGGCTTTCACGTGAGGATGTACGAGCCGCAGACCTTCGAAGCACACATATCGGGCACTTTTCGTTCGATTGCACATTCAACAGAAGTAGTAATATTTACAAGGGGGAGCAAGCTGAAGCTATACACAGCCAAGCCAGTGATGTTGCTTTTTGGTTAAGAAACTACAGGGCGGTTAGGACTAAAAGACCGATAATAACAGGTATATATCGGTATGATCAAAGAACTTCACACACTCCAGTTCCAAAACTGACTGGATATTTAAAAATCGGCGAGATGAAGATTGGTGGGCCATTTCGAAAGTGATATCAGGCCACCAAATACCATAAGTGAAGCCACCATTGACCAGCCAAAGTCAAATTTCTATCACTATGAGCAAATGTCGTATGATGTTAAAGTTGGATGGTGTGGATTGGACCAAACAAAGTGAGAAAGCTCTGGATATTAGTCAGCTGATGAGTGACATCAATGAGCGCTCTATGATCAACACCAACTGTCATGACGCAAAAGGGCTTTCCTGGAATAGACACTAACACTGCTAATGGACATGAATATATCTGTCAATGGTATTACCCTGTACATTATGAAGCTTGTACGCATGAACTGCGGAAATTTGCCATCTCCGGTTATATGCTAGGAGGGGGGTTCTAGACTTGCAAGTGGCACAGATAGAGCGAGGCACAACGAATTCTATACTCTTAGAGACTTATCCTGTACGGTATTGGCTGTACAGTAGCCAGTATATACTAGTCTATCTTGAGTGTTACTCTGATTTACTCATGTCTATTCAATCTAGATCGTTTCTTACGTAGTTCATTATGTGTGACCCCCGCCACCTCGAACCTTTTCTAATCAATCACGTATATACCCTCATCATTCCTTCTGCCTATACGAAACCGATCCCTAGATATATACAGACAATGGTTATATGAATCGGAAATATTTCCCATAGATGTCACTCTTCGGAGTGTTAACGGTACTCTGACAGTCGCACTTCAAACACGTCCACGGCCATGGTCGGTGACACCATTCCTAAACTCGCGGTTCTCATTGACGCGGATAATGCTCGGCCCTCCGTTGTGGATCGCCTCCTCTCCGAGATCGCGAAATATGGTACAGCTCATGCAAAGCGGGCATATGGGGACTGGACTACAACCTATCTAAACGGCTGGAAGGACGAGCTCCTTAAACAATCGATCCAGCCCATCCAGCAGTTCGCGTATACCCACGGAAAGAATGCAACTGACTCAGCTATGATTATCGATGCGATGGATCTTCTGTACTCCAACCGGTATGATGGGTTCTGCCTTGTCTCAAGCGACAGTGATTTCACTCGGCTGGCTGCCCGTATCCGCGAGTCAGGACTAATTGTATATGGATCCGGGGAGAGTCACACACCCAAGCCCTTCGTCGCTGCCTGTAGCAAGTTTGTTTACACAGAAAACCTCGTGCATCTTGACAAGCTTGTGCCGCACGCCGACAGTGTTGCCGTGCCTGAACGTCATTCATCAGCTCTACAAGCTCACAAAGATGACGACTTGGCAGGTCGGTTGCGAACAGCGGTAGAAGCCGCCTCGGATGATGATGGGTGGGCAAGGCTTTCTCAGGTGGGCCTGCTGCTCACAAAAAAGCACCCTGATTTCGACTCTCGTACATATGGATACCATAAGCTCAGCGATCTTATCGGCTCCTCGTCTTTCTTTGAAACCACCCGCCGCTCGTTTCGAAAGGGGTCACCCGCGGAGATCACAGTACGCGATAAGCGTCGGAACCCTAAGAGTTCTGCTAATTAGGTGGATACGAGTTGCTTCTCTCTATTTGCCTTTATCCAATCTATTAGCAATTCGTAGTAAGTTTTATGTATATTGTTTTTCCTTTTCCTTTTCCTTAATAATTGTACCAAGGCGATTTCTAGCTATAGGCGCGCCTGAAATCTCATCCCATACCTCACACATTATTATTTGAAAGGAGTAGGTGCTAAATCGTTTTTTTATTATATTACGTATGTACAGTCATCATCAAAGTCAATTTACCCACGAAGATATAATTATTTCCAAGTCAGGCAACATAAGGTCGAGGCACGTAGTAAGATACATTCTGTATAATAAAATAGCCACTCAAAGGTAGTTACCCGTGATATCGCACAGTACAATAAATCTCGTGGTCAGTTAGTTATACTACAGTGGAAACTTACATAAGCCTTACAACAGGTCCTGCAAATCCATGGAACCAAATATTATAATACTGCTGTGGTTATAAAAGCACCAATCCATTGTCCTATGGGCTTGACAGTGCTTTAAATCCTTCATTAAGCTAAACCGATCAAGCTTAAACTACTTATTCCAAAAGTAAAACAATGGCCCACCCAGAACAATGTCATTGACTTGATCCCGGATCCGATCCCAAGCCTTTCAAATATGGAAGTTTGTTCTCTTCCACGAAGATATTCTGGTAAACTGAAAGTAGCAAAAATATGAGAAGTAACTGATTACTTGAGGTCTCCAGGTCTTCGAAGCTGGACAAATGATGAAATATCCAGACCAGTCAACAAGTGTTCCAGACTTTCTAGCTGGGTAGTCAAACTTGACGATAAGCCGCAACTATGAGCTCTCTTGCCCTTTTGGCTGTACCACTGAGGATACTCCATTTTGCGGCATTCGTTGACCAATCCAGTAAAAGACATCCCTGGAAAGTCTGATATTGGTCTTGGGGAGAGTACCTCCATTTGACACATCTGTTTCGTTAATGCCCCAAGTAGCATGCAATCACATTCGTAAGAACATTGGATTGTGCTGCTCTGTAGCCTCGACAACTGGTCATGCATACACTCAATAACCATTTCAATTGCATTCTCTCTTGCCATATTGATCGCATCTGGATTTAGATCAACTCCCGAGCATTAAATGGAAAAGGTGAACTAGCTCTCGATGTGCACTTACCTCGTACACTAGAGGGGAATGGGAATTGGATGGTTGCCAAATTGGTTCTGTATCTGAGCTGTAGGTATTTCGAAGAGGTTTCGAAAATCGTATTTTGTTGGAAAACCCAGGATACGAACAACCATTTCTCTGCATCGGATACCGATGCGAAGGGTATCTCGGCTAGGGCATTAATCCACATTTCTGAAAACACTTCAACTGCTTCATAGCATTCGTAGTAATCGACTAATAGAGCTATCTCTGCAAGCCTTTCTAGAGATACTTCTCGAGGCACTGTCCGTGTTCGGCCGTGAATTATCATTATCAAGATCAGAAAAGGTAGAGCCGGCCAATCTTGCACGGGTATTGTCAGATAGCCCTTAGACTTTAACTCATTTCCTTCTTGAAACCCATGTTGTAGTGTACGTTTGAACTGTGGACAAGCAAGCGTGAGGTGCTTAGAGGATGCGCGAATCTGAAGATGTTGCTCGACATGTTCGTGGTTCCGGGATGACTCGGCAGGTTTGTCTATATCATCAGTATGGTCGACTTCGACGATCTCGCTCTCTTCTTCCATGTTCCCAATATCTGGTGGCGGTTCAGATACTACTTCAGAGTGCATAGAAAGGTCCGAAAATCCAGTAAGTGTAGAAGCATCGATATCCCACATGCTCCCTGGCAGATTCTCAGGAACATTGTGCAGAACCAGGATAACATCACCTTCCGGATCTAGTGTGTAGATTATATCGTCCATGTTTTCAATGTTTTTTAGTTATTTGGGCTTACCTCACGAAAAAAAAAAATGGAATAAGAGAAAGCAGGAATAATGCTGGACATCTTGGACGAGGCTGAAGTGGGGTTAAGTGAAGTGGGGTAAGATGCAAGGTGTGCATGCCAGTTCATCATTGATCTATTGTTAGCAACTATTTACTCACCGTAACGTACCAACCTCTCACAACTCCTGATGCACGGCCATCATTTGCTAACATGCTATCTGGGTCGGGCTTGGAAGTAATTGACGGTACACGACATGAGCTGATCGACTAGAGTGGACGTTCAAATGAACCTTAAAAACTCTTGTATCTTCCTGCCCTCAAGACTAGGAGAAGTTATGCTTACGGCGCCCTCGTAGGTACCGCATAATGTCAGATCACTTATCTTACAGACCTCAGTAAGACACCGGTTATTTGTGATAAGATACTTCGATACCACACAGTACCCTGAAACGAACGAAGAGAAAGGAGGGGAAGTAAAGGAGGCTGCGAAGGCGTATGTAAAATGACTAAGGACGTTTCGCGTGAAGCGCTTCCTTCCACCTCTGCTGTGTCGGGAATCTCTCCAACCCGGGAGGCATGGGGGCATTTTTAAAGTTCTGATATATAATATTACTCTAATATGCAAGCGATACATTCAATTGGAGGACAACTGGAAGTGCAGTATATTATAGTAAAAATCATGAATCATTAGATTGTATCTCATACCATACGCGTTATGTTGCTCCCATCATCCAGTTGATATGCGAAGTGTACGCTTTCTCCCTCACAACCTTCTTAACAGGATTCCCATGCTCATCAAATTTGCCTTTTACAACCACTTCCCGCCAACCGTGACCCCAATCTAGTTCCCACTTGTCATCCTTCTTCTTGGCTTGACGCGGAGAAGTCGGGAGCCGGTCTCCAGACTCTCGTGCTCTCTCAACGGACGCGTAGAACTGGAGCGCCTTCTGAATTTCTTTTATATGCTTCTGGGACAGGTTGCTCGTAGATACCTCCACCTCACTTCCACCACTGGCATCCTTGATACACTCGCAAGCCCAGCAGAGACAACAGGTATATGGCTCTGCAAACTGCCTTTTCCATAAATCAGCAGTATTGGTCTCAGTTGTAGTATTTGCCGTAGATTTCTCGGTCTCCAAGGGTCTTGGAACTTTGGCGTAATCCAATTCTCTTCCAAAAGGCCGGCTGGCGAACGTGTGAAACTTGTCTGCATAAAGTTGATGGGTTCTCAACGCGAGCTCAATATCCCATGTTGGCACCAAACCAGCACGTCTGTCTGGATGTAAATGTACGAGAAGAAGAAATCTCTTATATCTCTCCATGCAGCGGGTCAATGATCCCGAGCATGCGGGCGAGCGGAGCCAGAGAAGCTGATGTGTGTCATTAACAAAGCTGTCTTGCATGGCGACTGCGTCTTCCAGGTCAATTGAGCACTGGGCACCTATCGACGCGGTGTACGGAGGTGGAGATGAAAGACAAGAAATAAGATCCACAGCCTGTGACGACATGGTCGTAAACATATTCGCTGCCGCAGTTGGCAAGTTGTAGACAAGTGTCTTCTGATCAATGACTTCGTAGAGGGCGTGCCAAGGAAAACAAAGCATGAATGCATTTTGTTTACCAAATTCCACACAATCAGAAGAGTAGGAAGGATGGAGAATGTAGCTGTACCACACCAGCAGCACATCTAATGGAGGAAGATAGTTTTTGGAGAGAGTACTAGTGTCCTGCTGCGCTGCGGCAGGGATAGTGTTGTATGCTTTTGCATGTCGTATTACCTTGTCAATATTTTGCCACCAAACGTTAAAACGGCCAACGGCTGCTTTTACGAATAGTTCCCATTTCTTTATCTGGCTTGTACGGACTATATCCGCATCCGCAGCCGTAGGGTGTGTTTGGGAGTTTTGAGTATTTTCTGCGGAGACAAAATGGGGCACAGTTGGTCCGATGACGGCGTCCAGTTCCTTGGAGTTTGTAACATCATTTCTTAGCTTATAGAAACATTCAATGAGACATAGGTGCATTGCTAAGTGATTAGTTGATGGATACAAAAGGTCGACTTTGCCTGTGTCTGAGGCATCGAGAGCTCTGGGTGTGTGACCAGGAGGGATGGAAATTCCTCTAAATATTTCCGAGTCTGGGATCCGTACTTCCTCTTCCCTAGAGCTTGCGGGAGCCAAAATGGTTGGGCTTATCTTCCATGAATGCTGATGCGTTGATGGCTCCTGTCGACCAAATCGCAGTCCACTGAGTCCTGATGGCATATTGTTTCATAAATTGGAATTGGAACACCTGATTTTGTCCGGAATGATTTAATTTCATATATATCGCAGTAAAAGGATTCGCAAATAATAGGTGTTCCCATTCAATGTCAATATGGTTCATGGACCATCGCCCCCTTTATGATGTCGCTGGCAAAAAGCATAGCCACGGACCATAGCCACAGAACATAGCCACGGTTCAGTACTCTAGTGAATTACTACAAACAGTAAGGCGTGCCTATCTAGGCATAGCACCAGCTTGGCTTTTGACATGTAGGCATAATCTTATAAATGATTCATATATATTAGAAAATAAGTTATGATTCCAAAAATACAGCCTTGGCAAGAATGAATAACGCCTAGAAAGGCCTTTACTAAATAATAATAATTACCATAAGTTAGGAGAAACTTCTATTATGCTAGATAGAGTGTATACGACATCATGCACTGCTAGAGTAGCTAGGGACATAGTCCACAGCTTTCCAAACATCTGGTTTGGTCTTGACGATACTGTAATTTTTTGTTTTCTCGATCTATTCCTTGAAGCACATCATAAGCTTTGAGCGTTGAGGGTTATATTACTCAGATATGCCCCTCGCTTCTTGAATAGTCTATCAATAGCCTACAACAAAGTTGAATGCGCTGCTTGTCTCTTGTGTATCTTCATACCTTTTTTACATCACATATCAAAAGTATTATCCAATAATGTAATCGCAGATATATTTAGCCCATGGTCAGGGCCATCACTCGGACCAACTGTTCCTCATCCTCCCTCTTACTTAATTAAGAACCAGTAAACACCAGACATCATGCAAGCCATTCGGGTTCATCCCGCCCCAACTACTGCCATGCACCTGGACAACATCCCCATCCCAAAGCCTTCACAGCCTGGGGAGCTTCTCGTCCGCGTCAAAGCTATAACCATTGTTCGCGACATGTTAACCTGGCCCGAAACCTACAGTCATGAATACGTCACTCTTGGCAGCGATGTGGCCGGAACTGTAGCCGAGGTCTTCTCGTCCGATAGCAAGTTCAAGCCAAGCGACCAGGTCTTTGGCATGGCTGATATAGACCGCGCCGCCATCTGGGTTGAATACACCATTCTCAAAGAGGATGAGATCGCTTTGAAGCCTACCTGATTCAGTTTTGCCCAAGCTGCCACTTTGCCGCTTAGCGCACTAACCGCATATGAGGCCTTATTCGACCACGCCCGGATCCCTCGCCCTACCATGAAGGGGATCAAGTCTCGCGCTACGCGCAAGCAAGAGCAGCGCGTGCTGATTACCGGGGCTGCGGGTGCGGTGGGAGTGTATCTCGTTCAGCTTGCGGCAGCGGCGGCTGGCGTAACGGTAGTAGCGGCTACTAGTTCTAATGCGCGTAACGGAGAATTTCTCCAGTGTCTTGGGGCATGTGGGGTAGTCGAGTACGGTATGCTGGGATGTTACCGGGGAACGTTCGACGTCATTATTGACGTGGTTGGCGGGGAGCTGCTGGTAAAATGCTGGGACTACGTCACCGAGACTGGGATGCTAATTTCTATCGACTCTGCAAGTTTCAACTTTGTGGAAGAGCATGAGAAGCGCGGCCTGCGCAAATCAGGAGTGTGTGCTCTGTTTTTTATTGTGAAGGGCAGCGCTGATGCATTACACTACCTTGCAGAACTGGTGGGTGTCGGAGCTGTGTAGTCACTGGTAGCGGACACGTTCCCTCTTGCAAAGGCTCAGGAGGCGTACGACCTTGCAAATGGACAGCATTCTGGACGGGGCAAGTTCATTCTCACGGCCTAGTAGTAGTGATGGCCTTTCGCTATATACTTCGCTTAGTCTATGGCTAAAACCTCCCAAACTCTTCCTGGTTGGCATTGTGCCAAAGTAGGTTTACGTATCAGCTCGGGTGGAAGAGCTTGCTTTATCCCACGTTCAATGCTCTGCTTTTCATAACGCCTTATCCGCAGATTTGTTGACATGCGTAAGCTCTATAGCTCTGACACAATGCCGGTAAAAGGTTGCACCGCCCCGCTTCTACACCTCTTTCGCTTTCCTTGACGAGCTTGGGGAAGACAATGGAAGCACATCTTACGCCATGCTTCTCGTCGCTGATGTCGTCCATGGCAGGAGAGCAACTTTCGTGCTCTCGATGTTCCCATCCCTGGCTGGCCAGTGGACATAATATCTGCTCTCGCTGTCAAGAGTGCCCACGATATCATCTGTCCTCATCCAAAGAGGACGCACCGATGGCGCCGCTGTCCATGGTTAGCGGACGTCGATCAGTCTTTTTGATGGGCCGGTGCTTGCGGGATTCCCAGCGGACCCGATATCTCGTGGAAGAGGCTATGACCTGGATGGCATTTACTCCTACCTGGAGTACCTCGAGTACCTCGGCCGCATTGAAGCTAACATTCCCTCATCCACAATTATTCCCTCCGCACACTGCACACCGCAAGGCCTAGCTGCGTTCCAAATTTTCCATCAAGCTTACCGGGCAGCTACTGAAGGTGGAAGCCTCCCTCGAACGAAGGGGACTCGCTGCTGCTTTAACGATCCTATGTTCCGGCGACCAGCTAGGCTTCGCAAACATAAGTTCGCCTTGAAATAAGGCTGCTCCAATTAGTATGCAGTTCGCTTACATTGCCACAGAAAAATCATATCGGAATTAAAACTTAATATTTCAGCAACGTATAAGACAGATGTATGCGCTCACTTTCTTCGGTCCTCGGGGAGGATTCATCCGCAATCAGGTACAACTTTAGCCTTGTTAAGGCAATCGCCAAACTGTAATATCTGAAATGTGTAATACAAAATCAAGAGTAAACAAACACACTGGCGACAAATATACTGCCCAGCGGAAGCTTTAAGACACCATATCGCCCATTCGTCCACAACGTACCTAACCGGCCTCCTGACTTCAAGCCTTCATCTTCTGGGCCACAATATCCTTGTACTCCTCATCATACTGCACCAAAACAGCTGGCCCCTCCCGCTCAAGCGTCTCGGTGTCAAGAACAAAGTTCACAAAAAATGCCGCTGGCTCGGTCTTGCTGGCATTGGCACCAATGCGATGATGGCACCCTGGGGCTTCATACCAAGACCCACCCTGGTTGATCACTTTCATCGGGTCGTTATTCATCTTGTTTAGCACGGAACCTTTGATCACATAAGCAGACACAGAGGCTCCTCCATGGCGATGAGGAGGCGTGGCACCATCTGGTGGGTATTCGACAAGCAGGCCCACAGTAGTCTTCCCAGGGCAGTTGGCCAATTTATACTGGTAGACGAGGGTGGTAGTCGCAAGGGGGCGGCTGTTGTCGTAAAGGGGAATTAGTAAGTTAGATGCGTTCTGCTATGCCAACTTCAGTACACACACACCTTGGATCGTAGGTCGGTTCCTCCATGGCGAAAAAATATTTATCTATATTACGACACGTGCAATGGGTGATCAATACTCTCACTGGGCCTGTTGTAGATGATGGACGAACTGATATCCTCGACAGCGCCAGTGACGGGCGTACTTATACATTTTGGGTGGTCTGGATGCGGTGAACCAGATTCTCTGTCCTGGTGCATTTCAACAAGTTGATTGTTCGTGAGAAATGGCCTTACCACGGATCCATGAACACCGAGTACCCGATTACCCCTGCGGTCGGAGATGAAGCCTGACTGAAGCCTGACTGAAGCCTGACTGAAGCCTGACTGAAGCATGACTGGTTTCTATGGTGAAAGGTGGGTCGGGATATCTGCAGGTGAAGAACCTTATTAAAACGAATAGGCTATTCGGAAAGCAGCCGATGAGGCGACAGGGTACGAAGATCAGGTGATCATAGGACTTTTGTCAGTCTTGACTATCCTACCGCTTTAGTATCCAATTTTAGCACTGCAGAATAGTGAACAGGTTTTCTTTCGTCTCTTGACTTTACGTAGCTTACGATATCGCTTCATTGATATCCTTTACGGTGACCTGTCGATCACTGGTAATGGGGGGGAGACGAGGTTCCTATTAGTGGCACGAGTTCCCCGCTAGACCCGACCCAAATCGACCCGCGTGCAACTCTGGGCCCAGGGCGCTGAAGAAGCCTACTTATTCTAAATACCATGTATCACCGTGTCATGACCATTGTCACCTTGAGCTATGCCGTAGTCTGAGCCAATTCGACCGCCAACTATACTACATGGAGAATAATCCTTTAGGTGCTGGCCGTCATCCTATCGTATTCTGCCTTGTGTGTCCGCCTACGATGGGGCACGATATTGAAATATACTCAGTAGAGCAGGGTTTACGGGGTAATTGGAAGCTTTTTAAAAAATACCTCAGCTTCTGTTGATATTTGCCTTTGAGTTACGGAGAATTCGCGGGTATAGTCTAGACTGGTTTCCTTTCGCGGACCCACTCTCCCCGTGGAATCCGGGCTGGTGTTGCGAATATCTCGGATTCCCGTTAAGGTTGCTCAACATATGTCGGATTCTTCCAATGTGGGGCATATTTCTACACTTTGTTATAGTGGGCATGTCTGTAGAGAATTCAGGTTTCCGGGAGTCCGTCTTGGAGAACCTCCGAGGGTATTTGTGAATAGCGACCGACTTCCTGGAGAGGTATGGATTAAACAACCACCGCTGGATGTATATATATCAGTGATGGTGATCACTCAAAATGTCCTTTTAAGATCATCAACTTCACAAACTTCACAAACGCACCCGGAAATTTCCAAGTTATCTCTCAATTCATTATAACTCCTAACATACGTTATATCACCACACCATAAGACTATATCCAAAATGGTCGGCTTTGACATGCGCGGTTTGACCCCTGCTCCAGTGACACCGTTCACTGAATCAGGAGACGTCGATTATGAGGCCATCCAACGCTTGGGTGGCTGGCTTGGTAGCATCGATGGTGTGAAAGGCCTGGTTGTGTTGGGCCACGCAGGAGAAGGAACCTTCCTCACAGCCGAGGAGCAAATATCAGTCATCAAGGCATTCGTCCAGTCCGTCGACAACAAGATCCCCATTATTGCAGGAATCACAGGAGAGGGTACCGAGGTGGCCGCACTTGAAGCGAAGCGCGCAAAGGACGCTGGTGCTGCGGCTGGTCTCCTCTACCCATCTCATGGATGGTTGCGCTTTGGATACCAGGATGGCGCTCCCCAGGATCGCTATCGACGAGTCTACGAAGTCAGCCAGCTTCCCTTGATCCTCTTCCAGTACCCAGACAACACAAAAGCCACCTACAGCCTGAAGACGATGCTCGACATTTCAGCTCAACCCGGTGTCTTTGCCATGAAGAACGGTGTCCGCAACATGCGCCGCTGGGATACGGAGATTCCGGTGATTCGTCGCGAGCGGCCCGAACTCCAGGTCTTGAGTTGCCACGACGAGTATCTCTTGCATACCTCATTCGATGTGGACGGTTTCCTTGTCGGTTATGGTAATATCGCCCCGGAACCGTTGATTGAGTTGATCAAGGCTGGGAAAGCCAAGGATTACAAGAAGGCTCGCGAAATCCATGATCAGCTCCTACCCGTCACGAAGAGTGTCTATCACCGGGGGTCGCATATGGAGGGCACGGTCGCCCTCAAACACGCTCTTGTTGCTCGCGGTATTCTTAAGCATGCTACCGTTCGATCACCTCTTTTGCCTCTTGAGCCTGGTGCAGAACAGGAAATTCATGCAGCGATTGGTGCTGCTAGCCTCAGCAGAGTTGCATAGATAAGGCGGCGGAGAGTTAAACGAATGGGATTGGAACGCGAGAATGATGTACGTATCTGTTTATATATAGAGATATGCAGTTTGATTTCCTCAAATATTTCTTCCTTGATGAGTAGCTTTACCGTACGGGCTATTGTAGGCCACAAGCAAAGACATCTTAATGTTTCTAAGAATCATACTACTTAGTAGTATAGAACCCATTATGACGGACATATCTGATATAAAATTCGATGCCGGCTCAAGGGCCTTATTATCTACTTCCTAGAATCTCCTAAGTATTTATATTCTATTATGATGATATGCAATACAGTCCAAGTTAATTACTTGAGAAATTGTAAATTCGAAGTAGTACATATAGTGATGACCGTATTGAATAGTGTTCTCAGAGATAAGATGTGCTTGCTAAAATCTACTTTATCTGAACTCGGAACTAAGAGCAAGGGCGCCAATCCCCTGGTATATTCTATCTAGCATGACAACTAGCCTCGTGTGCAGTTTACTGTCCGGATGTCTTTTGAGAGCATGATAACGAGAGCTCTCACCTTCTAGCCACTTGTCGAAAAGGCTTAAATGTACAATATTCATATAAGAATCACACTAAAACGGAAAATATTTAGCCAACCATGGAGAAGACAATATCTCAACCAAGGACACATTAGCCCAAACTAGATGGCGTGATCGGTTCGCCAGGCCTGGGCGAGCAACGGACACCATTAATTCGACCAATGGCAATGATCATCCACTTCGTATTGTTGGTGAAAAGAAGCGAAAGCCGAAAGGCAGCTTCGAACAACGAATGATAAGCGAATCCCATCACCCGGAGACCCACAGGAAAAGCGACGGCGTGTAAAACATTTCCCCAGATTCTCCGCGGTGCCACGCCTCTGTATATGAATCCGTGATTTCCGTACCCACTACACGCTGCACCTCAATCCTACCCTTGATGGCCTGCATCATGACACCAGGAACTCCAGACCATGCAACAAGCCCCACTAGCAGCGTTACTCCTCGCCTCTCTACTCGGAAACACCCCCTTGAGGATGCTTACGATGGCTCGGACAACCGCCGCAAAGATCCAAAAGTCAGCCGCGCCTGCGACTCCTGTAAGGTCAAGAAGATTCGATGCTCAGGCACAGCCCCATGTGAACACTGCAACAGGAGGCGCTTGATATGTACCTATGCCAGCAAATATTCGCGTGGTCGACCTCCTACACCTCCACCCCTATCCACATCCAGAGAGCAAGAAACTGCCTGCACTGGCCAAAGATCAAATGCGCAACATACGGGTTCCAGAAGTACCTCCAATATCAGTGAAAATATACAAATCAACGAACGACCTCAGGTTAACATCGCCGAAGAGGCCAGTGGTCCTTCGGTGAACGTCGGAGATGGTGCTCCATCACGCGCATCACCGGAGCTAGTGATCGAGGGACAGTATGTCGATCCAACGTCTGGCCTCACATCTTTCCATCAAGCATGGCGCAAGATTTCTATGCAAAAGGGAGACATTCAATCCCCAAGGTCGAGTGAGGCAGAGATGAATCAGCCCTTAGTTTCCGCTGGAGACCGACCTTTCTACCAAGACGCGCATAGTTCGGATCCGTTTCCCGATGCTCTCACGGCGCGCCGCTTACTGAATTTTTACTTCGAGTCCTGTGTTGTTACCTATCGAGTATTCCACCAACAAACCGTGGAAAGCTGGCTAGATACTATCTTGGACAATCGGCGAGCAAATCGCCCAATAACGCATACCATCAAGAATGCTAAATATAGCATTATTTTGACGATTCTGGCAATCGCACGCTTTCGCATTTCAAAGGTTGAACGGAAGTTTCCTAACAACGACGAGGCGTCAGCTCTCCAGGAAACTGACCCCTTATTTTGCGCGGCGATGCATCTTACCGATACAGAGAAGGGATTTCCGCGGTTGGAGTCAGCCCAGGCCAGACTAATCCAAGTGCTATATCTCCTCCAGACATCTCGAGTGAATCGGGCTTGGTATGTATTCGGTAACGTCTATCAGATTGTCTCGTCGCTGGGCCTCCATAGGCGGCGCTCAAGGAAACAAAACATTCCCTCAAATGGTCCTTCGAATTATGTCAAGGCCCAATGCGCCAAGCGTGTCTTCTGGGTCACATATACCATCGATAAGTATCTTAGCGTGGTGATGGGCCGGCCACAGCTTCTGCACGATGATGACATCGACCAAGACTTTCCAGACAGCGTTAACGACGAGGACATTGGGCCTGATGGTCTCCTAAGCGTAGAGGATCCTGAGGATTGTCACGTAGATGCTCTTATCTTTCATGCAAAGTGCGTGCCCCAAGTCAAGTAGATGTCCCTGCTGTGTTTGTTGGTCTTCTTTTAACATTCTTTCAGGATCGCGCATATCATCGGTCGCACATCACGTCAAGTGTACTCAGTTGGTAGTTCAGTTGGTGAGAGCCGAAAGGCGGCTGCATATCGTATTGTTCACGAGCTTCACGTTTGGCGGGCCAACCTCCCCTTACACCTGGGCACGATCAAGCCCTCTACGCTAATACCAAGCTTCCGAAGAGAGGCCACAGCACTTCAACTCGCTTATTCCCATGCACTCATACATGTAAATCGGCCTTTTTTACTCGGCGATGTAGTTAGTTCTGATGACGATCCCGAGGCAAAAGATCGAATAGCCGAATGTATCTCCGCTGCGAAAGCGGTTTTAGAACTAGTCAACACAATGGCGAAAGACACAAACCTGCTCCATTCCTTTTGGTGGACCCATTATGTGACCTTTTGCGCACTCGCCGTGGTATATATTTGGAACATACAGTGCAAGGCACGCAATGGTCAACAGCCTGAGAATGAATCATCGTACGTCAAGCTCTTTGACCTCGCTGAGAAGTGTCGGGCTCAATTAGCTTGGACTGGCTCGCCAGCATCACCTGGGCGAAAGTACGCGGCGATTTTGGAGGAGCTACGCCTGGAGGCCCAACGCGAGACAATCAATAACACGCATACTGATTCCGGACAAAGAACGGTTCAAGGTTCAGGACATGACAATTCTCAGCTCAATATCTTCGATAGTTCCGAGCTAGCTGAAGCACCCTTTGAAAGTATAGCCTCGACAGATAAATCTGTGAATCCTGTTCCTAGCATGCTGGACGCATGGCAAGCTGTCGACTGGTTGGACCTAGATGCTTCTGTACGTTTCCTACAATCAGTCAGAGATGGAAATTATTATGCTAACAAATAAGCAGGCTTTCTACTCAGCTCTAGATGATCTAGGAATCTCACCAACGTGGTAACCTTGTCTCTGTATTATATAGACTTTTAGTTTTGGTCATTTACCTCTGCATGTATAGCAGCCTATGTACATAAACCGCCTCTGTCATCGTGCTAGAAGATTTAGTACCAAGCTCAATAGTCCATTGTGTTCTATGTGTATGGACGCATATCCGAGCCACGTATCCTGGTGGGGATTAGAAATCATTGTTTGACATCCCATTCCTGGTTCGGAGATGTCGGATTAGCACCCGCGACGCCACGATTAACATCCGGATTCCACGGGCGAAGAAAACGATCCTATAATCCGACAGAATCTGTCTGTGTCACGGCTCTCTTTGTCACATCATGCACTTTGTAGGCCCATTGTCTTGGGGTGCCATTTCCGGGCCCACAATTTCTAGTCCATTATCTGGGGTGTTTTACCTTTCGACTTCTTATATCTCCTCTCCCCACGGGGTTCAATTCCCCAGAAACGCAGTACTAGCCTAGCTCTGAGGCATTGTCGATCATTCTGTCTTGGCTTCGGACTGCGTATTCACCATGTCTACCGGTCGGAATTTTGACGAAGAAAAGCTATCATCAGAGAAGGAGGCTGTTATGCATCTCGAGCATCAGCCTCGCGGCCTATCTTCTGATGATGAAGAATTCCTTGCCAACTTCTCTGATGAGGCTAAGGCCACAGTACTGAGAAAGGTCTGCCGTGCTTTCTTAGATATTACATACAACAATATGCTGACAGCACGTTGTGTTTCCAGGTTGATGTACGCAGCTTTGTCCTCCCTGCTCTTACTGATCAGTGAAGTACTAACATACACCCGCAGTGGCGGCTGATTCCCATGCTCGTTCTACTATATCTGATTGCATACATTGATAAAACCAACATTGGTATATGCGTCTCTCCAGTGTGCCTCGTTTCGGTGTATCGCTGACTTGGCTTGGCTAGGTAATGCCAAAATTGAAGGACTTCTTCCCGACTTGGGGATGAATGGCAATCAGTACAACATTGCCTTGGCTGTCTTCTTCATTCCTTACATTCTCGCCGGTACGTTTACTCCAGTTCTAGAAACTAAGTGCAAATTCTAACAAGCAATACAAGAGGTTCCAAGTAACATAATCCTTAACCACTTCAAACGACCGTCTGTTTATCTGGGATCCTTGATCCTTGTCTGGGGAATAATCATGACATGTACAGGGTTTGTTCACAACTTTGGTTCCCTGGTTGGCATCCGGTTTCTCCTTGGTCTATTCGAGTAGGTTTATCCCAGCCGGGCTACGCTGTTACCTTCAGTGCCTAACATATGGCAGGGCAGGATTTCTTCCGGGCGCTGTTTTGATCATTTCCAAATGGTACCTTCCCAACGAAACCCAAACACGCATCGCTATCCTATACACATCGGCTGCCTCGGGAGGAGCATTCTCGGGGCTTCTTGCTTTTGTCATTGCCAAGATGGATGGTATTGCTGGCTACGAAGGCTGGCGATGGGTGCGTCACCAAACCTGGTTATTAACTGTGCACTGCCAGACGTCCGAGCTAATGCGGTGTATCACGTCAGATTTTCATAATAGAAGGTCTTGCTACTATCTGCCTGGCTTGCCTTACTTTCTTCTTGCTTCTTGACTCACCTCAACTATCCTCGGGGTGGCTTACACCCGATGAGATTCGCTTTCTGGAGGTCCGGCAAATTGCGAACAGCACCCAAGGAGCCCAGAAAGAAGGAGTCGCCTGGAGCGCGTTGATCAGTGTTCTGATGGATTGGAAAATCTACCTACTAATCCTCGCCAACTGGTCCAACGCCGTACCCAACTACGCTCTGAAGTTCACCATGCCCCAGATCATCCAAAGCATGGGATTCACTTCCGCCAAAGCACAGCTATTAACCATTCCACCCTACGCCGTAGGTGCCTTCTCGGCTTATATTTTCTCGGTTTTCGCCGATCGCTATACCTGGCGCATGCCTTTTATCATCATCCCTCAACTATTGCAGGTCGTCGCGTTTAGCATCTTATTCACCAAGGCAGCCGACATTAGTGATAATATAGCACTGTGTTACTTTGGTGTCTGTCTGGCTTGTTTCGGGTAAGTACACAGTCACACAATTTTTCAGTCACAGACCTTCCAACTCAATCTCATTTAGGATGTACCCCATTCTACCGGGTGTAAACGCCTGGAACGTTTCCAATATTCCAAACCCCACAAAGCGAGCAATTGGTATCGGTTACCTGGTCTGTATGGGTAATGCGGGAGGCATTATTGGCAGTTTTATCTATCAGGAGAAAGAGGCGCCCCGATATCCCACCGGCTACGGGAATTCCTTTGCCTTCGCTTCGGCGGGTTTCATAGCTTGCCTAGTACTCGAGTTCTGTCTCTTTAGGTTAAATAAACAGAAAGCCCAGCTAAGCGAAGCGGAGATCCGAGACCGATATACAGATGAGGAGTTGAACGAGATGGGTGAAAAAAGTCCCCTGTTCAAATATACACTGTGATCGGCGTTTCTGGAATAATTATGTGAGAGGATGGATATATATGGTATAGTCAGCGTTTAAATGTCTCAACAAGGAGCTTATTGTCCAGTTGTACTTTTTTTTAAAGGTCCTTTTGGTGTCGGGTTTCTCCGTCCCTATGCCTATGCGTCATGCATTATCGGGGTTTGTGGATCGTTTAGACCCACCGCGCCATCCATCCCTTGACAGCGGCAACATTTCCTCAGCCACAACCGCGTTTGCCTTCCCATGGACGATCGGACATTGATCAATAACGAGTGATGACTATTTGTATATTTCTGTTAGGGATGTTATATCCCTTGGGATGATACTACCCGAAACAGTGCCAAAGCCCAGTAGGGACGTCCGACAATAGTGATTCTCTATAAAACCAACAAATCCTACAAGAAGCCTCCACGATTCCTGCTTTCATAAAAGGCCTCAAATACTGATGATGATGACTAAAACTAGTGAATTTAGTCTCAATCGTCAACGGCTATTTACCACTATTGAGACAAATTTAGGACGATCAATCCCGTCCGGCGGACCGTTGAGACGGAAGAATCCTATGGGATTATTGTGGGGATAAGCAATAAAACGGGGTTTACGGGGCAATAGGAAATCCGATCCCTTCCAAAAATTGGGTATTGGATTCCCATTCCATCGAGAAGGCGGTTTACATCCCCGTTCCAGTCCCAAAGTTGAGGTTGGATGGGTCTCGGGCCCACGTACTATCTCATCCACCATGACGATCATTGAACCCGGTCCATTAATAGTAACTACGTAGTTACCTTTACACCGTTAGTATGATGTAACGATTCGAATACAATGCATATGTTCTCCATCTGAAGAATTACTCCACACATGGAGTTTGCCACCGCAGTGGAGTTGAACACAACGTTGCATTTGGACCATCACAAAAAGATATAAAAGAGGCTAGATATCCATTGAGCAAGAGACCATTCAGCCAGACACAACAGCAAGCAATTCGTCTTTTATCTTTCAAACAATCACTCAATAAATACAGCAAGTAATCACAATGCGTTTCCTCAGCATCTTCGCCGCCATCGTTGCCCTCACCCCCGCCGTGATGGCAGGGGGCCAGAACCCCAAGAACTGTCTTGAGGAATGTCACCCCTACAGCGCTGGTTCCGATCAGTACTGTGATGCTGCACACCCGGTATGTTGTCCATGTAGTTGAACTCGCATGCATGAATACCTGACCGCTAACAATGCATATAGGCTCTTTACCGTGAAGGCCCTGTATGTACACCAGTACTCTTTCATCAAAGCCGAGATAGCGTGGTATAGTGGGTGGACAATTTACTGACAATGATTATAGGGCTGCTTCAAGTGCTGTGAGTCCGTTTAATCAGATTGCCGTGAGCTGGGACCGCATGTTTAGGAGTCTCCTGAGTTGAGGGTTGGGGGTTGAGGATTTGATGTTTCGCAGTTAGCTTTTTGGGGGGTCTGTGTTGTATTGTATCTGTTGAGCGACTATCGAGGTCTACTATGCAATCTGTTTATTGGTGTGTCATTGGGATGCCTAGAAGCACTTGTAGGGGTCTTGATTCGTTTATTAGATCTTGCAAAGGCTCTATGCAAGTGTCCAAAGTAGTGAAAGAGACAAAAAAATTTAAAATGAAAAATGGAAAAATACAAAATGACAGTAAGCCATCAAAGGTTCAGCGTGGTTAGTATGCCAAAGGAACTATTTACATTCTACCTATGTATAACTCCATAGTCCGAGCCAACATCAATTGCAACATCGCATAACGCAATCATTCTTATATCCATAACAGAGGCACTACTGCTTCGTCGCCGGGAAATTACCAGTTCCTAAAATATCACCATCCTCTTCCTTCCCATCCCTTGCCCGATCAATCCGGAACTGCGTCGTCTTGAATAATCTGGGCATAGTTGTCTCCTCGAACGATGTTCCCTGCGCAACCATCTTTGCCAGTTCCTTGGCTGCCAACCAGATGACCGGCATACCATGGCCATTGAAACCAGCAATGATAAACTGGCCATCCTTGGCAGGCACTTCGCCGACGTGGGGATTTGAGTCATAGGAGTACCCCATGACTCCAGTCCAAATCTTGTCCACTTTAGCCCCCGAATTCTCCCACCCACGATACGTCCGCTGCATATAGTCAGTATAATAATCCTTTGCCGAATCGATAAGAACACTGTCGTCCACGTTGTTGTACCATTGCTCCCGGAAGGCCCGGAACTTGGCGGCGGCACCACCAACAATGATACTGCCGTCTGCTCGCGGGATCAGATATGAAAGAGTGTTATCTTCTGTTCGGTTGATGTAGGAGTTGTTAAGAAGGGGTGCCGTAGTTCCTTCTGGCACCGTAATTCGACAGCAAATACCCTTGCATGGAATAATGTTTTTCTCATACTCGGGGAGAAGGGCCGCGACGTATGCATTGTTTGCATGGATAACGTTGCCTGCGTGCATTCTTCCCCGTGGAGTTCCAATCACATACCCGCCATTTGGATCCGGTGTGATGGAGGTCGCGGGGGTATGTGTTTGAAGATTGACCTTGCCTGTTGCAAGAAGGGACTCGGTAAGATGCATGACAAATTTATACGGCCACACAGTCCCAGCCGTGTACGAAGCGCATGCGACAGCGCCTTTGACGCCGCAGATCTATACAACATTAGCATCTGTCACTTGCCTAATAATTAGCAAGCACTTACACCCTCGACTTCCTTGCCGGTATAAAAGATAGCATCATTCATGTACTCAAAACTCTGCGCAACTACCTTGTCGAAAGTTTCCTTAGCCTTTGCCGCGGCTTCCTCATTGCACCAGACGTCGATCGTCCTTGTCAAGGTAAAATCACAATCGATCTTCTCTTCCTCAATGACTTTCTTTAGCGCGGGCAGATGAGCAACCTCGAACTCCGCTATCTCAGCCCCTGCACGTGCACCAGCGCGATCGATGTATGTGGGAATATGGCCGTAGAAATCAGGCCGGAGATGACCTCCATTACGACCTGTCGCGCCCGAGCAAACTCCCCTAGCTTCCAGGATTGTGATTGACTTGTTGAAATCCTTATGGTCCTTCACAATATGGTAGGCCGTACTGATACCAGCGTAGCCCGCGCCAATTATGACAATGTCACTGTGCTCGGGCAACTGTTCCGTCGAGCGATGGTCACTCTTCGGATGAGGTTGGGTTTGCCAGAAGCATTCCCCCGGATTAGGAGCGGGGAAGCATCCTGCCGTTTGTGTTTCCACTGCAGAAGCAGCTATAGTCCCATTCGAAGCAGGCGGTTGCATATTCGTGTTTAAAATGTGAAGTTATGGCCTCTATAGCTTGGAGTAGCTACGAAAAAGATGACACAGTTAAGTTTATAAGACAGTGATGCGTCTGAGGTCTTATCTTATCGCCAATCGGCCTCGGCACGGCGTACGATTCTTTGGATCACTAAAAGCTCGCTACCGGACCGGAATTGCCTAATTAAACCCGGCAGATATCCATGGTCGGTCCGGGCTCCACTGAGATTCTCCGGTTTATCAGTATATCAATTAATTTATTTCTATATCTGGCTTTCAAGCTATTCCCCTAGACATGTCCAACGTGGTAAACTTGCCGGGATCCATCCGGTTCACTTAGTTCTTATCTTAACCATGTATGTGCAGAACTCCCCGCCAATGAAGGAAATGGGATTTGATATTGGCTTTGCATTAGCCTCTGACAAGTGGGGGAAATAGCCCCATGAAGAACCTAAACTGCACATAGATATATGAAAAATTGTACAAAAATGGGAAGAAGTCACCCCCCGGTCGAGCACACGATCTCCTACTTTACGTTTGACACTATCGATTGTAGTCTCAAGCAAGATGCCTGCCCATACCGCAGAATACCCCTCGTTTGACGAAGTTGGTCCATCACCCATTACAGAGAAAAAGGGCTTCCACGACAATGTGGGATCGTACGATGTGGAGAACACGGCCGGCCAGCTGGAGGAGGTGCATGACTTCAAACAAGGCCTCCACCAGCGACATATTCAGATGATCGCGCTGGCTGGTACCATCGGAACTGGTCTTTTCCTGGGCTCTGGACGAGCCATCGCAACAGCAGGGCCTCTTGGAGCCTTTCTCGGATACTCCATCATTGGTCTCACGGTGTCGAGCGTTGTGTTCGGTGTTGGAGAAATGGGTGCCCTAGCCCCCCTCACAGGAGGTGCCATTCGATACCTAGAACTCTTCTGCGATCCTGCCTTGTCTTTTGCCATTGGGTGGAACCATGTATACTCCTACGTTGTATCAATTCCATCCGAGATCGTGGCAGCTGCCGTTATTGTTGAGTTCTGGGCTACGATCAACAACGCGATATGGATAACTGTGTTCGGTGTGCTCATGCTTATCACGGCGCTCCTCTTTGTCCGTATATACGGAGAGCTGGAGTTTGGCTTCTCCATGCTGAAGATCATGCTAGTCATTGGAATCAATATCATGGCCTTGGTCATCACATGTGGTGGAGGTCCCGACCATAAAGCCATCGGATTCAGTTACTGGAAGAACCCCGGCCCGTTCGTACAATACCTAGGAGTCGGTGGCTCATTAGGCCGCTTCATGGGATTCTGGACCACATTCGACAACGCTCTCTATGCATACTCCGGCATCGACAACATCACGGTCGCTGCCGCTGAAACACGCAACCCTCGACATGCAATCCCGCAAGCCGCGCGACGGATCTTCGTTCGAATCTTCCTCTTCTACATCTTGACAATATTCATGGTCGGCCTAGTCGTACCCTCCAACGATCCCAACCTACTCGGCTCAACAAGCACAGCAGCCCACTCACCCTTCGTCATCGCCGCCCGCAACGCAGGCATCTCGGCAGTGCCATCCATCATCAACGCCGTCGTCCTCACCTCCGCCTGGTCATCAGGCAATTCGAACATGCTCGGTGGCTCCCGAATCCTCTACGGTATGGCCTGCAACGGGCACGCCCCGAAGATTTTCAAACGCATGAACCGTTTCGGCGTCCCATACGTCTCCGTCGCCCTGTACGGCCTCTTTATGGCCCTAGGCTACATGACCCTCTCCGACTCGGCAAGTACAGTCTTCACCTGGTTACAGGATATCGTCGCCATATCCACGCTAGTCAATTGGGTCTGTATCTGTATCGTCTACCTCCGTTTCTACTACGGATGCAAGAAGCAAGGGATCGATCGTCATAAGGAATTGCCGTGGGCGGCACCGTTCCAGCCCTGGAGTACGTGGTGCTCGTTGATCTTACTGGTTATTCTTTTCTTTACGGGTGGTTATAAGACGTTCATGCATGGACATTGGGATACTGAGACTTTTATCTCGTCGTATCTGAATGGGCCGCTTATTTTGGGTATTTACCTGGGTTACAAGTTTGTCAAGAAGACGAGGATTATTCCGTTAGAGGAGATTCCTATTCGGCCTTTTATTGAGAATTATCAGAATAACCCGGAGCCGGAACCGAGGCCGAAGAAGGGGCTGAGAAGGTTGAATATTTTGTGGTCTTAGTACGGTTTTTACGATTCCTTTGCGAATATATATACTAGTAGTGCCTTCTAAAGATAAGTATACTGAAAACAATGATAATTTATATTCAAGTGAAGAAAATTTTCCAAAAAGACTTAATATCGTACAATAATCCACCTAGAATATACTACACGATACATTTCCAATCATACCATAGGATATTCATAATCAGAATCAATGGTATCAATTCAACAATCCCATTGTCCAGGTGTTGATTGTTGGTTCTTATCTGAACCTTATCAACTATCTTATCTCGGCTTATCAGATTCATCACATGACCCTCTCTTACCGGCAGAACAAACAAATCACAATCTACCGGCCCGGACATTCCCAAACAAGTAAGCGATATCCGGCATAACAAATGCCGGCCACGACAACAAGAGTTCAAGTGATAGCGGGGAAAGCTTTCGATAAGCTCAATCCCGGTAAACAAGCTTCCTCCGTTATCGGTTCTTCCATTGTCAAGCAAAACCTCGATCTGTGGTATTTTTACCACGTGCATATTTCTTCTCGAAGGTTAGATATTCACCCCAAGACCAATTGAGTATAAAACTGTATTAAGGACATCAGCAGCACACAACACGCACTACAATCATCCAGCATCATATCATAACAATCCATCCTGCCGATAACCCGACACCCCACATTCGACAAACACAACACAACACAACACCTCAACCACAAAATAGAAAAAAATCATGCCCGCCCAAAAGCACGTCGTCTTTGACGTCGTCGGCACCTGCGTCTCCTTCGATGCCTTCTACAACTGTATCGACCGCGTCATCGGCGACAAGCTCCGCGCGCAATGTATTACGCCCCGTTTCTTCGGATTCAGCTGGATGACCACTGCCGAGCTGGAATTTACCTTCTTGTCGATTTCGGAACGGTACAAACCGTATAAAGAGGTTATTACGGCGTTTTTCTATCGGACGTTACATATGGCGGGGGTCGAGGACCCGAGGTCGTTTGCGACGGAGGCTGAGAGGGACCAGTGTGTGCAGGGATATTCGGAGTTGGAGCTTAGACCAGGTACCCGGGAGTGTTTTGCGAGGTTAAGAGAGGCGGGATTCACGGTTTGGTGTCTCACGACGGGGGATACGAGGCGTGTGAGAGGGTATTTTGAGCGTGCGGGGGTGGATATGCCGTTGGAAAACTTCATCAGTTGTGATTCGCAGGGGGTGGCTAAGCCGGCGCTGGGGGCGTATAGGCCTGCGATGGAGAGGTTTGCTGAGGAGGATGTGAAGTGGTTTGCAGCGGCGCATATGTGGGATGTTTCGGCGGCGGTTAAGGTCGGATTTAGAGGGGCTTATTGTACGGTGTATGAGAAGGAGTCGTGTGCGGAGATTTTTGATACCCAGATGGAGGTGTTGGCGGATTCTTTGCCTGAGATGGCAGACAAGATTATTGAAGCTTCAAGGTAGTGTTTTTGAGATGTCAACAAAGGTAATGGGAGCCACAGTAATAAGTTGAAAGCTCATTTAATCATCATAACATATTAGATACATCAATGTACAATGGGGAAGGTATAGGTAAGTTCCTCGCTCAACGTCGGGACGTCCTGGCGTCTTGGGACGCACGGTAGGGAAACATTTGCGCGAAGCCACCGTGGCCATCGGCGTCAGGACGAGGTACTATGCCAGCCTCGGGCACGGCAAGAAATTGCTCAAGCACTTGCGTTTCTGTCTGTGTCGGCCATGCGGAGGATAAGGCTAGATTTCCAGCCCCGAAAATGGACAGTTCATTGACCGGATCCCAGGCATTGAGGGCGTCCATCTGCATATCTCTAGGGGACTCATTGGACAATTCGCTGAGATTCAGAGGCTCCATATAACCAACTGAGTTGGGATCAAAGTTTATAGGCGGCAGTGAAGAGCCAGCTGATGCTCCAGCAGTGGTCGTAAGAATAGCAACATTGTCGCACATGTTCATAGCTCCACCGCTCCTCCATGATGATCCCCATTGCTTGAATGCTTTATAATCTGACATCGCTGATACTGTCTCTGAGGGGCCATCGTTCGACTGTGTAGCTTGTGTCTCGGAATGCAGACGAGCGAGTGCTTGTTCCAGCGCCTCAATCAACGCCACTTCCGATCGAGCCGAATCCCCAGAAGCCGCCATTTCACGGATCATGTCCAGCCCGTCCTGTAATGTTTTATGATATTCTCCCGAGCGGTTCTGGATTGAGTAGGCAATCAAGACTAACGACGAGGCTCGACAAGAACTATATTCAATGTAGGAAGCTCTGGCGAGACCTGGACCATTGTCTCGCAGTATTTGACAAAGTCGTATCACCTCCGTTGCTGCCTGTATGCAGCATATGATGAGACTCTGTGTACTAGATGTCTGCTTTGGACTCGAGCCGTCGCCATTATCGTGTGCCGTGTTCGTAAATTCTGGCCCAGCTGGAGAGCTTCGGGGGGATTGTGAGGCCTGGTCTCTCAGAAGGAACGGCCGTCCGATAAACATGTTAACCAGGCAATACTCCAGTCGCAGATGCATTGCAGCGCGGTTTAGATTTTGTGGCTGACTTGAATCACCAAGTACACCTTCTGATATTGAATTCCACCAATCCGTCATGGTGCATTTTTTGTCCCGCAAACGAGCCAAGATATTTGGGATTGTTTTCTTTTCGCAATGACGCAGGAGCGATCTAGGCACAACATTAATATCTTGCCGTACTGAGTCTAACGAAAATATTCCGCGCTCACAATTCGTGAAAGAAGTCCTCGAGAAAATGTATAAGTTGGATGGATGTCACAGCGCGTGCAACATTCCACTGGGGATCTTCGGTGTGCATCCCATCGCGATATTCTGGTACATCTGTGTCGACATCTGATCGCAGGACAGACAGCGGTCGCCCGTGGAAAATGGATATTTTTCTGGGAGCCCATATTAGCACCCAGACCATTCCATACAGCCGTTATGTTTTACCTCTCAAGCGAGTAGGCAGTCCACCAAACACGATTCCGCGTCTCGATCATATCTGGGTTGAACAGGTCACCTTTACACTTCCGGTGCATGCCATTCTGCATAGCGAGTCGCACAGCGAGATTGATATAGATATATCCGAGGCCGGACGCATCAATTGGTAATGAGTAAAATCCAAAGAGTAAGCATGCCTGAACGCTTTCTAAACAAGACGATTCGATAATTTCAGGTAACAGTCGGACCGCATTCTGATAGAAGGTGGCACCGATGTCATCTTCTGAGAAGTCTCCATCTTTCGTGGTATCGCGACTGGGCGAGTCCAGGTACGCATACTGTGTCCCGATCGCGAATATTGTAAGCATGATGCTTATGACAGCGGCACCCTTCCTACCAAAGCTGCTAGGGTCGTTATAAAGCACATCGAGGTTCTCGAAGAACCACCCCTTTCGGACAAAGAAGTAATGTGTTTCAGCATACTTGAAAAAGATGTTCGCCAGAAACCTGGCTATTTGTCGTGGAGGACAGGAGGCGACTGCCGCGGATAAATGACTCTGGCCAGAACGTAGTTGTTGCGCTCGCCAATACTCAAAGACACGTTGATCAGAATTAGGTGTTTGCTGCTTCGGTTAGCTTTTATCATAACTGGCATCGGTCGTGAGTACCTGAGCAACTGATCGCCTGGTTTGATGTTCAATTTGGTGTTTAATGCGCATGGAAAAGTTCCAATATGAGAACTCTCCAGAATAATCTGCTCAACTTTAGTGTTGTTACCAATTAAAGCACTCATAGAAGGGAACGAACGAGTAGTGGTATCTTCAACCGGGTCGATTGTACAAGCTTCGTCATCTATGGAGAGACCATCGACCCCTTCGGGTTCCATAGGGAGTTCTCTGGGGTGCTCTTGGTTCGACGCGAGGGCATTTGCCATGTGAGAGAGATTGTCCGTATCAAGGGAGATACCCTGTATCGTGTGTTTTAATATACGCTCCATATACCTTGAGCGCTCAGCCAACTCTCGAATATCTGCTCTTACGGCAGGAGATCTGGTTCTAACAGTTTTATTAGGGGACGAGTATAGTACGGATGGAGCCAAGGTACACACCTAGGAATGTAGGCACGAAATTCGCGCACCTTTGATGCGCGGTTCTTAAACTCACAGGAGCGACGAGAGTGGGAGCATCTACTGCAGGGAATCCCACCTTCACACTTCTCCTTCAAGCGCCGGCATTCGTCGCAGCTGCATGGTGGAACCTTAGTGTCTGAAGTAGTCCTCGAAAGCTTCAAGCTGCCGACTTACGCCCGTGCTGCGCGCTTTTTATCTGTTGACATCGCGCTACCCTTACCCTGTAAGGTTACATTTGTTCCCAGGTAAGCTACAGAGGGACACTTGGGTCTTTTGACGGATATGATTCAAGACAGGTAGAGAGACAGTGGCTGAAAATGGCCAGTCATAGCCAGATCACGGGATGCGGGCGCGGGCGATAAGACTCGGGGTGTCCACCAATCATAAACCGCCCCTCCATCTGCCCTAATCGAATCTGGTGTAGTATAATAAATTGACCTAGTATGGAGACAACTGCTTTGCATTGATAAAGCGGGGAAGATCTCCACGAGGATTGCATAAGAACTGCAGTCCTGAGTATGCGGCTCCGTGGGGAGTAAATGCAGAAGCAAATCCCGCAGGTGGTGCTTCACAACTCGAAACGGAATTGGACAAGTTCGTCAGGATTTTTTGACACCGCGTGAATAGCCTCGTGTTCGAAGAGCTCTAGCCAAAGCCTGCGTTGGAATCTTTAAATCAAGTTCTTGAATAGTCTTCGCGTATGGCAACCTTTTCGCCCGCTCCGAGGACGATATAAAAGAGAGTATGTCGTCTACTTGGGCAGCAGACAGTTTAGGGGCTTGGCCACGAGCCTTTTTAGGTGAATATATCTTGGCTTGGCATGTATATTGTACCTGCCGATATGTTATACCGGGCAGGTGGTCGACGATTTGTTGGTAGGTAAATCCAGCATCCCGTAGAGTCAAGACACGTATTCTATTGTCTCGGTCGAGACGCGTAGAATTCGGACGGTCAGGGGTTGAAGGTCTAGCAGAGTCGACCATCGTAAGTCAGTAAGTCGCAAGTCGCAACTCGAAGGTTTGTGAGCTACTAGTAGCAGAGAAGTGTTTTGGTTTGCTTCACGCGATCGTCGCGCTGGACGGGTAGCATCGCACTTTACCCTTCAATCGCAAGGCTGACTGATCCACAGTGTCGGACTGTCGACACCTAAGGTAGTGGACATTTCTTCCTCGTTTCTGTCATTTACGACCTCTCACTTGGACATACATAGAGGTGAATTGAAGGCGATCCTCGTTGCTCCGCCCGTGTACATAGGAAGACGAAGGACATGAAAGGCTAGCAGTTTTATTCCGGAAGGAGAACCAATGTATAGATCGATTGGGGCCGGATAATCTACTGCAGCCTCGTTGGATTCCCCATCTAACGATGGAGACGAAGTGGATCAAGAGGACATGGAAGGAATTGTGGGTAAATCCTTTGACGAGTATACTGCTGCATGAGAGACTTGGGGAGTCGCTACTCCACAACAGCCGACGATATTATATCTACACTCTGTAAATAGATCAGTAACGTAACGGCTATATTTTGGTTAAATAGAGGAGAAATGAAAAACTCAATGTATATGCGGATTTCTGGGGGCGTATACAGCCTATCAGATTATAAAATGCAGAGCAACTCTATGTATCAATTCTCCCTCATTCACCGACCTTCGATACTATGTGCTGGTCAAGGGTCTGTAACATTTTAATGGAAATGGTCAGGCTGGGAACTGGGCTCCTCGGGTTATTAGGACAGGTTATGGCAGTAGTCCTGGGAGCACTACTTGGAACGACAACCTCAGATCCAAAATTAGGGTTGTTTCGAATACGTGCTAAGCAATGGTGGGGCCCAAAATTTGCGTACCGTCCGCAGGCTTTAACCCCTGGAACCACCGATCATTTCCACCATTGACCATTGTCAACATCTTGAGCTGTAGCCTGTGTATTAGATGACCCACATGTTTGCATCACAAGGAGTCGAGAGACAGACATGTGTGAATACGATGAATACGAGGGGAGGCTTCTACCCCATATTCTTCACAAGGAGATCGACGCGAGTGCCGCTTTCTACTCGGAAGGGGAAATGATCAGCTGTTCCAAGGCACATGAATTCCTTATGTTATTTTCAGTAAGTTGGTGTACCAACAAGTTCCGGTTAATGCCTCAAGCTGATTCGATATTATAGAGCCCCATTTGAATTAGCAGCACGTATTAATTTGAACTAATCCTTCGAGAAGTGGAAATCATATAGACATGTTCCCAACAGAATGTCAAGCGTGAAAAATGCCGAGGCTATTGCGATGAAAGCACAATGTGTCGTTGAAACTGTTGAGCGATCCTTAATTTCATATAGGAGGAAAATAATAACTCCTAGTGACAAGATGGACTAGCTGCATGCATCGGGATGTTTTCGGGGACGCGATGGTATTCGTGACCAGGGTAAGTAGATCCCATATTTGAGCCCTACACTACCTGCCCCGCACTTTAGACCCTTTCTATCTGCCTGAAGGATTGATCATTGGAGAGGCTACTGCGCTTTTAATTAATCAGCCTTGAAAAACCTCGGTTGCTGACAATAGTCCATGATGTGCTTCGTACTGAGTGCCATTCATGTGCCATTCTCTTGCAATGAATTCACACTCACAAATAAGAAATGACTGGGTATATCCTTGCCTATCCAATAGTATTCATCGTGATAACACCATAGTCTGCTTTTAAATTGCTCGACTGAGGTATGCGGATGAAACGGTATATAAACACGGTATGGCCTCTACCTCAGGGGCCAATAATTGCACACATTCAAAATAACACACCATGGCCAGGCTAAGCCTTTTGTTGGCGCCACTCGTCGCCGTGCTTTCGATTGTTTCGGCCTTCCCAACCCAGCTGCCTTCACGGGATTCAGCACCTGCGTTACCAGTGGACGACCCTTTCTATATCCCTCCTGAAGGTTTTGAGTCCTCGGCGCCTGGGACAATTCTCCGCCATAGAACTCCCCCAAACCCAATTGCGGCGCTTGGCTTCGCCAAAGTCAACATTCAGGCAGCACATCAGATCCTTTACCGAACAAGCGACTCTTCTGGCAATGCCATTGCAACAGTTACTACCATCCTGATTCCCCACAACGCCGACTACTCCAAGCTGCTCTCCTACCAGGTAGCTGAAGATGCAGCCGACCCAAACTGTGCCCCCTCCTATGCCCTACAGCTTGAGGCAGCCCACGACGGTATTCTGGGCCTGGTAATCCCGCAAGTAGAATTATTGTTCTTCGGCGCAGCCCTTAATAAAGGCTGGGTGGTGACAGTCCCAGACCATCTCGGACCCAAGGCAGCCTTCCTGGCCAACAACCTCTCTGGGCAAGCGGTTTTGGATAATATCCGTGCTGCCTTGGCATCCTCGAGCTTTACAAACATCACTTCGGATCCTACCATCGCGCTATGGGGGTACTCCGGTGGAAGTCTGGCCAGTGGATTTGCCGCAGAGCTGCATCCCACCTATGCCCCCGAGCTCAATATTGTGGGAGCCGCACTGGGTGGTACGGTGCCCAAGATTCGACCGGTCATTGAGGCAGTCAACAAGGGTCTGTTTGTCGGACTCGTCCCCTCCGGCATCCAGGGTTTGGCGAATGAGTATCCCAGCATCCAGCAACTTATTGATGCCGGACTTAAACCATCAAAGAGGGCTGACTTCAACAAGACCCAAAATCTGTGTCTTTCGGGAGATATACTTCAATATCTTGGTCAGGATATCTACGATTATACGAATGACCGGAATATATTCGATCAGCCGGCGGCTGTGGAAGTGATGGATGCCAACGCGATGGGACAGCATGTGCCCAAGATCCCTCTTCTGGTATACAAGTCTGTTGGGGATGAAATAAGCCCCGTGAATGACACCGATGCTCTTGTTGAGACTTATTGTCAGGGTGGAGCTAGCGTTGAGTATAAGCGTGATGAACTCTCTGAACATGCATCACTCGAGATTACGGGGTCCGCTGATGGGATGCTCTGGCTCATCGATCGTATGAACAATAAGCCCGTTCAACAAGGATGTACCAAATCTACTGCGATCACCGGTCTTGCTGACCCGAAGGCTCTTCTAGCCCTGGGCGATGAGATCGTTACCCTCCTTAAGGCAATCCTATCAGGGCCGATCGGGCCTGGTGTCGTCGGCTAATTCCTTGATTGTAGCACTTCTTCTACGAGAGAGGGTAAAGCTTGTTCCATTGTCGTCGTTTAGAAAGGGCACTTCTAGAACATAACCACGACTAAATATGTGTCATGTAGTGTCGTCTACATGTCAGGCTTGCTATACGTTGAAATGGTTCAATGTGATATATTTCTGTCACTATGTGTCAATGATCATTTATGTCTTTTATCCATTGGTGAAGAATAAAAATGGTTCTCACGACAAATAAATACATTAGTAGTATCGACCCTCCACAGCAGTAACCATCACCCAAGCCCACCGCTAAATACGTGCTGCCAGGGTACCCACCGTCTCCTTCAATGGATGGTCATGTCGCTTAGTCCGACTCCGGACCTTCTCCCCATCCTCAGGTCTAACATAGCGCGCCTCAACCGCTGGATTGTATCCCAACGCAGATTTCTGTCGGACCTCTGCATCCGAAAGAGTTGGGTTACTCTGTCCGTCAGCCCTCTTGTAAACGGTCACGACGACCGCACCACCAAGACCCAGATTATGTTGCAAAGCAACATTAGTCCCCTTAACCAAGCGATTGGTAGCCCACCCCCGTAACTGCCAAGTGAGCTCGGCACATTGCGCTACACCAGTCGCTCCAAGAGGATGACCTTTGGAAATAAGTCCACCGGAAGGGTTGATGACAGGTCCACGACCACCGTATGTGATATCACCCCGGCGAACCAGCTCGTGGGCCTTTCCTGGCTCTGCAAAGCCAAGTGCATCAAGGAGTAGAAGTTCGTTTGCCGAAAAGCAGTCGTGCAGTTCGCACACCTTGATATCCTTCGGCGTGACACCCGCTTCTGCCATGGCGCGCGCGGCTGCTTGCTTGCTCATCTGAAAGCCTACCAGGTCGATTGCACTTCGCGAGTACACTTCCGGCCCGTCCGTCATGAGCTGCTGTCCCGCCATGAGAATAGCCTGGGATTTCAAGTGCGGTCTGGCATCCAGAAATCGCTGCGATACTATAACAGCCGCTGCAGCACCATCACTTGTGGGACTGCATTGCAGCTTGGTCAACGGAGCAAAGATAGTCCCCGAGTTCTGGATCTGCTCCAGGGTATAGGAGGTCCGGAATTGAGCATATGGGTTCCTCTGTGAATGTTCATGCGAGATACGTGCAATCTCTGCAAAGTCCTCCGCTTTCGCCCCGAACCTGAGCTTCATATTAGACCACACCACCCATTTGATATACAAAGCAAAAGTAACACATAACTTACTTAGTCATATATTCCCTCCCCGCATTTCCAAAATACTGCGCATTCCTCGGCGCCGGATCCTTGCCATACACCTCCTCCATCATCCGGGTCGACGGCCCATGCGCACTGGGCCGATCATCCCAAACACTCTTAATGGAACCCGGTCGCATCTGCTCAAACCCAACGACAAGCACACAGTCCGCGGTTCCACCCTTCACCATCGTCCGCGCCAAATGTAGACCAGTCGAGCCCGTAGCACAGGCGTTATTTGTGTTGTAGATAGGGATGCCCGTCATGCCGAACTGGTAGAAAATCCGCTGGCCGGAGGTGCTGTCTCCATAGCAATAGCATGCGATTCCGGTTTGTACATCGTCATAGTTGATCTGGGCATCGATCATGGCTTTGACACCAGCTTCGTAGCCGAGTTCGGGGTATTCGCGCGTGCGTCGTGGCTTGAGGAATTGGGTCATTCCTACGCCTAGGACATAAGCGTTGTTTGTGTTTGTTGATGCCATTTTGCTACTTTCAATTGCTGTATCTGTTTTGGATGTTTTGGTGTAATCGCTGTGGATATCTGGCTAATATATGTAATTGAGCTTATTGCCTGGTTGGTGGTGAGGGGATCTTCCCCATAACCCCGGACCGAGGTTGCCGTTTCCCCTCACTACTATAGAGTTCGCCCCTCATACTGGCTGCTTCGCCATGTTCAACCGTTTTGCTATAGCCTTTATGTTACTGTACCTGTACTTTGGTCCTCCCGAGGTAGCTTCCCTCGGACTTAGTCGATGCCAAGTTACTGCATCATGAGTCCAGACGCTTCTGTCTGCGTCTCTTAACACCACGCTCCTCCTTACGTCGATGTTCCCAAACAATAAACACCCAATGCGACCCAATTAATTCAGAAAGTGTATGCACAGTACTCTTACGAATGTGAATCGTATCTCATTGAATGATAATTAGAAGAGTCGATTAGAGTATTTAATGTATAGTGCCATAGTATCCACCCCATCCACCCCATAATCGAACTCAAGCCCGACAGAAGTATACACACATACAATCACATCGAACCCAAGGATATAACTCAATTAACCTTCTCCCAAACAAACTGCATACTATCCGGATCCCTCATCCCCATAACCAACAATAGATAATTATCATTCGTCGACTTCAAGATCCGCGCCTGCGCCTTCTCGAAGTCTTCTCCATCCAACAACGCCGGACGCATCCGATACTCCCTAAACAACGCCGCCATGGCCGCCACAATCTCCACCTGGGCGAATTTGCGCCCAGCGCAGTTCTGCACTCCTGCTGACCAGGGGAAGTATGTGCCTGGGCGAGGTTCCATGATTTCTTCGTACGCGAGTTGCTCTTCGCGTGTGGTGGTGTCGGTGCTCGGTGTGCTGGTTTCGATCCATCGGCGGGGATTCCAGCTGTTTGGCTCGTCGGACCAGTATTTCGGGTGCGTTTGGCTGGCAAGGAGGCTGGGTAGTACTACTGTTCCTTTGGGGAGGACGATGGTGCGGTTGCTTTCGGGGAGGCGCAGGCTGGTTCCAGTTGGGGGTGCTACGGATTTGGGTAATGCCATGATTGGTGGGTAAAGACGGACGGTTTCGAGCTGTTGGATCTTTGAGTTAATATATGGGTCGTGGAAGGAGAGATCGGCCGGGGATACTTACCACCACTGCCAGACAGCGCTTCAGTCGGGGGTAAGCCTCCTTATAATCCCATGTGTCGCGGTCGGGGTTGGGGAAGACAGCCCGAATCTCCTCCGCGATCCACTCCTGGATATTGGGGTATGCGGCAAGCAAGAATAGGACGTAAGCAAGAGTACCAGCAGTTGTATCGTGGCCGGCAAAGTTGATAACATAGATATTGCCCAGGATTTCGTCCAGGGTAAGGACGGTCTTATTGCTCTTCGGATCGACCGTCGATTCGCGAACGAAGGAAGACATAAGTGTGCCGGTACCTGGCTGGCCCTGGTCCAGGAGCGCCTTCTCCGTGTTGAACATGTTGAGCATGTGTTGCTTGAAGTCCTCGACGGCTTGACCGGCGCGACGGCACCAGCTGGGGAAGATGGGCACTTTTAGCACGGAGGGGGGAATCAGCATGATGAGGAAAGTGTTTAACATGACGGTCTTCAGCGACTGGGCGTAGGAGCGGGGATCCTCCGACTGCACCTCTTGAGCGCTCTGGAAGCGTGTAGACCGTTTGAAACCGGTTGCCGCAAGCACATTGAGGGCCAGAGTGCGGGTGTCAGTGCCCAGTCCGCCAGATGGTCCAGCCGTGATGCGAGTGGCGAGCATGCTCTGCGCCTGGGTGAGGGCCTCGCGCCAGACAAAGCTGTTCAAGCTTTCATTAAAGGGAGAGGCGACCATCTTACGATGGCGCTGCCAGTCGGCCCCCTCGGTCTACCAACAAGTTAGAATTTATATCACAGTGGTAGAAGCATAATAGACTAACCGTGGCAACATTAGGCCCGAACACATTCAGCAGTGCTAGTAAGGTCAGCGAAACAGGCTCCATAACTTATCGTCGGGTCATACTGAAGAGCTCAAGCGGGCGCACGAAATCCGTGCGACGCGCAATGATGTCGGTAATAGCCTCCGCGTCGCAGATGTAGACAAACACCTCGTTGGGGGTTGCGATGGCCCAGGCATCGCCCATTCGCATATGCGACTGGGCTTTGTCGGCAAACTGCCAGGTGCGGCGACCATAGTGATTGACGCGACCGAATTGAAACGGGAGGATATCGAGAACGAAGAAGATAAGCGGCTCGAGCAGGATCCAGACCGGATTGACGGGGCTGCAAGGAATGACGACGTAAGGAATGCCGATTTTCTGGATACGACGGATGTTCCCCACCAGGCACACGACGCTGTACACGGTCCAGCCCAGGACGGCCACTGCAAGAATTAGCAGCAACATGGTCGAACAATTGTCGTGGTAGACGAGGGGAAAAAAGAGGTAGGGAAGAAAAGCAGAGAAAGAACGGAACACAGGCTGGAGGAAAAAAAAAAATAGGCGCCAAGACGACGACCAGGAGATTGAAGTCGGGAGAGTACAAGTGGTGCTGCTTCGGGTATTCCTTATTCCTGTCTTCTTACTCGTCGAACAATGCGCCGATCGTTGCTGGAACTTCAACTCCGCCTCGTTGGCCCCGCGACTATTCTGGGATTAAGATCTTAGGGCTGCATTAGTGCTTACACCCGAGATGGTTTCACCTACAGTTCTCGTTCCCGAGCGTTTTATTCCCACTTCGAAGCACTAAGCGCGAGTCAGTGCCCACTAAAAATAACCAAACAAACGCCAAACCCCCAAAGCAGACAAGACTTTAAGACACATGGTCCAGTTGGGGCTCCGGCCATCATGGGATGCGGGCCGGCCCTAGAACAGGAATCGTCCGTCACACTTTCCTCTACACAATTAATCATACCGCAAATTCAGTCAATCGATGCAGAATTCTCAGTTCTCAGGTCTTATTATTTATGTTAAATCGTTGTTCCCCTCCTTCCAGGTCAATGTAACATGGAGATCACCTTCCGGATCAGTGCCGAGAAAATATTTAGTTCATCGAGAGCCCCTTGGTATCACTGTAGCATATTAGGCTTCGGTCCAGGCACCAGGTCATGCTTGAACAGGGTTTGCATCAAATGGATGGAACACTTCCCCTGCGGGTAAGTTCGAGTCGGCGTATTGCGCTACCACAACATATGCAAGCGCTCAGGAACACATCCGAAGGCTAACAGTTCTCGGTCGATGAATCCGTCGGTAGTCATAGCATTCACATCGGCCAACAACGGGTGAGTGTCTGCCGGTAAGGTGATCGCGTAGTGTCAATCTCCGGCGATGATCATGCTACATCATCTCTTAAGGGAGTGATTAGTTTTGCGCATCAGTATAGAATATTTAAATATAGGGGCCCATACGCCATTTTATGAGTTTGTGCGAGTCCTTGAGGAACGTACCCATATGTCCCGATCGTCATGCACATCAGCAACCTTTTTTCCGGAAAAGCAATTCACCTTCAATAATCTACCAAACTTTGCTGAAAGTTAGCAATAATTCTCGAATCCTCTCCCATGGGATCCTTACAGGCGATTCAACTTATGGTAGCTCGACTGGCTCGCTGGGATGAAAAAATGGCACAATTGTAAACCTCCAATCCTACCAGAAGGTCAATGTCGCCAACACCGTCAATGCCACACGCATCCAGACGGTGCTGGGGGCCCAGTACATTTGGACCCAGGAAGCGAGTCTAACTATCAAGTCCCAAGCATCTTCCCAAGCCTTATGTGCTGAATTCCTGTGTGCCCTTGTCCTGCAGACCCCAGCTCCTAAAGCTTACCATATTCGTAATGAGGATGGCGTCCCGACTGGAAATGGGTACGTATCACCCGGTATTTAATGTTGACCGTTTATTGCTACTCGCTTTGTTCAGCTGTCGCCGTGCCTGTAAGTGTGTCGTCGCTTGAAGAAACCAGACTTTTTCCTGTAGGGTATACCTACAGCAGCAATCCAACATCGATCGGAAAAAGGCTGAGCGCGCGAAGCAAGTGATTGGATGGATTGCGCAGTAGATCAGGACCGGGCCGCCGATCCTGACCAGAAATAAGGAATTGGCAACACAGCGACACTTAGCCCTAATGTAGCGTATCTGCAATTCTGCCCCATGAGAGTCAGCCTTGCGACTATGTCGGTTATTATGAGATACTCACCCGGTCGTCCCTTAATGCTTACTCCACACATTTTGAAATAGCAATGTTGCAGTACAAGTCCCACTCGGACGACCGTAGGAGCGTGGTTGCGCGGGGATCTTACTTGTAAAGGCTGGTGAGGTAGAAATCAGTCTTGCAATCGCCCCGAGATACCGCTTCCAAGACATTGTCAATTTAATCACGTTGTACATAATGCCTGTCAATAGTACTTCAGGAGCGTAGAGCCTCTCCGTCCCGATGTTGTTTCATGAGGCGATTGGATCTCCTCCTTCACACTGATAGCCTCCAAATGGGATCCCACAAGCCAGACATATCTAACCTGACCCCAGCCTCTTCGCGAACATCGAGCGCTCAGGCAACATACATCTAGTCTCGCGGAGCTGCACAGGCTGCTCGTCATTCTTTGATGTGAATAACTCATTATGCTCTATATTTCACCATGACAAACTACCAGGTAGACACTTCTGCCAAGGTGACAGGGCCGGTCTTCATTGTAAGATCTTCATCCAGCGGATTGGAGGTACGGATCGCTCGTGGCGTATCTGGCTCTGGTGTGTTGTTGGCTTCGCTGCCGCCACGTATCTTGTCTGCGTTGGGAACGTTCCATACCCCTGCCTGCTGAGAGACCAAGGCTACATCCTAGGTACGCTCACAATGATGGAGGCTTTTCACTTAGTTTGTGGATCAGGCTAACTCTTATTGATATCTCACTCGACAGAAAATTGCCCGAAAAAGGCAGCTGTTATGTTTCAATACTACACTTCTATCATCAACCTGATGTTAGATGTCTCACTGATCTCACCAGTGTAGTCTTAACCACCCTTATCCTTACCAATTTAGCTTACTGATCCTTGGTTCCCAATATAGTCATCAGCCTCCTAGTTACTCTACTATGGAATGTCTGACTTCCCATCCGCCACAAGAAGATTCTGATTAGTATTCTATCCTTGGCAGTCATCATCATCATCATCGTAGCGATTGTGCGAGTTGCTGTCGTTGTCACAAAGGAGAAAAACCCCGACATGTCCTGACTGTGGATGTGGAGCTTTATCAAAGCCACTGTCGGTATGTATTGCCTTTGAGCATCTTAATCACAACTTAGCCATTTGGATGCTAACCAAAAGCACAATCAGCCAATATCATGGCGTTCGTTTTCTCCTTCCTCCAGTTGTTCGTGAAGTAGGACAACGACCGCATTTCTGTATTTCAAGGATGTTTTCATACAAAGTACCCATCCATAGATGCTAAACCAGGGTTTCAGCGTGTTCGAAGTCAGTCGAAGGGAAGCTCTGATCTCCATCTCAATGCTTATGATAGTCAGCGCGAGCTAACACCTGTTGTATAAATGGTCATGTTGTCGGTGTTAAGAGTTCAGTGCATCTCTTATGTTTTTCTATACCCCGTGTGTCTATTTTTTCTACACGATGAAATGTAGATGTTACAAAGGACATTTTCCAAAATTTATCATGTCATAAATTATGAGCCTGACAGCCTGTTTGTCATATTTGCGGAGTTAAGTGTTTTGATTCTTAGTATTGTCATTGCCATCCATTATGGCAATTCTCAGGCCCTAGGCTTTGGGATACGTCTAGTTATTTCATCGCTGTCTTCTTCTTTTGGGGTATAATTAGCTCAAGTTCGAGCTTTCGGATGATTTCATTGGCACATTGGGCGATATATGGTAAGTAGTACATCTGGTAACCCATTCACCAAATCTCGGGACATTTACATAGTTCAGTCGGTGGAACGACATACGGAGTAACGGTTCTCATAAATGTGTGTAATTCAAAAACAAGTGCCGTTTTGTCAACGACGAAGTTCCTCCTGTCCAAGAGAGTGCCAGAATAACCATCGACTTTATGACCAATATTTCTCGCGTACCAAGCTGGCATCGCAACCAGACTAGAATGAGTCCCTTACAAGTAAAACTATAATCACCACATCCTTTATAACAATAAACGGAATTCAAATTCTTTTCTATTCATTCGTCCGTCTCAACGTACATTATGTTTGCTACATAGTCACTTTAAACTTGTGGAAATCCCTGTTAGACTCATACGACTCACTACTATACATAATCCAACAGGGTTATTCCAGAATCGATGTCAAATGGGATGTATATCGCGTAGAGACCCTTTAATTCAGGTATGTGGATATGAATATATATCTTTTTTAGCTGAGGCGAATTACTATTGCCAAGCCTTCCCTCCTCGGCTTTTCGAATATGAGTATATCGATTATGTTTCCATGGATTATTTGTGTATCTCACTCTGTGTGTGTCCGTGTTTTCTTTTCCTCTCTTGAGTTGTGCAGTGAGATTCTAGCCACGTGCCTAGATCTTCGGTGCGATAGGCGGAAGCCTCGGAGCCCTAAATTCGAAAGCCAAGTTTTTCTTTTCTTCACGATAACCTCCAATAATTGGCTATCCGTTGGAATCCCCACTATGGCGAATAAATTCGCTAGCCACCCACAGATAACCTCGCATATCTATGGAACACAGTGGAACCCAGAAAGGGGATAATGTGCCTGAGACAAACAGAAAAAAAAAATGAGGGAAATTGAAGGGGCCACCAACTGACCTCCAGCAATTTCCCCCATCATCAACCCTTCCACACCACCCAACCTAGCCTAAAATAAGATGCAATCACCCATAGCTAGAGAACGATTACTCGCAACAACAGATCACCTTATCAGACCAGACCAAAATCTAAACGATCGTCAACAATCATGGATCCACCCTCGTTTAATCCAGAGCGTGGACCCGATCAAGGGCCGTCAGCTCCGAGTCTCCCAACCCATCCGGAAGGGTGAATTATTACTTGTTGACCTGCCCTATGCGCTCATCCCGGTTGTCGATTGTCCGGAACAAAGCGAAGATATTCGCTGTAGCAATCCTGCTTGTCATAGACGTGTTGCTCGGACCGTAGAGCGCGTATCTTGTCCGAACCGATGCTCGGCCGATGTGGTCTGGTGCAATCCATCGTGTCGGGATGCCGACAATATCCGCCATCAATTCGAATGTACCTGGTTAAAGAAATATGCGACCTCGATACGCTCAAAATGGGGCGAGTATGACTTCGGTATGCTGTGGTTAATCGTGCGCATCCTTGCAAACCGACATGTCGAATTTCGGAATACACCCTCAAGCGACAAAACTGGTTCAGTATCTTCAAATCTCGGTTCTTTCGAGACAGGTTGGAACGCTATTCGCTCGTTCTGCGGGTCTCAAGAGACCTGGGCCCATTCCCAAGTGCGACATTGGACCATGTTGGTCAAGAAATATCTGGGAAGCAGCGATTCCCTACCACATGGCATGAGTTCCAGCGATGTGCTGGATTTAATCTGTCAGGAAGAAGCCAATTCATTTGGCTTGTACCCCAGGGAGACGGGGGCTTTCCCCCTCCCGGAGCTTGCAGTCGATCGCGGAGAGCAGTTCGGGGCTGGCGTATACCCGACTGCAGCTCTAGCGAATCACTCTTGCTCTCCGAATGTCTGATTTATTTATATTCCGCTCCCTAATATTGGTCATGCACTAACGTTTGATGCAGATAATACATAAACCCGATAACCAAAGCCGAATGGTCTTCGTCGCTTCGAAGGACATCGCCACCGGCGAGGAGTGCTGTATATCGTACTTCGATCTGACGAAGAAGGTCGAACTCAAAGACCGGCGAGACCATCTTCAAGGGTCGTTTCGCTTTGTTTGCAAGTGCGATAGATGTGTCTCGGAGGAACCTCCTGAAGAGGAGGTGCAGTGGGAAGAATTCCCATCCATGGAGGACTTTTAAGCGTTTAGCACGTATATGTATGAGATTCAGGATATTAGAAGGTATATATTGGAAGTTTTTGAAAATCATGGTCGCCATTGGTACTTCAATAGGATAATTCATGTTCAGCAGATTCTTTGGCAGTATTTCCCTGGTGGATTCAGATTCTAAACAGGAAACACAGGGCCGAATGAAAAATAACCCCAACTAGCATCGGCTTTAGAAGTCGACCATGAGTCAGAACTATACTTATCAGCCCACCACGCCATCAATAATCTTAACCACCTCCGCAGTCAGACTCAAATAAACACCATGACCAGCATCTAACTCCACAATCTCAAAAGCCCCACCTTTAGCCCTAGCCTTCTCAACCATCACCTTCTGAAACTCAAACGGCACAGCAACATCCTTAGTCGTATGAATATAAGTCGATGGAATTTCCCTCCAAGCACACCTCTCCAACGGCTGAAACATCGCATCACCATTCCACCTCGTCAACGTCGAAACAAGGGCCTCAGCATCCGCATCCTCGACCCCTGGCCCAGCCATGAGCTTCTTCAAATCTTCCCTCGGAAATAACTCAAGGATATCGGACGCATTGGCCATCTGGTCCGCGGTACCGAATTCTTTAGCTATGTCCAATATGCAGGCACCTTCCGTGAAAAGAGAAGCACACATGTAAACCAGATGGCTGACACCGCCGACGAGTCCTTGCTTCTTGCGGTCGTTCAACCCAAGGTTATGAAGGGCGTTGGTTCCGACTTGCCCACCATAGGAATGCATAATTACTACTATTGTTCGACCGGCGGAGGCAAGGCTTTCGACATAGCCGCGGATCAGATCTGTGTCGGTTGTCAGATCTGCGTTGGGGGGTTTTGCTCCGTTCATGCTTGGGAGACGAGGAACGTGCACTTCGTAGCCGTTGTTTTTGAGCGCATCGGTAAATTTGGAGTAGGACTTTGGGGTATGCCATGCTCCAGAGATTAGAAGTAGTGTTGGCTTGGACGGGTCCATTCTTTTGTATTTGGGATATTGTTGGAGTTGGGAGAGGGGCGTGGAAATGTTACCGACGAAATCCCATCTTGTAGGGCTGGGAAAGTCAGGTTTATATAACCGCGTTCAAGTGCTAAGAATAATAGTCTTGAGCTAATACCAGGAATCAGACCCAGCAACCAATGAGCTTGTGCTCACTGATTATGGGCAGACTAGATTCAACCTGTCGGATACGCAAGATTAATAGCCCCCACACAGTAGTGCTTATGTTCAGGTGGGTAGAACAATGAGACCGACGGTAGTTTGACCACTGCATATGTCTTGATCTGAACAGGAACCAGTCAGAATATCGTGATAACACGAGATCTAGAAGAAAATGTACGGTGAGATAGGGAATGGCAGCAAGGCACTAACAGCTCAATTTAACCTTCTCGGCAAGTAATTCGCCGATTTTCCTGTCTTCATCAATGTATTTTGGCGGTGATCTTTATTTCCTAAGAGTTCCTGTATTAGGGTCAACGTCTCCTATATTCGCTTGTTGTTAGTTCATAAAAAAGTGCTCCTCAAAGATTACTAAGTATGACCGACGATAAATGTGAAACTTGGAAAATAACGCCGAAATACCGATACGCCGACCATAAATCCGCCCATCCGGGAGATCGGTTCTTGGACAATTTGTTCACATTCTTCGTTTCCAAGCAACTGGAGGACAGATAAAATACAAAATGGAATCACGAGCACTTCGCAAGCGAAGACGAATACAGCTTTCATGTGTAGAATGTCATCGGCGAAAAGTCCGTTGCGACCGAAATGACCCTTGCGGTCGGTGTTCCGCGGCGGAGATACGCTGTGTCTACGCCGCCGACCGAGATGAAGAACCTCACTCCCTCACAGAGGTTGAAGCGAGAGGCAACTCTACAACGCGAAGCTTTAACAGTCGTACCGTTCCAATCAATACCAGTGCAACACGGTTGCCCCAAGCTCAGCAGCAACTGTCTTCTCCACTTGCTACCAAACGCCGTAGTGATGGCCAGAGGGACCTCCCATACTCACGAGGCTGTATCAGCGACACCCGGCGCCATGAAAATGATTCGCTGGATCTGGGGACTATTCACGGGGTCTTGTCGAAAGCTCGCCTTCTTGGGACCACCCATCCCATCGCAACCTATCGTCAGGTACGCCTCCGCCTTTGGCGCGCGTTGCAGCGTAATTAACCCATTAATATCAGTGTGACGAAATGTATCCGATTCATGTCAACCCAGAGTATCATCGGGCCCCGGAGATTATTCCATCTTCGGTACTGTCTGAGGTGCAGGGTTTGATCGCTTCATCCAAGGCTATGGCGCGATCTGTAAAGAACCACCAAACCCCAGCAGGCTTAGCACTGGAAGAGGCTGTTAGGTCTCTACCGGCTCGAGAAATTTGTGACAAACTTGTGGATAATTATATTCGCCTTGTAGAGCTTCCATTTCGCATCCTCCATATTCCGAAATTTCGGCGGGAATACTCTGCCTTTTGGGACGAACCGAACAAACGGCGACCTTTGTTCGTTGCCATTGTCCTTCTAGTCGTGTCAATTGGTGTCCACTTCTCTGAGGACACAGAATCAGAGACACTTCAGCGTGTTTATGCTCCCCAATGGATTCGAGCAGCCCAAGCCTGGCTTTCGGACATTCGATGCAAAGACTTCGCCACTATATCTGGATTACAGGCCCATTGCTTGGTTGTACTTTCGCTCCAATTCAACGGTGGCAAGCCTGATAGATTATGGCTCGCACAGGGGGTAGTACAGCGCATAGCGAACTATATGGGTTTGCATCGTGACCCAATTCACTTTCCGGAAATGCCTCTCTACCATGCCGAAATGCGACGGCGATTGTGGAGCACGATTTTGGAGCTTGACGTCCAGATATCAATGGACCTGGGCATGCTACCGAACGCGATTGATTTCGATACTACGCCTCCTTCGAATTTTGACGACGATGCATTTGATGAGACAACCACGACCTATCCTACAGAGGTAACCCCGTTAACACAAACTCAAAGCTCGTTGCAAACCCACTTACGACGCTCTTTAGCGGCCCGTATAACGATAGCTCGACTAATGAACGATACATTCACTGAGCCGTTGTACGAGGATGTGTTGAGAGAGACCGACAATCTAGTAGGGATTATTACCGCTAGCGAAACAAATTTGCATTCGTATACTGCAGTCCATCGCAACCTAATCAATTTTCTTACGCGCCGTTTCCTGCTAGCCTTACACAGGCCGTTTGCAACCAAGGCTCGTCAAGACCCACGCTATTATTATTCCCGCAAGGTCTGCCTCGATAATGCCCTCCTTCTGCTTACACCTGAACGGGATTGGGACTTCGATCAGATGCTACTGGTATCGATCACACTCTTTCGGCATATAATGCACCATGCTGCGATTGTGCTCTGCGTCGAGATCGTGGCCCAAATTAAAGAAGATCAATCGGAGAAAAAGCTCCTCCAGATTCGTCAGGACACCAGAGCACAACTCCTCACCACAACCAGGCAGGTTCTAGGCATTACAGTCAAGCGTCTTCACTGGGGTGAAACTAACGTGAAGAGCCATGTCTTTCTACATATGGCCATCGCTCAGATTGAAGCGATGGAGCAAGGCATAGATGTTGCCGCGCATGTCTTAAAGGCAGCTACAATAGCCGCACGAGAGGCGTTGGAGATTCTACAACAGCAGAGTGATACTGGACCGCGGGACGATGGCGGTACATGGCGTCCGTCGGAGTCAGAGCTAGATACTGTGCGTCAGGATGATTCCGTACCATTAACACTTACAGAATTCGGCAATATGAACTTGAACTTTGGTGACATGGCTTCTTGGATATTCTCGGACTCGATGGATGAATATCCGCTCTAATCAGTGCATTATAAATGGGTGAACATCGCATCCCCCATTCTCTCTGGGGTTGGAGGTAGCAGTGGCACTCTAGATAGTCCCCACCCGACCTACTTGTGAATTTCGTTATAGGGGTATAGATAGATTATGCAAACTAAATTAATGGAATACTCTGGGATATCAATTCCATTAGCGAACAGATTCTTAGCGAGGAACCCAGAGTAAAATTGAGGGACGTGGTAGGAATATAACGATATATTTTCTGATGCGGCTTAGCCGTGTAGCCTAGTTAGAAGATATCATCGATGGCTTCGGAAACTGCCTAGGGTTCATAATAGCAGGATTTCAGTCTCGTAGGTTGAGTCTGTAGTATTTGATCCATTGTGAGTCACATATACAACGATAATACTTAGGCACGGTCATCTGTATTACGGATCGTATGGGAATCAGTGATATGAAAGTTTGAGGAGAAGTATTGAAAAGCAAGTGGTGTCTTTTCTGTCTTATAATTTAAGAAGCCAAAACAGAATATTCGAAAAACCGGTTGTATAACATACATACATAGTACAGTGTGATTTAGATGATTACCCGAAACAGCGATATAGAGAAACATAGTACATAGGTACGTCTACCTATACTCCCTCTTGCCGAGCTATTCAAATGATTGCATATTCCTTTACAGGGACAGTGTCCTTGATGGTATTTGAGTGGGCAAATTAAAATTGTTCATTGGCGCTTTTCGAATGGTGCCGAGCTACCAGCCCTATGTTCCTAAGCAACGTTATCGCCGCTCTTCGCCCGAGATGTCCGCACCGAGCGCCGCTGAGGCGAGGCAGCATAAACAAGCTATAAGGCACTTCGAGATCTTCGAGCTCGGGTTAATTTGGGACTTATTATTACCTCAAAGATTGTATCCTCAGTTTTCCTTTTGGTCCCGACTATTACCACCAGAACCAATTCTTTTAGACGCATTATTCACCCGCCTTTTAGCATGTCTAACAATCCAAGCGGCCAGCAGGATGCCAACTTGACATCGAGTGTGGCCCCTGCTGCCCGGAAACCCGATTTTCCTGACGGAGGCCTTCGAGCCTGGTCAGTCGTCGCAGGAGCTGCCGGACTGATGTTCTGCGCCTTTGGATATGTGAATAGCTTTGGCGTATACCAGGAATATTATCAAACCCACCAACTGTCGACGCGGCCGCCCAATGACATCTCATGGCTAGGATCATTACAAGTGTTTTTTCTATTCTCAGGTACCTTAATTGGTGGGCCGTTATTTGATCAGTATGGATCTGTGGTTGGTGCACCCTTTCCCTTCCCCCAAACCTCATTCCTCGTTCTGCTGAACTCGGGGAGGCCCATGGATCTTCGTACTCATTAGATCTATCATTGAAATAGGTCCTTTGGCCAAGTGCCCTTCTCTTCATCTTCTCCGCCATGATGACCAGCCTCTGCAAAGACTATTACCAGTTTCTGCTGGCGCAGGGCATTCTGGAGGGAATCACATCCGGCATGATCATGGCACCTGGTCTGGCTGCTGTGAGCCACTACTTCTTCCACAACCGCGGCGCCGCGCTGGGAATCGCGGTCGCAGGGTCATCTCTGGGCGGGGTCATTTTCCCCATTGCGCTGACGAAAATGCTAAATAACCCCAAGCTGGGATTCGGCTGGAGTGTTCGCATCTGCGCGTTCATGATGCTTGGTATATTACTTCCCTCATGTGCAGTAGTGCGGCCCCGTCTCCCACCACGCAAAAAGGCCATTGTTCTCTGGTCAGGCTTCCGAAATCCCCTATTTGTCAGTACAGTGCTCTCCAACCTCTTCCTGGTGATGGGACTCTTCATTCCAATGTTCTACCTCCCCACCTACGCCGAGCGTGCACATGGCATGTCACAACAGCTTTCCCTCTATCTTGTCGCCACGCTAAATGGTGGCTCATTTTTCGGCCGCATCATCTTGGGTATGGCCGCCGATCGACTTCTAGGCCGCCTCAATGTTCTTGGTATTTCTGGATTGGCGACTGGTATTATGTGCTTCTGTTGGACACGCGCACACTCGGTCGGGGCGATTGTCGTATTCTCCGTGATCTATGGCTTCACCTCAGGTGCGGTCGTCTCCATGCTGTCGGCTTGTTTCGCCCAGATTCCCAAAGATCCGCGCGACATTGGCACCTACATTGGGATGGGCATGTTCTGTGCAGCTTTTGGGGCTTTAATCGGAACACCGATCAGCGGCGTCCTTGTGTCCCAGTCTGGCGGTTTCGAGACAGCGTCGACATTTAGTGGGGTGGTGACTATAGTCGGTAGCTTCATGGTGCTGGTTGTGAAGCTTCTGTCAGGCAAGGGGGTGTGGTCTATATATTGAGGTATATGAAGTGGATGATGGCAGATTACCACGATCATTGAGAGTATTATTTGTAATATAGTAAGCAAGAGTCTTCAGATAGTACCTACTGACGAATGAGAGTGGCTGGGATCTTCATAAAATATCAATAATGTATCTAACTGTACGGCAACCTAATGCCGCCAATCCGGATTGATTCATTTTCCTATATATTTTAGCTTGTTTCTGCCAGTAGAATAGTTTACAATACTAAATCTACTTGAATTGTTTAGTCTACTTAGTCTGGTTAAACTGCGTGGTCTACTTGGTCTACTTGGTCTAATCATATAGCCACGTGACTGTGTGAGAACTACTGAATCAATCAGAATTGGCTTAGTACTGAATTATCAAAAGGCGGCCAGCCAAGCGGTAAAAGAGCCAATGGAAAAAAGGGTGAGAAAAAGCCCCCAAAAAATATAGGAAAATGAACTAATGCGGATTGGCGGCATTGGCTTGCCATAGTGTTTATAAAGCGCAACTGAAAGTTTCTAGTATACGCTCAGACTGAATAGAACATGTCGTATTAATTATTATTATTATTATTATTATTATTATTATTCTATTTTATTTTCTGATTTTAATTTTTGTTTTGCTGAGTTAGGGATGCAACGTGTCGTGTGACTATAGGAGTTATCAACCAACCAGTGGCACTTTTGTAGTGGAGAGAATGAAAATTTTTATTGCGTAAATGAGGCAACTCCCAGCTTGCGCCCTACCATACATAGATTTTAGTCTAAGAATTTATTTTCTTTTTCTTTGAAAGCGTTTTTCCAGGGTCACGGCTCGACCGTTGCCGAATGGGGCAGAGAACTCGTTGCCTGGTCCCGCCCCGCAAGTCCCAGAACAGATGGAAACTCCCGTCTACCGTCCTTCGTCAGCCGCGTAACGATGCGTACTGGTAACGAAATATGCACAAAATATCAGCCATGAAGTCTTCCTATTGGTCCAAATTGTGTTTGAGGGTTGACTGATCTACGTATGGCCGCGGAACTCAATAAAAGTGGAGAAAAGTGGAGGAGAAAACTGAAGGAGAAAACTGAAGGAGAAAACTGGAGGAGAAAACTGAAGGAGAAAACTGGAGGAGAAATCTGGAGGAGAAATCTGGAGGAGAAAAGTGAAGGAGAAAAGTGAAGGAGAAAAGTGAAGGAAGGCTTCTTTTCGTCGCCCGCTATGTACGCTATCTTAAACAACATAAATACTATCAGATGGCTCATCTATGGCCTTCAGATTTCTCACTGCCGATTGACGTATCCTTAGTGAAAAGGCTTCTGCCGGGCATTCGCATATCCCCCAGGCTCCCATTTATCTCCTTTCTTCCGCAGAAATATCCCCAGCATGGCATATGGATGGTTTCCCGCGGATTCTGATTGGAATGAATTCAACCTTCCATCTGGGACAGAACAGGAGTTTGAAGATCCCGAAAGTACCCTCCTTGACGTACCGCAACCCGCAAAGCAAAGCTATGTTATACCTAGTTACTTCCAATCTTATATCCGCAAGGTGGATGTCATACCTACCTTGGATCCACATAGCTTAATTGCCCCACCGACTAATGACAACACCGGCCTCGGTAATCAACCCATGATGAGTCTCAACAACCCATTCTCCATCGCAGACCAGCCACGGAGAATGACACCGGTTCCCCATGCTGAGCGGTCATCCGAACAATCGGTAAACCCTAAAGCTGCAACCAAGGGTCGGAAACCCCAAAACCGTCGGAAGTCTGTTCAGTTACGGTGAGTCGTTTGGCACAATTATACCAAGCAAAGTAGTTTCTATATCCTAACGAGTTTCACAACCTAGGGGTAACAGGAGTACACCTTTTCGCTGTGGCTGGAAGGATTGCAAGTACACTGGTACGTTCGGACGGAAGGCCGAGTTAATGCGACACATCGATGTTCTGCACGTGTCTCCACACTCATACGACTGCCCGGCCCGGGGATGTAGAAAGGTGTGCAATCGAGCGGATAATCTGTTGGAACATATCCGCCGGGCACACCAAATATAGAGGCAGTTTACTTGGGCGATGTCCTATATTTGTCGGTACACTTGCATATATGGTTAGCTTTAGTATTTGGGAATTGAGCAATTTTGTTTGTACCGCCGGTCATCAGGCTTGTTATCTTCTATCGAAAACATTCAATTCGTGTAAAGTGTCCATGCAGTATCTTTGCGCCGTTCTGTGCAAGGTATGATTGTGAAGTGAAATTGCTTCAAGATAGAGAACGGTGCCAGGTTAACTATCTTCTGTATATTCCTGAGCCATTCTTTCACTATCCAACTGAGCTCTTAAACAACCCGAGATGCCACAGTACATCCTAGATTAAAATTCTATAATAAAGCTTTCGAGTGCCTTAAACAGTGAATTAAGTAGCTACAGCAGAAGCATACTTTATAGAATCAACAAGTACTTTTACACGCTAGAGGCAGGTTGGGTAAAGGTTAATAAATACTACTCTTAAAGTGATACTATTCCTGGTGAGTAAGTTGAAATATTTTCTTATAAAAAGCTGGGGTCAGATATAGTGTAACACCTATTGTAAGTCCTGCTAACAGGCTCTTATTCCATATCAAGAGTAAGACACTCCCAGATACAACAGCTACTGATAAACATAACCCAATACCTTGATAGTAGTACGTTTAAAATAAGCCTTAGCTGAAGTATACTTACTAATAAACAGATACAATTCAGATTATATAATTATTTTAGAGAGAGTACTAGACTCGCTTTCCAATAATTGCTACCCTTGCCGTGCAGTTGCAGGAAGCCGGTAAAAGGTATTACATCCAATAGGGATGTAGTACTAGTGAAAAGAACAAAGAAAATGAAAGGAAACACTTGTTTTATTCACTCTCTACATGAACTAAACGGTATTGTTTGAGTGAGACTAGGTACTATTGTTAAGCCCTGATTGAGGAACGAAAAAACCTAGGAAAGTGAAGTGAACGCTATAGAAGGAGTCAACCGACAGGAGAAGACTACAAAATGAGCTGCTGCGCAGCTTCAGCGAGAGAAAGACAAAACGCATAAGGCACTCCAGTAAAAGGAAGCAAAAGGCCACAGAGCCTATCACAGTTGAAAAAAGCGAAGACGTCAAAAGACAAATTGTGGGAGTGGAACAGGCACCCATTGTTGCAAACAGTCGTGGAAGAGCCAACACAGTTTCCCCAGTGGCTAACCAACTTCAAAATTAAGGCAAATAACCTCCTCACAAGTTTTAATCTTTTGTAATGCTGGTATCGCTGCATTCCTGTACCGCAGCACACGTACACCTTGGAAAAGACCCGGTCGCATGGGCGGTCTAAGATTGATTCTGGACAGTTATTGAGTGGAGCCCAGGAAAACTGAGTATCGGATGTTCGTACATCCTTTCCAATGGTTTGCCATTTCTAACTAAGAAAAGGCACTGCTCCAGGAAGCGCAGTGGATTTCTCCTCTCTTCGGGAGAAAACAATGCTACATCGCAGATCCCACACTGTTCGGTGAAAGGAACATGGTGTAGGTTCCTAACTGCTTCCTTGATTTTTTCGTTATCCGCTTCAGTGAGGGCTGTTGTGAATGAAGACTAGCTCGTACGAGAGCAAGTGATTTTCTCACATTAACCAAACGGCTGTGAGGAACTTGACTGAGAACTAAAGCAGAGCATCGTTTTGTATTATCTTCGTCAACCGTCGACTGGAAACTGTGGCAGCAAACATCCAGGAGCCAAGCTCATTTGGCACGAAAAAGACACTTGTACTTTCATTAGACTCAATGACTTTCTCGAATGGTATATTCGCATTATACGGAGGGTGAAACATCTCGTGGCAGAACCGGGCAGAAAGCCATGGTTTAGAGATAATGTCATGACGATTTCGAAGAAAGGCTTCCTCGTCAGCTGTGGGCAGTGGCTGAATATTACCCGACTCTCCTGGCTTCATAAGATTTCTGATATCTTCATCTGAAGCCTGCTCGGATAGATCGCCAAATCTGTATAGTTTGGACCTCGTCACAGGCTGGACGTGTTCCAGGTACGTTGGTAAAGTGTTTAACAGTTTATCCGCAATCTCTTCAGCATTATCGCGGTATGCACTATGGTCGGATGTTTCAAGAAGGGAAGAATCGAAGTGTTCCATCAGATGCTTCTTGGTCTGTTGCTTAAAGTCATTGCTCACCTCCCTTTCAATATATGACCCATACCGCGTGCCAATTTGATTCCCGTCATAGTATTCATATTTATTTTCCTTTTCAAAATAGTCCTCTAGTACCGAGATCTTCTCCCAAGCCACATTCTCTTTCACATACTCTGGCTTATGCAAACAATCGTTGCGGAAAGCTGTCAGCGCACGTGGTTTCCCCTCATACACCCTTGGGAGAAGCGGCCTCAAAAATTGAAGATAAAATTTGTCCGGCTTGTTGCTTCCACCATGGAACAGGACTTCATGTATGAAAACACGCGAATTAGTCAAGACGTTTGGCGTAAGAGCGATGGCGTCAGTAAATAAGATTGCTCGATGCAGCAGTGCGCGGATAAATTTTTCAGGTGGGACATCGTACTTGTTAATTTCCATGCTAACGTTGTCTAAATCTATAAATGCCACATTTTCTGCCGGGAGGTCTAGTGGAGATTGATCGTTAACATTGGTGTCGCCTGCTTGTACTGTGTCGAGACTCTGCTTTTCAATGAACCGTATGATATTACCCAGGGCATCTTGTGCACCTCGGTCGCCTACAAGCCAGGCAATATTGAATGCGTGCCGTAGGGCCTCCAGTGAAGCGACCTTCTCGTTGCCGACTATAATACAACGCCATAAAGAGCATCTATAACCCAGCCCTGAGTGTGTGGCGCTTTCGAAAACATTTCCTGGACTCTGTTCTTTAACAGAACCTCTAACCGAAGCCGGAATTGCTCCAGGAGGGAGGCCATTAACTTCTTGTGAGGGCAATCGGAGCTTTCGCTCGTTGTGATGATGATAGTTCTCAAGAGAGTTGTGGCCGCCAAACATACCTTAGCCTTGGTAGCCTGTCAGCAATGTTAGTACAATAGTATTACTGGCCTCCTTAAAGGGAAATGATACCTGGTCCGTGTATCTATCAAGGTTCGTAGAACACATAATAGCGTTCCAATCTTGTCTAGCATCGGTGTTATCGGCCACTACACTCAATGCCTTCTCCTCAACGGAACGGATGCCACTTTGGCGCACATTCTAGAAATGCCTCACGATATCAAGCACAACAAGTTTACACCATGAAGGCCCAATACCATTTGCCCATTGCCTTATTGCTTGTTCGAATTGTCCAAAGCCGTCCCGAGGGATGTCCAAACAAATAGACCCCTCCATAAGACAGAACCTCCCGCCAGAACTGCTGGTGTTATCGTTGAATCGAGCAAAAAGCTTTCTTACTGCACTGGTGATATTTGCGCTATCTCTCTGGAGCCATATGATACGCGAATTGTCTCTATTTCGATCCATGCAGAGGTAATCCAAGTTTTCTTCCATATCTGACCAACTGTAACAGGCCACAAACATGACAGTGTGTCTCAGTAATGTTTCCATGATGCGAACAGTATGAGAAGGCAAGCTCTGTTCGCGCTGGAGCCGGGTATCAATACGAGTTTCTGGTCGATATTGTGAACCGTGGATCTTAAAAAGGAATGTCACCTTTCTCCTGTTCATTTGTGCCATCAATGACACTGCAAATCGAGATGGTCCGCGACCGTTGACCACGATTACCAAAGTAGAATGCTTGGAAGGGGTCACGTCAGCCTTTTTTAAAGTGGTTGGAAATTGCTTCAACATGCACATGTTCCCTTCCAGTAAATTCGTATTGACTCGCTTCAAGCACTTCCAACGCCTTTTCCAGACAATTATCAAAATCGGTTGTTACAATTACCGATACTTCGCCTTTCTGCAGCCTTTCTGCAGCCCAAAGATGTGCTCGATTGACGTTACAATGACAGAAACTGCAGCTTTCCCTTCTCGCGGTGAAAGCTTTAAGAACACCTATGTATTCGTCACCAAGTCGACGGGCTATGAGTTCAGTGATGTGATAATTCGCAACATTCAATGGTCTGAGGATGATCTCCCTTAGAACACTCACTTTATCCACATTTAGCTGAATTCCAGTATTGATATTGGACCTCCATGCAGCATACCATCATGTGAGGAAACATCTGTAGTGGCCTGGTCCAGAATTGAAGTGCAGAGGAGCTCAACAAACTTATCCCACGCAGGGAGACAAGTTGGCTTGAAAGATGACAAGGCCGATCCTAAAAACAAAGTTGTTCGGCCCTGCACCTCTTCCCACATGCTTTGCACGCTCGGTCTTATATCGCCCCAATAGCCCACATTTCTTGAGGAAGGTTTCTGTCCGGTGCTCGTAAGTACGCCGCTATTGGCAGCAGACGAAATAACGTCAGGAGATCCAGATGACATGTTAAAATCTGTGCATTAGATCTGTCGAGATTTAATTTAGATATGAATCAAACTGACACTGGAGTTCATCAATAGTTATGCGAATGGTTGTCAATTCTGGTCTGAATACACATAGTCTGGTCTCTTGAGAAGAACGGAACGGCCTAGAAACTTTGGCATTTGGGCTGATTCAAAAATTATATCTGCAACTAGACCGATGACACTCTGGCTTCCCGTTGAATATATGGAACAGCCAAAGGATTAGGTTAAAGTCCAGCTAAAATATTAGTTAAATGAACGTAAGAACAGAACTTTTTCTTGATAGGATCTTTGTTAGTCTGGAAGCCAAACCATACCACTCTCATAACGCTATTAGCGAACGACGACGCAAAAGTTGCCTTCGGAAGGTCTAAGCATATTCCAGGCGTAACGAAGGTAGTAGAAACCAACGTCAGCAGACCATCATGCTAGCAGACCCCTCGTCGAAACATTGGATGGATCTATCTAGGATCTACTAAAAGCCATTAAGTTGCCCCACCAACTATATTTTTCAGTGTTTTTTAAGAATTGCGTTGACCTTTTAGGCTATTATAGCATTGCTCGAAACGAAACATCAAAGGAGCTATCTTTTCACATCCGGAGAACCCTCATGCCCGTTCGAAACATCTACCCACTCTTTTCCACCAGGTAGTTTGCAAGTCTCATAGCAAGTGCCACTAACGTCAACGACGGATTGGCCGCTGGAGATGCTGGGAAAACCGACAGGTCACAGACATACAAACCCTTCCAGTCTTTAACTTTGAGATTCTCATCAACAACGGCAGCTGCATCGTCCTGTGTACCCATTCGCATTGTTCCTACTTCATGAGCAACTGCCCCGAATTCTGCTCTTGATAGCCTAATTCTCCTCTCATCCACAGAGGATCTGCCATTAAACAACTCAGGCTGCAGAGCTTTCATAATATTGCGTGTCATGTGTTTCATTGCTTCATAGCATCCGGAGTTTTCATCAGATTCTGATATGTCCAGGACCGGCGCGGGCTGACCTTTGTTGAGGACTCTGTTTTTGTCTTCAAGTTTTGAGGCGAACTCGAAAGTCACATTCACTGTGTTGGTCCTCGTGTTCTCGGTTCTCTCCTGTGGGAGAGATTGCCCTCTCTGATTGAGACATTGAAGAGGAAACATTCTTTCCAGACTATGCCCCAAAAATGTGTTCGCATTGACACAGATGTTAATCAACACCGGGTCTCCTTCACATCTAACCTCCTCCATTTGTCGGTTCTTTCTGGGCTGCATCCCTTGGCATGAATTCAAACAGCAACATCGTGGTCGCCCGCATCCACAGTCACACCTGTGTTCAGTTCGAGTGCAGCGACAGCTTTCATCACACGTTCCCTCGCAAGCACAAGAACAGGACGGGGACGCGCTTGGTAGGTCCCACCATGCTTGTAGTTTCAGAGGTGAAAGAGATTCGCCTTGATCTGGGACAATTTTGAAACGGGTGCCCCATATTGAATGATCCGTCAGCCCTTTACCCACGTTGCTATGGTCATTTTTCTGCATTCCGCTTCGGATTGCAATGTGAGCTGTGTCAACTGTCCCCGCACAGAGAATGACGGCTTTGGCAGATGTAGTTCGTATCTCCCCTACTGTTTCCTTCTGACGCACAGTTATGCTGTCGATCCTCCGGTCGTTTGGTGTGTCCAATCGTGGGTTAACGGTTAAAACCTCTGCTCCCAGCAGGACAGTCAATCTTGTGTCATTGTTGTATATGCGATCCAGTAACCAATCAACTGTACTATACGCGCCAGCAGGAAAACTGTACAGTTGATCTGTGCTTTGGTTTGGTGAGACGAACTCCGCTGCAAGAGGCGCAAATGAAAAGTTCAACCCCGTTTCTCTTCCCAGAGCCGCCTTTTTACCATCGTAGTATTCATAATTTGCTGTCACACCTTCTGGATATGGTGCGTCATGCCTTGCTGTCTCGCTGCTAGTTACCAACTGGTATGCCCTTTCGAAAGCGTTACAGCCATTGACGACCATAGTCAGGCCTTTGGCCACTTCCCTTGGGAAATTCTCCCTAGTCCAGCCACTCTGTAAGCTTGGGGAGTAGAGTCCTCAGACATTGCTGCGGCCCCCAAGACAGTAAACTGGGCCGCCTGCGTATTCTCGAGAATTACCTCCTGCAACTGGAATTTGCTCCTTAACCGCCCTATAGACAATGTCATTATCTTGCGAGGGGCCGGAACGCGCTTCATGATGCCAGTGTGGACGGGCAGTATTAAGGCAATGGGTATTGAAACGAATTCCTCCTCGTTCTATCAGAAGAACCGATTTACCGTGCTCCTGGACTAGCATTCTAGCCAGCGTACCGCCGCCCATTCCACTTCCCACAATGATAAAGTCATACTGATTCTCATTCTGGCTTATCCTGATAACGTTCTCGAGGGTCACCTCATTTGTTGTAACTGCCATAATGCTGTATTCCTAGTCTGCAGTTCAAGTATTAATTGGTATGCTAGGGTTATTAGTTCAACTGCTCATGAGAACGTAGTTTCCCTGTGTTTAAATAATGCATTTTGAAGGCCCGTTACATGATGATGACGTTTATTTGGTATTTGTCGCTTGTAGGTTGTTCATGAAATTACCTCATTGTATAAGCTTCTCTTCACATGCTCTAGCTCCTTTTTTGGATGACAGGAAGCTCGAGACATACGGATGCAGTAAGTCATGAGTAGTCTCTGTGTCATTAGTACCTTGGTACTTGACCATCCAATACACCCAACTTCATTTATGTATGGCTGGCTGTCACGGACTGATGGTGGATAATAAAACCGAGACTCCCGGTGCGGTTTAAATTGTGTACTGAATTTGCGGTGTGGATAAGCTTTCTATATCTAACGTGGCGTGATGCTCTTACTCTGTCCCTCTGTCCGCTATTTCGAGAGATCGAAATGCCGAATCTCAATTTCAGACTAAGCTCAGTGCCACTGACGCATTCAGAAAAACACAAAGTTGCAAATGATTACGAGTAATTGAGCTGTCACTGACCCAAGGCATAGCTTTAATGGACAGATTCGACGATAGTCTTAGTGATACGCAAGCCGTACAGGTCCACATAGATATTACAGTTTCATCTTATGTATGAATTGGATAACCGACAATGGCCAAGAGCCTCCTTGACGATACAAAAGATCCCATTTCGAGTGTCCTTTGTTATCAACCGCAAAACCCTCCCATTCTCTCTCGATGCCCCACCTACTATCCCACCAGGTTCCACGATTAGCCCAAACCCGTTGGGTACAGCCGACAAGCAGACGCGCAGAAACACCAAGCGTGGTTTGATAACGCGATAGAGCTAGTGTCTGCCGTTACGTCTTTAGGTGCCGCGTTGGCGCCTATATAGTGTAAGAGAATTTTACAATCGGGAACAAAACTTATATCTGACGGTGTTGACAGGACTATTTGTTGACTTACTCTATATTCTGTGCCCTAGTACCTGGGATCTCAAGCGTTGAATTCGGATCCAGTGTCTCTGATTGGCCCAGTTTTGGTGCTCCTACGTGTTCCTATATAATGTATCTAGACTACGGCACTAACCGCAAAGACCATGGCTAACGCAACATTTCAGAACCAAATGGTTAGATAAACATAGGAAACAGGCCAAACTTAGTAACCATTTGGTCATATGATTTTTTATGCAGTCTTTTTGGTATTTTTCTTAAGTATCGAGTTCGTATAGAATATTTTCCTAAAATATATTTTTTTTCTAAAATAATCCATTTTAATGTAGTAGTGAATCTTCTGATTTAGTATAAATTTATGGGATCCCAATTTCAAATCCTGGTCGTCTTCCGGTGGAGCAAGTGTCCGAACAATTAAAACTCTAAGGGCATAACCAAGGATTGGAAACCCCGAGTCCATCTCAAGTCTATTAAAGGATTCTTGACCCAGTAATGGCAGTACCACTCCTCTCCGATGTGGCTGGGAAGACTGTCAGTATAGTGGTACTTTCGGACGGAAGGCTGATTAAATGCGGCACATCGATATCCTCTATGTGTCTTCACAGCAATCACAACAATAACACTGCACGGTCCGGGGATATAGGAAGGTGTACAATCGACATGATAATCTACTGCAACATATCCGCAGGACACCATAGAGAGAGGGGTAACGCAATGGGGCATACGGCTTCATTTCGCTTTTAATGCTGGATACATGGCCCATTTTTGCATGTCGGGAATCAAGCCATTCAGATATGTCTGAACCGCCGGTGCTTATTTTCTCAGCGAGGTGTTATCATATATTGAAAAGGTGTGATCCATAACACTCAATGAAACATGTCCTGACTCCTAGTTTAAGGGAAGCCAAATTAATTCGCGGGAATCTTATGTTCCTCCGCATCAACCCCTGCATTCCAACGATATTTGGCAGCCGGATGGTCCTGTGGTGGCCCACTCTGTCCCGGCTTCCCGTAGAGGTTCTCCCGATAAGTACCCTTGTTGACAGCATAGTCATCCCAAAACAGACGACGACGACGAAGTTCCGGAATCAGAAGTTCAATAATATCTTTGAATGAACCGGGCTTTACGGCATATGCCTTTTGACCTTCAGTACGGTATACTTCGAATATAAATGTTGGAACCAGATATGCTGCGAACTTACAAGATTGAATCCATCAACGTCGGCTTCCTGCACCCATCGCTCCATCTCGTCGGCTACTTGCTCGGGTGTGCCAACTGGGGTTGCCCCTAAGCCGCCCACGGTGATATGCTGCCCGACGGTGGATTTAGTCCACTTATCGACGCCAGGTGTGGCCTTCGACCACCCTTCGACAGCAGAACTGCAGACACAGTTAGCCATACGATCATCAGAAGGTAACTTTCATGATCGCGCACATACCGAATAGCATTACTCTCTACATGCCGAAGTTCCTCATCATCCCCATACGTATCCAGATTAATCCCAGTCCACCCACCAAACAGAGCCAACGCCCCATCTATTGACCCCAAACTGCGGTAATACTTGAACTTCTCCTGTGCCTCCTCCTCAGTACGACCCAGCACAGGACAAATAAGAGCCAAAAATTTAATACTCTGCGGATCGCGCCCGAACTGCGTCTTCGCCAGCTCTCGGATTTCCGCCACGTTCTTTGCCACAACCACGGGGCTATGCCCGGCGACAAAGATGGCTTCAGCGTGTTGGGCTGCGAAGATCTTGCCTGCCTTTGAGGTGCCGGCTTGGAGAATGACAGGTGTTCGCTGGGGACTGGGCTGGCAGATGTGTGGTCCTGGAACGTCAAAGTACTTTCCGACATGGTTGATTTCTCGGACTCGTGATGGATCGGTATAGATGCCCCGTTCTCGGTCGAGGACGACGGCGTCTGATCGCCAGGATGATTCCCAGAGTTTGTACGTTACTTTGATGTACTCTTCTGCAACTGCGTAGCGGTCGTCGTGCTATTTATTGTTAGATTGAAGTCTCATATGAATGATTCCAGGTTTCGACGCACTTACCTGTGGTTGTTGAGTATGACCAAGATTTCGGGCAGCAGAGTCAAGGTATCCGGTGACGATCTAGGTTAATGTACATTAGAAATATCCCAACTCCATCTGTTTAAGTCTAACTCACATTCCAGCCAACCCTGTACAAACCCAAACAATAAATTAGTCACAGTCCACAATGGGAAGCCTTCGCTGACTTACCGCCCCTTAGTCAAATGGTCAATCGTCGAAAGCCGTCTAGCCAAGTGATACGGCTGCTCATAAGTCGTGGTGACTGTCACCCCGAACCCGATATTCGTGGTAGCAGCCGCCATAGCAGGTACCACAGCCAAGGGCTCATTGACTGGCCATTGCGCTCCGGAGATAATAGCCGGCTCCAAATTCCTGGGCCCTTTGTATACATCATATCCTCCTAAAGGACTTTCAGTTCATTATTCTCGCTTCAGGGTCATAGTGACATACCGAGAACATCTGCGATAAAGATGCCGTGGAATTTAGCCGATTCGAGGAGTTTCGCTAATTCAATCCAGTGGTCTATGTCATTGAATCGATGGGATTCGTCTTCTGGGTGTCGCCATAGGCCTGGGGATTGGTGGCCGCTGCCTACACTCGTGGTTAACGATATCTATGGTGTCAATTGGCTATGTAGATTTTCCCTCGTACACATTTCAACGAAGGCATTAAGGATAAGTGACTTGCGCGGCCCATTTGGCCGGGAGGGGTCATTAGTCAGTGTCATGGTCGAAGAAGGGCAGAATCTCCTAAACTCTCTGGTAGACTGAAGTGTAAAACAAGAAGTCCAAGTCTAAGAGAGAGGAGAGCGCGGTATCAATTGAATTCCAGTCACTTGTCTGTACAAAAAGCGAGGGAACAACAAGAGATGAAGCCCATAGAACCAAGCGTCGCTCCATGAGTATTAATATCTGCTAACAGCATTTACCCGAATTTCCCCTCGTTGTTTGTCTTCAGTGGGATGGAGGGGTGTTGCTCCTGTGCTGCATAGCATCAAAGTGGGTCGCGATGACACCATGCGGGATGTGTGAGGTCGGCCGTACGGAGTACATATTAACGATCACCTCTTTTTAAACTCAGAGCGCTATTTCCCTGTTTGTATTCTCTCTCACCTACGTGTAGGGCTATTATCAGGAAGGGAAGATCCAAAATTTAGTCGCGGAGATTTTCTCTACCAAGAAAATCGGCCGCTGCTCGTCACCAAACACCAGCATCACGCAATTTAGTCCCCGGCCATATCCCGAATTAACAATAAAGATCAAAATCATAATGGAGAATATCAAAGCACTGAAACAAGACAACACGGCATTGTTACCATTGTACACCTATAGCATCGCTCGTAATGCTTTTAAAATAGTACATCATGGCATCCATGCGGATGGAAGACGACTGTCATGTCCCTGCGCTATATAGCTATATAAGTAGGGATCAAGCCGGGATATGTTCAATTAGAATAAATTTGGGTTTTACACATCTACCAGATTATCGGTTTTTTCGACCATATATTGATTTATCCACCCAGTCCAGAAGTCTATCTGATAAATGAATTAGCCAATCCCAACACGCATAGAGCCAAATCACCTCATACACTAACCATATCATATCATTAACCCTCTCATAGTCTATGATATATGCAAGGGCGCTGATCATGCACCACCTTGAGCTCTGGCGAAAGCGTCCATTCGTGGGAATTAAAGCCGTCGAGGGATCGGTACACAATATAGAAATACTTATTTCGCACAATACCCATTGAAGTAAACGTCGTCTTAACTAGAAACCGTCAGTCGAATTCTTACTTTCGCACAGTAGCGATTCCATAACGGAGAGAAACAAGAGTTCTGTATATAGAACCAGATTGCTGGCTCCATTCAGCGACTATGGCAGAACTAACAGCCAGAGGTGCCAACGACTCTGTGCAACCACTCTTGTCGCAGGCAGTTGGATATGTAATCGTAGTGGTCATTGGCCTGATCATCGCTTTTGGTATGCTAATTCCGTACATTTGGGACTACGGGCACCTATCCAGGCTCACTAACCTTGCCTTAGCGATGATGCTTATCACCAAGGTCCTCAAGAAGACAACGGGAGAAGACAATAAGAAGACGGAAATGTATAATGTTGGTCTCTATATTCTGTCAAATGTCGCTAATAGCGTCCAGGTTCATGACAGCCAATCGAACTGTTCGGACCGGCTTAACAGCATCAGCCGTGATATCCGTATGTCTCCTCCGCCACTATTCTCTCAAATTATGGAAGCCCTAACCAAACGACTGGTGACAGTCCTGGCTTTGGACAACAGCCATGCTGGGCTCATCATTTGTCGGATATGACTATGGTGTAGCGGGCCCATTTTGGTTTGCTGCTGGATGCAGTCCGATGATTGTCTTCTTCGCCCTCATTGGAATATCCTGCAAGCGCAAAATTCCAGAGGCACACACTTCTCTTGAAGTGGTCAGGATCCGATATGGTATAATCTATTTACCGCTCTGGCTCCACGCTATGCTAACTTTATCAGGTCGGACCGCTCATATTGTATTCATGATACTCTGTCTGGTCAACAATATCTTCGCCTGTGCGAACATGCTCCTCGGAGCTGCTGCTGTCATATCTGCTGTGTGAGTAGCGTCTTTTTCGTAGTGTCCACATCGTCTAACACCAGAACAAGAACTGGTATGCACATTATCGCTGCCACATTTCTTCTGCCCGTTGGTGTGACCGTCTATACTTTTGTTGGTGGTATTAAAGCGACGTGAGTAAAGCATTAACCCCCCTGGACATTTCAGATTTACATGGGGACGCAGATTCCTCACCGACTACTTCCACACAGCGATCATCCTTATCATTGCATGTTACTTCTCTATCAAAGCTTTCACATTCGACGGGGTCGGTTCCATCGGCAGGTTATACGACCTCGTCCAAGCTGCTGCACAAAGACACCCAGTTTCAGGAAATCATGATGGGACATACCTGACGATGACATCTAAAGGGGTATGGCATTCGTATATCAGCACACCAGCCACGCTGACGCGATCTCTAGGCGATGCTCTTCGGGATCCTGCACATTTGCTCCAATTTTGGTCTCGTTATTGTAGGTGCAGCCGTTCATCTATTGCATCAGTAATACTAAAGCTCTCCCAGATGGATACAAGTTATTTCATCAAAGCATTCTCCGCCGCACCATCCTCTGTAGTTCCGGGATACACGATCGGAGGTATCGCATACTTCGCCATCCCATGGGCACTAGGGACCATCATGAGCTCCGTGGCCATTGGTCTAGAAAACCAGCCATCCTTCCCTACGTATCCGAGAGTAGGTACTTCCCAACCGTAACATACTACCCAGTACTAACGACCATATTCAGAGAATGACCACAAGCGAAGTCAGTGGAGGTCTCGTCCTACCTTACGCCGCGATGACGATCGCAGGCAAAGGCGGAGCAGCAGGAATTCTTCTAATCACATTCATGGCCGTGACATCCACGCTTTCCGCACAGGTAATCGCAGTCAGCTCCATTCTCAGCTTCGACGTCTATCGCGAATACTTCAACAAAAAAGCATCCGATCGCGACATTATTCGTTCCAGTCACTTCGGTGTGATTTTCTTCGCCGCGTTCTCGGCCGGATTTAGTACCATGCTTCATTATGTTGGGATCGATCTTGGTTGGACATTATATATGCTCGGTAAGGCTTTCTACCATGTACACGCTATATTGCAATGGTATATAGCATATATACTGATTTATGCCTAGGCGTCGTCACATGCCCCGGCATCTTCCCAATGGCATTTACTATTCTCTGGCGCCGCCAAAGCACTGTTGCTGCCATTCTCTCGCCCGTTCTGGGGATGGCAACGGGGATTGGTGTCTGGCTTGGAACCGCCCAGCACTTCTACGGTTCCATTTCTGTTTCCGCGACGGGTCAAATACTGCCATGTGTATATGGAACTGTCGCATCTGCATTCTCGCCTATTCTATATTCCGTCGTTATCACACTAGCTCGCCCCCAGAATTACGATTGGAATGATTTCAAAAAGGAGAAACTTGCCCTAGAACGACTGGATAGCGATTTGACAACCGTGTATAACCACAAAAAAGGCATCCGACAGGAAAGCAGATTAGAAGAAGGCGCTCGACCGTCCTCGGGGTTTGATCCGCAGGAATTGAAACGATGGGGTCGCATTGCGGCATTTTGGTCCATCGCCACGTTCCTTGGTCATTGGGTTATTTGGCCGTTGCCGATGTATGGGTCGAAGTATGTTTTTGGGAAGGGGGTATGTATCCATATCTTCATTTAAATATTTCGTCTTGATTTCTAATCTGACTTTCTAGTTTTTTTCGGCGTGGATTGTTGTCGCTATCATCTGGCTTTGGTTGACTATGCTTGTGGCTATCTTTTATCCTATTTTTGATGGTGGTATACAGCAGATCAAACAGGTTTATCGGGGTCTGAGAGTTGGTAATAAGACGAAGGAAGAGGTCGGGAACGAGAGCTCGTCGTCTCCTTCGATAAGCGATACAGCAGAGGAGGCGAAGAGAGAAGACCGGACCTAGTGTTCACACTAGATGACATCCAAGCCTTAGTCGGTTTCCGGTCAGGAGTATATCGTCGCCAGTAATTTGGCGCTATACAAACCGATAGCACCCACCCATAATCATACCATACTGTATTCTGTTCTAGTCCCACGATACAATATCACACCAATCTCCCTCCACCACAAGCCAAAGAACAATCACCCCCCAACACCGTGACCATCCCTCATATCCCCCCTCACTTTTACCAACCTCGCAATCTCTTTCGCGGTATCAGTTCCCAACCTCGCAAACCCCTCAACAACTCCCTCCCGATCCCCCCGTTTCCTCTCCTGACTCATCTTAACCTTCCCCTCAATCCTCTCAACCTCCACACTCAACCCCACAATGTTCCTCTTCAAAACCCTCAAATACCCCTCCGGTGCCTCATCCACCCTCCAAGCTTCCTCCTTCCCATCCTCCCCAGTAAACCCCATAATATCCCTCTCACAATGATCAGACAAATCCCGTAACTGCTGCTCCAGAAACTCCCCCGTCTCTTTGACCTCGGCATCAAAATACGCAGTTAAGGTGCCATAAACCTGTACTGTACTATAGTTCCACGTCGGCGCTACCTTGCCCGTGACTGGCTTCGTCTCTGTGTAGAATTTGGGCGTCACGTAATGGTGATGCGGGGAGGTGAAGAGGATCATGACTTCTTGAGATAAGAAGGAGCCGGAAGGGGAGTTGGAGTTTGATTTTTTGAGGGAGTCGACTATGGCTTTGGATTGCGGGTTTTGGCGGGCGATGTGGCCTCTGAGTCTTGCTTTGGCGGTTTCATTTCCTTGGTTCGGGGGGTCGAGGATCCAGGGGATGTGGGTGGATTGAAGGAGGGGATAAAGGGTTGAGGGGATTGCAGTTGTTAATATGCCTAGGGGGTTGTCGCGGATGAATTGGTAGAGTTCCTCTGGGCTTGTCTCGGCGTACACGGGTTGGTCGTACATTTTGTATGTCCTTCGGATGTGATGTAGTAGTCCTGTTGAATTGGTTCTTGAGCTCGTGTGTTACAATTGATGGGCTGGTTGATAGCCGATAAGATGATCCGATAAGATAAGCTCATCCATTGCCTCGGCTATGTCGGTTTAATGTCCGATCAAGGTCGACGGAGGTATAGACCAAGACTAGACAAATATGTTATGGCTGATCTGAGAGAATATGTCATCATCCTATCTCTAATATTACATTTGGAATATCCATGATCATTCGCGGCTACGTGGTGGATGGTGAGACCAGCCCGCCTTCTCGTTACAAGTAACTTGTCTCTCAATCAGAACCCATGGTAATTAAAAGGGGCGTCTTGTACCATTTCCGAGATAATGATCGTGGAGAATGTCCATAGAGGATCTTGCTATTTTGCTGTGTCTTGAGATCGTGACAACTCAATCAATAACGGTCTTGATCCAAGGGATCTGCTGAGGAATGACGAATTTCTATCGGAACCTTTATGACATCTAGACCATTTTGCACTGTAAGTAAATAAGTGATTTAACGACTAAGCTTGTCTATAAAGCGGCTCCATGGATGACTAGATACTTAATGGGCATTGTTGATCTATTAGTTTTATCATATAGCACTCATCTGGGTACATAATACAGCCCGTAGTGGTAAAATCTGAGACTAACATCAGTCATTTTGCTTAGGTATGACATTCGTGCAATCAACATCATGTCTTTCAATATTCAGGAGCGCGTTTTTTATTTAATGTCAGGATAGCTACAAAATATCATACATATAGTAAGAATTTGAGATCAAATGAGTCCCACCAGTGAATTCGTATTGCCCAGCTTGATGGCAGAGGCTATGGCAGCGCCAAATTAATCAACTTCTTGTAGGTATCGATCTTCCAGCGTAGGTAAGGGTATTCTGGAATCTGTGAAAAAGGGATGGTTTTCAATAAATAGACCTGCGGTTGATAGTCCCGGGGTGCGAAATGGGTTGACAAGCTTTTCACGGGCAGACTGAGAGGCCATAACAGCTGCCGCAGACCCCGGTAAAAATTCACTGAGGATGTTTCGAGACTTGTATTTCAATGCTGCTGAGGGGGTACGGCTTGAGGATAAACTATACTTATCCCTCCATTCGCAAATAGCATGATACGAGGATCTGGTATTGGGGTGCGTGGGCCCTAATACCTTCCTGCGCAACTCTAAACAATTTTCCATTAGAGACAAGGCATCCTGAGATTTGCCCTGAGATTCCCAGGTGTAGGCTAAATTCGACATGCTGGTTAGAGTACGGGGATGTTCCGCCCCTAGCGCTGCCATGCTTGCCTCCATAACTTGGACCCCCAATTCCTCTGCTTCGTTCCATCGTCCCTGATTCCAGTAGGTCAATGCTAGATTTAACATACTGTCAAGAGTATCAGGGTGTTCCGCCCCTAGGACTGTCTTTCTTCTGTCCATAACTTGGACCCCGAATTCCTCTGCTTCATTCCATCGTCCCTGATCTCTGTAGGTCACTGATAGATTTAACATACTGGTAAGAGTATCAGGGTGTTCCGCCCCTAGGGCTGCCATTCTTGCCTCCATAACTTGTACATCCAGCTTCTCTGTTTCATTCCATCGTCCCTGATTCCAGTAGGTTGATGCTAGGTTCACCATGCTGGTCAGCGTGGTTGTGTGCTCTGGACCATCTCTTTCTTGATTAATCCTCATTAACGTTCTATATAATACCTCCGCTTCGTGATATCTTCCATCACTATCAAGGCAATCTGCAATCCTCTCGATCAAATTGACATACTGTTCCTGTTGTACAACGAATTCATTATCATGCACCAGTGCCAAGGCATGAGGGAGGTATTCTCGCCAAAGTCGTCGGTTGGTATGGTGATCATCTGGAAAAGCCATATCTATACGACCTGCCACTCGTTGGATCCAGTACCCAAAACGTCCATTCTTTCTAAGCCAATTCCGGGTTGCAATATGCACAAGTCTGTGCATACTTATATTCAAGTCTTGGCTATTGGTGAATGAGTATGCATTTAGGAGCCCCAAAGCGTCGAGGCTTTCTTTCCTACAGGTCTGCGGAGGAAGAAGGGACTGGGGAATATTTCGTGGATCGATGCAGACCATAAAGGATAAGTAATCTGCTGCCAATTGATCTTGGTGTTGAATCTGCTGAAACGATATTAACCATGTCGTGATCACGGGGTTTTGGATATCCTTATAACGCCCTGGGTCCCTAAAGTCTTCACTAAGGAGCTCGATAGAGTCTTGTTCCTTCTCTTGAAAAAGCATCAAGTATGCAGACAGGCTTAGGCGCTTTTTGTTTATATATGCTGACGCTTGCGCGATTGCTAATGGAAGGAATGCGAGCTGTTCTAGGAGAGTACTTGTTGTAATAGGGTCATCGAGCAGCTGTTTCTGTAACAGTAAGCTCTCGAGGATATTAGATGCAGTTTCTTTATCCACATCTGGAAGAGCAATAATATTGGATGCTGTGAGGTCAACCGCAAGCTCTCCGTTGCGGGTCGTGAATAAAATGTGGCCTTGGTCACTCTGAGGGAGGAAGTCCTCGAGGGATGGGATTGCATTATTGGCTGAGACCCACATCTCTGTATCATCCGCATTATCAAAAATGAGAAGCCATTTTCCTGCACGCTCAGAGCTGAGATATATTTTAGTCTGTTCCTTGACGTCTACTGGTTTCACGTCATGGAGCCCTAGTATCTGCGCAATATTCAGGAATGTCTGCTCAATCATTTCATTGCTTATACAAGGAACCCAGAAAACTGAGCATTCCTTGTCTCGGTCCCGTATGCGGTGTGCTACCTCTAGGGCCACTTGCGTCTTTCCGATTCCACCCAAGCCGGTGATTGCAACCCTCCTGGGCCCATCTGGAATTGTAATTAACTCTTCTAGCTTCGTGACTTCATCCTGGCGACCAACAAATCTCGGATTCCTTGCCAGCGAGACCACCCAATGCTGTACTTTATTGCTCTTCAGCGAGTCAAATTTCATATAGCAAACAGGTATAACAGATACCAGCACCTTTGCATAGGCAGCTGCTGTCAAAGCTGCATAACCTTGCCACTCCTTTTGCTTGTGCGAGTCACAATAGTCGCATATTCCTCGAATCACAAGCGTCGGGAGATCATCCATGAGACCCGCAGCTTCCATCTCAAAACAGAGTATCCCATGGCGTTGAGCTAGACGATCTCGTGTGTCCGAGTCCTTCATCACCTGATCCCCGGACGCAATCAATCCGTAGTGGATGAATGGGGCCCTGGTATCACGCCGATTTCGTGTAACCAATTGCTCCTTGTCACACTTTTCGCAGGTATCTCCTTGGTTGCCATGATGATAGGACGAAAGAAAAAGAAAATCAGTGTCGTGTTCTGGGGGTGAAAACATTTGATTCATCTCGGGATTCAGTTCCAACACTTCCGACACTATCTTGGAAACATCCTCCTCACCCCCAGTCATCTGCTTTGCCTCAAGTCGACTTATATGTGTCAAAAGAGTCTGTGGTGGTTTGTTTAAGGAGCCTGTTGGCTCTAACTGTCCACCTTGGACTGCCTTGCCATAATCATACTGTATCACCCCACTATACTTCCCAACCGGTTTACTAACCACCACATCGCCTAATCGAATGTCATTGCCTCTACCCGGACGTCTTGTGCTTGGGTTTATAGCGGTTTCTCCTCCCTATATTCCTGGAGATAACTCGCTAAGCCGGTAGTTAATTCGATATCTAGAATATATTAGCAGGGAATTCCGTACTAGTAAAACGACCCACAACGATTGTGCTATTAGCAATACGAATTTAAGCAGATCCATGAGGACAAGCTTCATGTAACCGTACTTGCTCAATACGGAAGGTAGCTACGTTCGATTGAATTAAAGTCAACGCAGCCACAAGACCTCCATAGCCTCTATGTCATGGACCTTGCCTTGGCGGGTGCCATGGGATTTGCTATCCCTATGGCAAAACACCGTTATGGGCGCTTAATTGAGTCGACCATCGGAGTCACTTATAACGTGGGATCTCTCATCGTGAAATTTCCATATAGGCTATGGAGGGGCGAAGAATATGGGTTGCTTGATAAAATATTGAAATCTTGTATTGATTCGTTACAGGAATTCCTACCGAAGATCTCTCCATCTAGTAGAAGATATACTTTAAGATATTTGTGCTCAAGTATAAATAAAATGATTTATCAAACAAAATCTTTTAGAGTCTACTTCGTCCTGGGGTAATACTCTGGTTTACTATGAACGCTACATTAACTATAGATAACGGCAACCTACTCTAAAGGCACGACTGAAACAGTAGTTGAGTGCCCGACGCGTTATTAAATCATTCTGATACACCAAGCTAGCATCCATAGACTGGCTTTGACGATATCCATTTTTTCACCTAATGGCAGCCCATCTCCGATATTTGCGGACCAGAGTTTGGTTCTCATGTAGTGATTTTCATGTACTGGGGTTCACTTGAAACGCTGCGCGTTTGACCCCACAAAGTATCGGATCGCGACTTTCATCACGGCAGGAATATACTGACCCGGAGGGGCGAAACCATGTAGTACGTGCCTGAATTAGCAGCAACAGATGCACTAGACTCGGCTATATATTTACCACCTGTTTCATCCAGTGAACCATCTCTTCCCATTGTGGCGGTATGTCTGTCCCAATGGGCTCTAGGACGCCCAGTACCAGCCGCCTCCCTGCCCCCATTCTAAACCACTTCCGCGAGCCTAAAAATAGATTTAACCCATAAAATAAGAAGATAATACGAGCAATCCAATCTCCCTGCTCGAGCAGGTCTAGGAATGAATCGCTAATCCAAATAGGCCATGTGACGCTGTCAACCTCTGCGGGCCACGTACGAAGAGCCTTCAAGGTCAAGTCGTAGGTCTCACGATAGACTTGTCGATATTGGATATGACAATTGTCAATAGCATTTTGGACCTCTAAAAGCCTCTCCATAATTTCCCTACAGAAGGATGATTAGCTGAAATTACCAATCGCAACAGTGGCGTTAAGGGAGGGGGGG